CGTGTAAATGTTCGACAAATGGATTTTGTAATTTGCCTCTAATGCGTAACAACATGCTGTAACATATAACGGACTCTAGACTAGCAGTAGTCGTCTCTAGCGAGCTTCGTCTGTCGTTTTACGGCTAATCTTAATGTGCGCTTGGCACTTGTAAATAAATCGTTGACTGCCACAGCGCCGCCATTCACGCGTAGCCTGTACAGAACGAGAGTAACAAGCGAGGCACTGCCGATTGTTCAAAATCCATTTATCTGGCATTTACCGCCACAATGTAACTATACCACATCGTCAGCATAATAGCCTAACCGGCGAAAAGAAAAAAAAAACATGCAAAACTGTGACGCATGTTCGTGCCCGATATCGGTGGGAAACCGCTAACTGACCTTATAATATTCACACCAACACCGAACATCCTCCTCGCCAGCCTCATTCATTTTCGTCGAATCAGTCTCACTCCAGTTGCGCTCACATTGTGTCGTGCGTACGCATGCACGAGCAAGCAAGCGCACAATGTGCAACGCACCATCATCCCCCCCCCCCCCCCTATCCGCCCCTCTCCGTATCTCTCTCTCTTTCTCTTTCTCTCTCTCTCTTTCTCTCTATATCTCTATCTCTCTATCTCTCTCTCCGTCTCTCACTGCGCTTTTATGCTGTCGATGCAAATAAGTTCGCTCTCGCACGCCCCGACTTGCCCCATCCTCGTTCGATCCCTCATTCGACCGATGATTCTACGAAAGCCGAGCGAAAGTCAAGCAACTAACGATATTGCATGAATTTGTCGAATGAAGCAGAGTTTCCGATGAACGCAGGCACGGTGACGGCGTCGCCGAGCCCCCTAGGACTGTCGCTAACGCCGCCCCCGTCAATCGGCGGGTCGCTGGGTGGCTTAGTGGGCAGTGCTAACCGCGTGAGCGCCGCACCAGGTGCCGAGGCCAAGTTCCGCGCCAGCGCCGTGCCCGCACTCACGACCAACGGCGTTTTCGGATCCAGCAGCTCGCTCTTCCCTAACCTCGTCGGCAAACCAGGACGAGGCGGCGCCGCCGGCGTAGGTGGCGACAAGAGCACTGGCGGACGATCCAGGCTTCTCGAGGATTTCAGAAACAACAGGTAACAGCTGCAGCTTGCATTCCGGGCTCCTCGAGCCGAGCTCGGTTCACTCTTTACCGGTCACGAGCATCGCCGCGGTATTTTCGAATGACTGCGATCTCGTATTTATCCGGAACTCGTGGAAATGTAGGCATGAAATTTGCCGGTAAGTTACGGTATTGAAAAAAGAAAAAGAATCGATCAGCGGCCGTAAAAAGCTGTCGAGTAACGAAGTTTTAGCGTGCGAGCACAGCTTGATGTTGTAATGTAAGCGGAGTCGTAAAATTAGCATGAAATTACGCCGGCAGCGGCGAAAATGCGATATGCGCCTAAAGCGTCAGACGTTTGATGTAAGGAGGTCAGTGTCAATTGTGCGCACTCGTATAGATTTCCAATCGAAACCCGTCGGTTAAAAAATTGCTCATTTGGCCACGAGAAGGCCTGCTCGCACGAACCGAAAGTAGGAATAATAAGGAAAGGTCCGAATCGATTTTATGCAGATTCCCAAGCCTGCAGCTGCGCGACTTGGCCAACCACATCGTGGAATTCAGTCAGGACCAGCACGGGTCCCGCTTTATTCAGCAGAAGCTCGAGCGCGCCTCTACCTGCGAGAAACAGCTGGTGTTCCAGGAGATACTAGCGTCCGCCTACTCTCTTATGACCGACGTCTTTGGCAACTATGTTATCCAGAAGTTCTTCGAGTTCGGCACACCCGAGCAGAAGTCCACGCTCGCACAGAAGGTTTGTCATCCGATAACATCTTATCTTAGTTTAACCTTCTCTCTCTCGCGTGATGAGTTATGCGTGTCAGCTGACGCTAGATATGATTCGAGATTGGAATGGCAATTCTCTGATGTGTCTATTGGAGCGTCTTTTCGCGCGCACATCCGAAGCTCAACTGATTTGACTTGGTTTTTGTTTGGGAAGGTTCGCGGGCACGTGCTGCCGCTGGCGCTGCAAATGTACGGCTGCCGTGTGATCCAGAAAGCGCTCGAGTCTATCGGGCCGGAGCAACAGCAGGAGATCGTGCGCGAGCTCGACGGCCACGTACTCAAGTGCGTGAAGGACCAGAACGGCAACCACGTCGTGCAGAAGTGCATCGAGTGCGTGGAGCCACGTGCCCTGCAGTTCATCATTGGCGCGTTCGCTGGTCAGGTGCATTCGCTCAGCACGCACCCTTACGGCTGCCGCGTGATCCAGCGCATTCTGGAACACTGCACGCCCGAACAGACCCAGGGTATTCTGCAGGAGCTGCACGCCGCCACCGACCAGCTCATACAGGATCAATACGGCAACTACGTTATCCAGCACGTACTCGGTAGGTTGCCGCCGTCTGGCGCGCCTCGGCACGCCCCGAGCTCTTCTAATTATAAACAAGAGCCGTATAGGCTTGTCGTCATCGATTTCTCCTTTAACCCTTTTGCTCTTGATTCCCTCCGCCGCTCGCGCCCACAGAACATGGAAAGCCCGAGGATAAGGCTCAGCTCATTACCAGTGTACGGGGCAAAGTGTTGGCTTTGTCCCAGCATAAGTTCGCCAGCAACGTCGTGGAGAAGTGCGTTACTCATGCCACCAGGCAAGAACGGGCCGTTCTTATTGAGGAAGTGTGCGGTTTCAACGATAGGTCAGTCTTTTTTTAGTTCGCTCTTTCTTTCTTTCTTTCGTTCTTTCGTTCTATCGTTCTTTCGTTCTTTCGTTCCTTCGTTCTTTCGTTCCTTCGTTCCTTCGTTCTTTCGTTCTTTCGTTCTTTCGTTCCTTCGTTCCTTCGTTCCTTCGTTCTTTCGTTCCTTCGCTCCTTCGCTCCTTCGTTCCTTCGTTCTTTCTTGCTTGCTCGCAGTTGCACTAGCACTTTCGCGTGAAGCGACCAACGGGAAATTAGATCTGTTTTTCGCGCAAAGCTTTGAACTGTCGCTCTCGCGCCGCCACCGCCACCGCCACCGTCTCCGCCTCCGCGACCAAAGCTCTTGGCTCAAAGTTATGATCCTATTACACGCGAGAAACGTCAATCACGCGGTAACCGTATTCTTTCCAATAATAGACCGAGCCTCGGAAATAATTAGGCGGTTACTGTAGTATGTTCGGTAAGGTATTACGAAAATAGTGATTGGCAAACCAGTTCGTGGCTTGACCAGAAATAGAGCCGTTTGATGAACTTCTCGGAGAAAAATCTTTAGCATTTGACGCGAGACCTTGCGAATCGATAATCGAAAGATAGTCTAGTTAAATCGTTGCTCCATGTACCTCTCTGTTTGGAATAGCGCCTTAAATGTGATGATGAAAGACCAGTACGCCAACTACGTCGTGCAGAAGATGATTGACGTGGCGGAACCGGCGCAGCGCAAGATCCTGATGCACAAGATCCGACCTCACCTCGCCGGTCTACGCAAGTACACATACGGCAAGCACATCATTGTTAAACTCGAGAAATTCTTCATGAAGACGGCTAACGCCATGGGCGTGGGGGCAACACCGCCTACTGGCGCCACTGGTGCCAGCGAACTTGGACCCATCGGTCCACCGACTTCGAGTGCCGCTTCCGTTACCACCTCGACTCAACAATCGACCCAGGTCATCTAAAGGCTAACCACCTGATGGGTCCAATCACGAAACAAGACCATCACCCGATACAACGCGAAATAAAACAAACAAACAAACAAACATAGTAACACGTCGCTCTCGACGCCTCACTTTGAGAATTTAACGTGCAGTTGCAGGATTTTTTATTGTACGACGTTCGATTAAGCTTTTTTCATTGGAATTTTTACTAGACAGTCCAAGCGTATTGCAAACTTAGATTAAACATATGGAGGCGTCGGGACGTACTTTTCAAGGCTGTAGCTTGGCAGTTTAGAGAGTCGTGTGCTCAAGGTGGATTTTAGGCGTTAGCTGTGAATTTAACCTTGATATTATTGGAAATAATGAGAAATAACAAAAGCAACAACGTAGTTTTAAATGTTTTCAGATACGTAGGATTTTGAGTCGAGCGACACGCACATGATTAGGATGTTTGTCATTTATCTGAATTTATTTCAACCTTGAAATCTGCGGTAGGTTTGTACCTTTGCATGATTTTAAAGTTGATCTATATACGAATACTAGCAACTTTATTATTGCGGCGTCAGTAGTTCAAAAGCAAAAGCGCAACTTTTTCAAAAGAAAGAAAAAAGATTTAAGATCAGTTTTTAAACAACATATAAAGTTAAAATACGAAAAATACATAACAATAGCAAAAGCTAAGATCCATTGCTTAGATGATAAAACATGAGATGACATCTAGAATAGATCATAGTGCTGCATGCATTTATTGTTGTATGTTGATCGATATATGATGTACGTTTCGTATATGAGATATCCTGCTTCTGTATGAGAATAGCAGAAATTTCGCGTACAATGTGCGCGCAAAGATAGAAAATGGTTTGGTACGAAAAAAATACCGAATACTATTAACGTTTATTGTACAATTGATTTTTATGATTTCCTAATTGACACAAACCGTGTCCGAAGTTCACCTTCAACGTTTTACAATATTTTAATGATTGTTTTTCTCAGTTCACCATTATTTCAGTTAATTAAATAATGTCTGATAGATAGTCAATGACATAAAAACAAAGTTAATGGTATTTGGTAGCTTGAAAGTTCGAGTGTTTGATATGGGAGCCAAGTCGAGAACAGCTCCGATCCGACTGCAAAGATATCCTCAGAACACATTTTATTCGGGTTTTAATAAAAAAATGCTGCGAAATAAGCAGAAGTTAGGCATTTTGGTTTAGTTTGATGACAAGTCTTGCAGGTACGGTTCACCATCCACATACTATGCAAAACTCAATATACTATAAACGTGGTATGCTTTGACTACGCTTACCAGACAAATTGACATTAAAAATAATGTACGGGAATTCCTCGGTGAAAAAGGAAAGATGAGAAAAAAACAACAAAAGGCGGGACAATTCACTAACAGTTCTTGATTTTTCGTATGCACTTGAGCGAGAATCACAGAGTAAAAGCATTTTTTTACGTGCGCGACGTCCCTGCCATTTTTTTTCAATTAATTTTATCCTATTAAAAAAATCTTCGAATTTTGTAAATTGTGATATAAATAATGAAATGTGTATAGAAACGACGTGACCCCCTCAAACCAATCGCGAGGAACCGCAAATTAACGGTTATTTTAATTTCCATGGAAAAAATTAAAAGAATTCCCTCTTCCCTCCCACCTTTTTTAACGGACTCTGTGAATATTGTGTATTATAATAATTCTAATTACTTAAATTTATAAAATATGAGTTACGTTTCGACACAGCTGCCCGAACTTTATTATCGGACGAACCTACGTGAATCTTTCATTCGGTACTCCTCCCACATCGATATAATTGTAAAATATGAATTTTCGGAGAACATAATACTAATAGTGACGGCTAACGAATTTTTACAAACTTCCTCCAGCAATCACATACATATACACACAGCCACTGTTCGTGGCATGTTCGAGCGTGTTTGAACTCAATTGTATATTGTACAAATGGTAAAAAGTTTTTTTTTAATCAGCAAATCAAGCTCGCACAATGCGCGTGTAAATTAGCCCCCTCCGTGCATAAAAGAAAAAACGCCCCTCTCGTCTCACCATATTCACTCGCAAATTGCAAGGCCGTTTTCGTTGTATTATAATGGACGACCACTGACAAAAAGGGTAAAGTGCTAACCTCTTTGAAATTTTCCAGCCTCGTATTTATGTAATATTTTTGTTTATATTGTAAAAAGGCATTTTCAAGTAAATCATATTTTTTTTAATATTTTTCAAATTGTTAGATGAGATAATTCACGTGCAATCCTTGAGGGAAACGGAAAAGCACCGTCGGAAGTGACTAAGAGTTAAAATCGAGTTGCATCCCTTTCTACAATGTATCATATTTTGTTAATGTAGGTATTATATAAACAAAACATTCACACGGTGTCAAGCAACTCGATACAAAACGGTCCGTTCTTATTTTGTACAAAATAAACGAGAAGTTAAAAAATAAGAGGAAAGAAAAACGAAGAAGAGGAATGTAGCAGCTTTCTTTGTAAGATATTGTAAATAACGATTTATTAACCAAATTGACAAATTCCTAGGTATCTTCTCTCTCTTTATTTTTAAGGCGGTAAACCGAATAGCGCGATTAATGAACGGACGCTAAAAGCAGTAAGTTATGTGACTAGTTGTACGTACTTACGCGTTTAACCTTCCGATGGAAAATTCGTAATTTTTTGTTTTTAAGTTTGTAATAATACTTTTTTTTTGTTCACGAAGAAAAAGCTTTGTGTAACATGCGTAACGAAGATTTCAAAGAGGATGCGCTTTTACAAGTGTTCCTTAGATGTTTTTCATTTTTTTTTATTTTTTTTTTTTATTTTATTTTTTTTTTGTTTTGTTATAACGGGGCCCCACAGTGCCCGCAGGGGAATGATACCTAATTAACATCGACTGCCGAACAGACAGACATTCCAACTCAAAAGAGGATATACGTGAACTAAAAGTAAACAAGTAAAAAATGAGTTTCAAATTAAATCAATTTCAGTTGTCAGGGTATATGATAGAGGAAGGCAATTAATTTCTATATAAATAACGGCTTTGTGAACATATTACGAATAATGTTTAAGGAATGACGATAATAGTTCCTTCATCTCTGTAAATCGCGCGTCATTTGTAAATTAAAGTGCAGAGCAACCACGCATCATTTGTAATAGTAATCATCTTCATACTCGTGACGGGTTTGCGATAATGCGAAACTTTGAGCGAATTTTAAACAAAGCGAAAGGAGCGTTCATTAAAAAATTCAGAGAAGACAAACTGTAAGAAAATCAATCGAATGCTAAATCTCTCATGCCTTATCTAATAGAATTATAAATTTATTATCATTATCATTATTATATTATAATTATTGCATTACTATTATTATAATTACTCTGATATATATTATAATTACTTATACATATTGTTTGTTTAATGCCTCCTTCTTTATTATTCATAATTGCTAATACTAATTGCTAAGCATATTATATATTATACATATTATATACAAATATAAGACACGTAAACAAGCCAGTACATAAAAAAGGAAAAACTTTATAAATAACAATAGAGAATTTTCTTGACAGAAAAGCAACTATACAATCAGAACTTCTTTTTTCTCTTAATAAAAAAAAGTTTTAAATATTCACGTTTCCGTACAACTACGCTATGTCTTCGCCATCTATTTAAAAGAAAAATTTCACGATGAATAAAATTCTTGTCCATTTTTAATTATACATAGTGTACATTTTTTATATAGCACGTGAGATTATATTATTAACAGCGGATCGCGCTGTAAGAACGACGTAGCACGTAGCTGTGTATACAAACTTAAAAAAGGGAAAGAGAAGTTGCATAAACAAGTAGACGCATAGTCTTTCAGTGATCTTTCACGTTCTATTAGTTTTCCATTTTGTTTTTACTGGCCTGGTTGCGCGTTGAGTAATTTTTGATAATTCGAGAAGCTGCAAGTAAATGTACCACGAAATTTCCACAACAACAAAGAATTGATTCGTCTCGTCACGCCGTACTATCTGCCGCTTATTCTTTATTTATATTTATTAAAATATAAATAATTCTTACTCTTCTTTTATGTTCCTTAATGTTTTAGTTGTTTTAGAATTAGTTCAGAGGTAACCTTGCCTATACATTGCAGCGCGACGTTTTCTTATTTATCGTTCGTTTTATTTTCGAAGATTTGTTTTCTCGCTTCTCGAAAGAAAAGTACGCCGTGACGACATGAGAGTGGGTCGAGCATTGAAAGCCTCATTGTTAACGGACGATTGAAGGCGAAGCTCTTTTAATTGATAATACGGTACGAAATGTACAAGGTTGATGAAGTTTTTGCAAATTCTTTCTTTTTTTTTTACAACCGGAATTTTACAGTAAGATTCGATGCACTGTGAGTTCAACAAAATTTATGTAAAAGTTATAGAAGCGAATTTAAATCAACAGAATTACGTTTTCATACAGAATTCACAGTAGTGGTAGTATTTTGAATCTTTAAATGCTGCACTAGGTCGATCTTACGAATCTTACTGAAGTTTAAGTGAATTATAGGCTCTTACATCATAATGAATGAAATATAAGTAACCCTATAAATATTGATTATATATATATATATAAATATATATAAATATATATATATATATACCTGTATATGTATACCTATATCTTACACCTAATCGGTATGACGATATGTATGTAATAAGTAATATTTAAATATTGTAACAATTGTATATGATTTTATTACACGCTGATTGTATTATATACTTGAAAGATCTGCGACCTCCCACTTATAAATCGTACTGAATAATGAAAGAAAACACACACACACATACACATAAAATACACTGATAACATTGGCATTAACATTGGCTAACAGCAATTTTCATGGGCTCACAAAAAAAATAGACTCGCTACACACGTAGACCCACCAGATTTCAACTGCCATGGCGCTGAAGTAAAGCTAAGATAAGAAAAAAATATTGTACAAATTAAGAGTGGGTACTACAGGGAATGAGCAATGCAAGATAATGTCGATGGATCGCACGATGAAATTGCGCAATCAACCTTGACCATTTGTAAATCAGAAATCGACTAATATCCATATTGGGAATGGTGCGCCCTGATATTAAAGACTGATGTACAGTTGCGCGCTATTCTCCCCCTCCTTATCAAGTCACTTGTATCCTCGAGCACCACGTTGTCGCATATAACCAACACACACAAACACACACACACACACACACACACACCCAAACACAAGTACACGCAACACGGCAACTTTTCATGTCGATACCGATATCCAGAATCGATTGGAGCTTGTATATATAGTGTTATCAAGGCGCAAAGGCGAGATCTTGATGACTGACAAGTAGCGAGAGGTGATTTTTCAAATTTTTGTACCGATTCATACAACTTTCCTATGCATCAACGGACCTCCCGTACCAAGCCTTTGCTAAATTTGATAAATACGTAAGAATATAAGACACGACACGTAACACATTTGTCAGTTTTCTGCAAGATCCGCCGATGCGAGCGCGATGCACTTTGATATTAACACACCAGCCGTAAATCGTGGAATGGGATGATGGCTCGTTTCCCGATGACATTTAAGTCTGCGATTGTTGGTTCGTGTGCGCTTCTGATCATCCGTTTTGTGTGAACGCTGGCTCGCATTTTGCTGCGCGCCATCGGGCCTCGGAGATCGCATGGATTAGTTGAACAAACTACAACCAATTCTATACGATAAAATTTCATGAAAAAATTACCTTTCTGCTCGTAAGGTCGTTCTTGATAAACGTGTGTACATATATGCATTATAAAACCCTAGGAAATATCTCCGCGTTGAGCGTGAACTGCGTCTTTTTTTCACTGTATCTCACAGAAAAATAGTAAAAAAATAATAAAATTACAAAAATATTTTTCTTTTTTTTCTTTCACTAAAGCCTTGTAAGTTCTACTATGTTGGCGATAATTCGTATGTGATTGTGCATTGTAATTTTGTGTTATAAGAGTCAACAAAGCATACTATGACATTGTAATAAATGATTTTTTTAATCAAAAAAAACTATTGACTCATTCATTGGAAAAATTAACAGTTGCCGAGTGTAACATTTATTTACTTTGCAAATTCGTGATCCAAGCAGCACAATGCGAGCCGACGACAAAGTATAAGAAAGTTAAAGAAAAAATAAAGACAACAAACAAAAGTTTTGTTGGAAATTAAAAAAAATAAATAAAACATAAATAAGTGGGATGGACGAGCAATGAAAATATAAATTACGTAATTTGTATATTAGTGTATAGAATGTAGAAACGATGAAATAGTCACAAAAAGAATCATTTTCAACAATGTTTTTTACAATGGGCGGTACTGAGACAAAAAATGTCAACATAAATGTAACAGTAATAAAAATAAGAAAAACAGTTGAAAATCCGATGAAACAAAAGCGATGAGGAATATATTTCCCGAGAAAAATTTTCCCAAATCAATTAAGAAAAAACACATTATTTCGAGCTCAGAGACACGCCACTTCACTTTTTCAGCTTAAACGACGACTGATTTGTTGTAATAAATTCACAACCAATTTGATCATCCATTTTGCACCGCTTGATTGTAACGCCACTGTCAAACTTTTAGTTACGATGCCGAACAAACTTTGTATATTGTTGTAAAGTTTTTTTTTACTGTAAAGATAAAAATTTGCCTCTGCGCAGCCCTCATCGCGTTAGAAGCTATCGTGGCTGCGATGGAAAGCTGACTTTTTCGATGAAAAGAAAAAATACTTGTGATCCACTAAACTTCTCACTCGATCTTTCTATATATTCTGATTCCTATTGATATATAGATCTGTAAGAAAACTCATTGTCGTGCATTTTTTATTCAAATCTAATTGCATTTGCCATTCAAGTAACCAACTCTTTCAAACGATCGACGCACTTTTTTTATAAAACTACACATTTAAAAAAGAACACACACGCAAACTGAAAGTCTCATTCTTGGCAATCGATGAAAAAATTCGCATCCATCTCTTGCTTCATATTCACCTCTATGTCTTTAGGGAAGAAAAAAATTTGTTCAAATAGTCAGGCTTTTATAGACGTAAACGGGCGTGCCTCGATGAGAAATGAGTCAAGAATGATCACTTGATCCGCTGCAAAAATTTCGGAAAGACACTAACCGATGAAGAAAAAAGGAAATAGCGATGAGGATGAGCAGTTTTACGCGTTTAATGTCGTAGGGTCCACTTTAAGCGTTCAAATAGAGAGGCTCCGTCTGTAGCCCGAGCAGTCTGGAAAGCTGTCACTCGACTATTTAACTAACTAAACTTTATAAATAATCGATTAATCAAGTTATACATATTTCAGTCTAGTTATACGACGGAAACTAGAATTGTTTCGTGTCGTCGTCGCCGGTGAATATAAAAAAAGAGGATTTAGCTACGTAATTTAACTCGTAAAAGGCGTAGATCAACATCGCCGACGATTAATCATTTAACAGTGGATATATCGTTATATAATTATGTGTACCTATGTATCGATTCGCTTTATTCGGCTTCTGTTTAATCTTCCCTCGATTATTAACGTGATGATTGCATTCTACTTTAGTTTCGATTGAAACGCTTGGGCGTTATTGTGTATCCTCTAGGCATTATTATTTATTGTGTCATTCATACGTGTCACTTGCGCTTCTTATCCGTAGGGCGATCTACGTCGAAAGGATTTCCGGGCGAATTCCGACTTCCTGTCTGTCTTTCGAATCTCTGCGAATTTTTCTCACCGATAAAAAAATACTTCAACTATCCCGAAACTCCATTTCCGTTCGGACATTGCGTTCTACATTTTATGTAATAATAAACCGAATAAGCACAAAATATCAAAATGTAATAACCTCGATAAAGTCCCATCACAGAGAGAAAGCGCCTCGGGAATAAAGAAAAACACGATGACCACGCTAGTACATAGTTTACTTTAGGTTGTAATCAGCATTTCCCATTCATACGTAGACTATGCATTTGCGACACTTGCACACTTCTTACACGCATACACCAGACACATAAATACATACACACTATTAAACATCCATATGCAAGATACGTACACACACATACGACACTTTTAAAGAAAATTGGTAATGAATTAATGATAATCTAAATGTAACATGTATATGATGGTTGTACAAATGTAACATTTTTTTCCATTATGTATGGATGACGACGATTACTAAAAAATAATAAAAAATAAAATAATAAAGAATTTGAGACGCAAAGGCAAAATGAGGAAAGGATAAATAAGAAAAAAAAACAAGCGAAAACAAAATGTGTGTGCGCGGGAATCGATGAAGCTTCGCTTTCATCGGTTGATCGCATCACTCAAGAGTGATTTATCGATAAACTACTCTTACTTTTCATTATATAAAATACCATTTCTGTAATAACATTATGATATAAAACCATACATTGAATGACACCCTCATTGTTATAATTTACCTGTGCGTTCCTCAATGACTTCTCTCTGTATCATTATTTTTATTTCTTTTTATTGTACTCCATAAAGTTATAAACTAACATGCAAACTCTTATTAAGAAGCTCTGCAAAAAAAGAACCTCTAGAGTAGTACGCAGACTACTGTACGCAGGATTAGAGATCTCTTAAAAACTAACTAAAACTAATTATAAAAGTGAAAAAATTGAAGTTCAAGACTTTCATCAGTGTCCAATGATATTTATTGGAAAAGTGATTACTTCATAATTGTTCTGCGCTTATTTACAAATTACAGGATCACCTACCACAGTATCACTGTGTAAATCACGTATAACTTAATTAACTTACAACTACAAGAAGGTAAAGTTTTTATATAAACATATGAAACAACGGTGAGTCTGCGACAGCATGTAGTCGGATGAACTAACATTCATTATTTCTTCTATAAATAAAGTTAAAAATAATCAGCTATGAGTCAATACTCGTTTTTTTTCGGTTACAAATGCGCGTACAAAAGAAAAAAATTGTAACTGATAACTGTACATTTCATTCACTTTCCTCCTTGGATCTTTCTCTCTCCGAGCGTCTTGACTTCTTTTTACGCCTGCTTTGACTCCTTGATCGTGACCTGTGACGCCTGGACTTTGACCTAGAGCGATGCCGGTGACGACTGAAATTCAACATTTAATGTTTGATTAGTAATCGCCTTTATTTCATCCAATATAAATAAATAGAATAGAACAAGTAAACCAAAGTTTCACCTCTCTTTGTGTCTATATTGTGATCGTGATCTGTCACGTTCACGCTCTTCGTCTCTCGCTGAGGACTCTATGTCTCTCTCTTCTCGCCTTGATTCCTTGTCTCTGTCTCTATCACGGTCCCGATCACGTTCTCTGTCCCGATCGCGCATCATCGACTCTTCGTAGTCTCTGTCGCGATCTCTGCCTCTGTCTCGCTCTCTATCTCTGTCTCGGTCCCTTCCTTCTCGCATCATTGGAGGCATCGACGGTGGCACCATCGATTTGTGATCTTTATCATCACCACCCGCCAGCGAAATGTTGACACTTGCTGACTGCCAAGACTAAAAATAAAAAAAGGTTCATATGCTACAACATTATCGAATTCAAAAGATACTAAAGCTTAAAGGCATACTTACGGGATTGTCACCCCAAGCCCTGTCTTGTGTAGGTTCGTAGCTGTTGTGATAATAGGGATCAGGCTCCGGAACAAAGTAAGGAGCTGGTTCTGGATAACCAGGTGGAGGCATGTCGAAAGAAGCTGGTAAAGGTGGACCAGGAGGTGGTACACTCATATCAGGGAATGCTGCAGTTTGCTTACGAGAATATTCTCTCCTATCACCAGTCATTACTTGAATTACATTCTCTTTTGGTGGTGACTTTTCGCTACCTCTCCTTGATCCTAAGCCTGAGCTACCAATGACATCTATTGTTCCTGCCATCTTACGTCCAGGTGGTGGGCCTGCTCTCTTCGGCCCTGTTACACCAGAGTACTTGCTATTGTAATTTGTTATGGTGACTTGTGGTATCCTTGATCCTGGAGGTCCACCAGGTACACCTCCAGGTCCACCAGTACCTGAGTTGAGTATCAGACCAGCACCTGACTCGCTTCTCATGCGCTTCTGCCGCTCACAATATGCCCGCCATGTCTCTTCATTGAAACCATAATTGAAATAATCTGTGATGTCAGCTCCTGGTTGTCTCCATGGCTTATCTTCGAGTGTATCAAGGTTGTATTCATGAGCTGGTATGCCATTGATACTCCCCATAGTTTCAAACTCATCAATACTAAATTTTCCAGGCTGTTGTTTTGACTTCTCTGGTCCTCCCGTTGAAGAAGTAATCAAATTGCCCGTACGTTTGATATTCAGACCACTGTACTGAGCTGGAGCTGACTTGATATCACCAATAACGACATGTACATCATCGTCTGAGTCAGAGTCTGATCTCTCTCCATCTTCGTGATTCTGACTATCATTTGTGCCATTTTCTTGCATTTCATTGGTCATGGAGTTCTCTTCCTGGCTTCGCTGCTGTTGCTGTTCTTGATCGTTCTCTTGGTCCTGATCGTAATCATCTTGCCCAGTACCTGTATCACCTCCGTCTTCCACCGACTAAAATGAAAAATCAATGAAAAACGTCAATAATGATTGTTAATTACACAGTAAAAAACACGACTTAGACACTGAAAGTGACTAACAGTATGAGAAAAGCTAGAAAATACGCAAGCGTAAACAAAAAAGTTAAGGTTAGCTTACCTGCTGCATTTCATGTTGTTGATCTTCCATACCATCTTGAGCATCCTCGTTCTGTTGGTAGGGCGGCTCTTCCTTAGGATTAAAAATCGCCTCATTTTCGGCGGGTTGACTGTCAGGATTCTCATGGAAACCATCTTTTTCATCAACGGAATCGCCGTATAACCATTGATCCTCGTTTTCGTCCGCCATTTTTCAAAGTACTGCTTCCGCAGAGACCACAACGATGCAACAGACACTGAACCGGTCCGCGTTAGGATGTACTCTATATCTAATCTATATATATATGAGATATATGTATAGATACTTAAGGCCTTTCCACACTGAGGAAATATTCCTGTGATATTCTTGTTCCGTGTGATTGGTACTTGTCGGAACATAAATATAGTTCACTGTCTACCTCCTTACGCGTATTTAGTGTTTCGAGAAATGTAAAAGGCGCAAAATCATGGAAAATGAAAATAATTTATATAAGATATATTTTAATTTATATATGTAATTAAATTATAAATACATTCAAGTCTATGTTTATTGTAACACGTTTATCTAGGTAGAAGAATATAAAACAATGTTACGATAAATTATGTTTGTTAATAAACGTTTAACGAAAATTCTTTTTCCAAAATTTATTTGGCTGTATTATTAACAGCTTCTATAATCTCTTCTCGTATTTCTGTTTGGATCATCAGGCTTTATAGCCGGGAAGAACAGTACCTCCTGTGAGTAAATTTAAATAAGTTTTAGTTTACAGATATTTATGAATTATAAATATCATTATAATTCAAACTAACTTTAATATTATTAGAGTCAGTGAGGAACATAGTTAGACGATCAATTCCAAGACCCCAACCTACGGTAGGCGGCAAACCATATTCTAAAGATGTACAGAAATTATCGTCAACTAATTGTGCTTCATCGCCAGCAGCCTTATCTTTTGCCTGTTGCTCAAATCTAGAAATATACATTTTTAGTAAAATAAAAATTTTCTTTTTCAAAAAATGAGAATTACTCAATTGTGCAATTCGCAAAAATATTACATACCTTTCCCTTTGTACAAACGGATCATTCAACTCCGTATATGCATTACAAATTTCTTTCTTCATGACAAAAAGTTCAAATCGTTCCGTGAGACCCTCCGTAGAACGGTGGTATTTAGCAAGTGGAGACATAATTTGTGGATGATCCAAAATGAATGTTGGATTTATACACTTTTCTTCAATGAACTCGCCGACCGGCTGAAGTTATAAATTATTATTAGTAACTAATTAATAACTATCTGTTTATAAATTCAATTTTTAAACTATTAATATTCACATACTTTATCTAGTAATCTAGCAGTGGTCCTTGGTGCTGGACATTCAATCTCGTGCTTTATACAAAGATCGATGAGGAATTTATTAGCCTTTGGAGTATTTAATTCGGAAGCCTTAGGAAAATTAACATTCAGAAGTTCCTCAAGACTTTTCAACATTGATATTCGCTTAAATGGCGGACTAAAATCTATTTCTACCGCTTCACCTTCTTAGCCGTCTGGATGATAGATTACTTTATAAGTACTATGTGTTAACTTAACCATGCCCGAAATCATAGCTATCAAATCATTGTAATCCGCATAGACCATGTAAAATTCACAAGTGTTGAATTCAGGATTGTGAGTCATGTCGATACCTTCATTCCTGAACTATCTTCCGATTTCGTAAACTCTGTCAATTCCTCCTAGCATTAACTTCTGTAAAAAAAGTTGAGTTTAAATAAATTAAATTTAAAATTAAGATAATTAAAGATTAAATTAATATAACTATCTTTAATATATTAGAAAATGTATATAGTTTTGAAACTATTATGTTTACTTTGTTGTAAAGTTCTGGTGTAATCCTCATGTATACATCCAGTTTAAGATCGTTGTGATGCGTGATAAAAGGTTTTGCTGTTGTCCCACCAGCAATCATGTTAATCATTGGTGTTTCAATTTCCAAGAAACCCAGTTCATCCAAAAATTTACGTATGTAAGAAATAATTTGCGCTCTAATGTAAAACTTTTATCTGACGTGATTGTTAATGATCAGATCTAAATAACGTTGACGGAACCTTGTTTCCTAAAGTCAATTTTAAAAATAAGTATGGTGTTCAGATTGTCTACATTAATTATTAATAATCTTTTACTAAAATTTTACTTTATCTTTCAATCCACAATGTAAATAAGGAAGCATGTGCAAACAAGGGTTCAGAAGTTTTATACTTTTAGACATAATTGACAATTCTCCTTTCTTACTTTTACAAGGAAAATCAACAATACCAATAATATCACCTCTACCAATTTTAGAGTTATCTGGCTCAAATTTGCTTTCATCATAATAAAATCTTGCATTGGCCATCACTTGAACTTTTACATCTTCTCCTTGGTTGTAAGCGATCGATATGAATGTGCCGTTTTTAAAAAACAAATTTACGCACGGTTTACACAAAGGTTGGCAGATGGAAATATGACGCAAGTTGTAACGTGTTTCATCACACAAGTATAGTAGGCTAGCCGGCAGAGCAGCTTGACTTCTTAGCAAGCTTCTTTCAATAATGCCCAACATCGTTCGTTGCTTACAGCACAATTATCGCAATTATAGCACCACCGACAAGGTGGTACAAAAACCGTTAATTTATTAACACTTATTAACTTGCACATCTCATTTTAACCACGTAACTGCTCGGTGGGGTAAATCTACCCCAGCCCGAAAAACATCGAATAAATCAGAGAATTTTAGATATTTTGCTATGAAAAGTTTTTCTAGTATATTTCAAACCTTTTACTACAAAAAAAATATTCATGTTAACAATTTTTAATGTTACACATACTGAAAAAAAATGTTGAAAAAAAAAAATAAATTTTATTTATTGTTAAAAATTGTCTGGGGTAAATCTACCCCACATAGCAGTTAAGTGTTAAACAAAGATCGAAAAATACTGTAGTACAGAAAGGAAATATTCTTGAACATACAGTGTGCTGTAGGTTATCTTTAGATAGTCAAGTTCTAACGTGAAAGCACCACGATGATTACTCACTTTTTTGACAATTTTTCACCTACTGGTTCGGCCATTTCTACCATGAGGTAATTTGATTTCCTGATTTCCCACCATCTTTAGCAGACGAGAATTGTACACTATTCGTTAGTTCATAAGTTCGCGCTTCTGGCGCGTATTTTGAGATAAGCTGCTTATAGATCAGCTGCTGTAAAAAGTGTTACTAGCTTCAAACGGATAAACACGTATGATACACGGGAGAAAGTTAATATATAAGTATCATTGTTATAAACGGCTTTTTGAAATCTCCGCTTATGCACGTTAGCATTTGTAATACTAAATAACTATTGTAATAATTGTAATAAGTAAATAACTAAATAAATAAATAAATATGTGTGTGATAACTACATACATACATTACATACATACATAAGTATTATACATAAATATGTGTATTATACGTACATATGTATTATACATACATATATATTTATACATACATGTATATTATACGTACATATGTAATATACGTACATGTGTATTATACACTCATAAGTGTTATACTGCTCTCGGTATTATACGTACAAGTGTATTATACATGCATGTATATTATACGTACATGTGTCTTAAACGTACAAGTGTATGATATGTATAATTGTATTATACGTACGAGTGTATTATACGTACGGGTAATATACTATAATATAAGTAATATACGTATAAGCGTATTATACATGAATGTGTATTATACCTGCATGTGTATTATACGTACGTGTGTATTATACGTACAAGTAATATACTATAATATAAATAATATACGTATAAGCGTATTATACATGTATGTGTATTATACCTACAATGTGTATTATACGTACGTGTGTATTATACGTACAAGTAATATACTATTAGGATTGAGAGTGAATGCGCTCGATAATTGGGATAGGGAGCAATAGAGTTCAGGAATTTGGATGGAGAAGTGAAGAGTTCAGGAGTTGGGATTGAGAGAGAAAGAATTAGAGAGTTAGGATTGGGAGAGCAAGAATTCTTAGGTTTGCACATATCCATGCGCAAAATACACTCCTCTAACCCCAGCCAGCAAAGTATAACGGACTGTGAAAAAAAAAATACCATTTGAAATATCTCTAATAGAACCCTCCAAAAATGCTCATTTTTTTAATTTAACCCCTTCAGTTATCCCAAAAAAACTTAAAAACTATAATAATTTTTTCGTTTTTTGCAACTGCGATATATTTAGTAATACTTAATATTTTTGCAAAGAAATAGGGCAAAAAAATTGAACCCTTGCTCGTTTTAATTGCACACCTCTTACTTTTTCAAAATTATTAATATCAAAAACAAGGTCAAAATTATGGTCAAAAACAACAATCTAATTTTATTGTATGTTCTTTCCAAATAACCCAATAACCCAATAATCTATTTAGAAAGAACATACAATAAAATTAGATTGTTGTTTTTGACATATATATTAATAATTTTGAAAAAGTAAGAGGGGTGCAATTAAAACGAGCAAGGGTTCAATTTTTTTGCCCTGTTTCTTTGCAAATATATTAAGTATTACTAAATATATCGCAGTTGCAAAAAACGAAAAAATTATTATAGTTTTTAATTTTTTTTGGGACAACTGAAGGGATTCAATTAAAATAATGAGCATTTTTGGAGGGTTGGGTTGGGTTGGGTTCAATTAGAGATATTTCGAATGATATTTTTTATTTTCACTGTCCATTACACTTTGCAGGCTAGGGTAAGGGGAGTCTTAAGTAACCGAGGTCGCACTCGGTTACTTGACTAGGTATAGTGTAGCATTTGAAAAATGTATAAAGAATGAGGGATCGGACCGTGCGTTCGGTCCAATTCCTTAGACTCATGCATTAGGTTTATATAAGAACCGAGTGCTACAGCTGGTACACCTGGTCGATATATACCATGGAGAATATAAAAGCTCTATGTACACCCAACGTGGGTTGAATCGCGACCCCCCCAGTTAGGTTGGTATGAGAATTCCGTCGTTGCATCGGAACGAAGAAACCGCGGGAAAATTCAAAAATAAAAATTCGTTTTAAGATACGATAAAAAGTTAAAACGTTACTAATTTGTTTTTAGGTTTAAAATTAATTGTTTGCCGAACAATGAATTTAGATGCATGATTATTTGATTTTAGGTTTTAATTATATAATTTAAGAACGAGCGTTATACTATGGCCGATCTGAAAACCACCGTTACGGACTTAAAGTAGCAGTCAAAATCAAAGCTCGAATAGCAGACCTGAAAAAGTCTGTTTACACGTGTCTATTTTAAATGTTTCTTCCGAGTTTCTTGTCCTTTTACCTGCTTTTGCTTCAGCAAGGATTTATCGTTATGCTGGCATTTAGATAAGTTATTATTTATTTATTTATTTACTATCTACAATAGAAAATAAAAACATGTTACTTTGTGAATATTCTTTTTTTTTGCAGGAGTTTTTATTTCAGCAGGATGAAGTGAAATAGAAATGTTATACTAATATTACTGAAAAAGAAATTTACTCCACTTGGCTCTTATATTTGCGGAAAACCCAAAATATTTTTCCCATTCTTTTCCCATTCTTTTCCCCCTTTTAAGTTTATGTTAGGAAATGTAACACAAGGTTACATATGTATTCAAGGTATACATTTATTATAGACATTTTATCTTCAAAATAAAAATAAATTTATTTCTTGCAATACATTGACTTACTTTTACCTTAATAATGTATACCACTTAAAAAAGTTTATTATGATAAGACATTGAAACATATGTCTAATATATATTTATATACATATATTTTTTTTTTCAAAAAATGTGATTAGGATAGAATCCAAATATTAATGAGACACTTTTAATCGATACTTTTGAAGATAAAATGTCTAATGTATACCTTGCATGAATGTGTACACCCAACGTGAATTGAATCGCGACCCCCCCCCCCCAGTTAGGTTGGTATGAGAATTCCGTCGTTGCATCGGAACGAAAAAACCGCGGGAATATTCAAAAATGAAAATTCATTTTAAGATACGATAAAAAGCTAAAACGTTACTAATTTGTTTTTAGGTTTAAAATTAATTGTTTGCGAACAATGAATTTAGATGCATGATTATTTGATTTTAAGTTTTAATTATATAATTTAAGAACGAGCGTTATACTCTGGCCGATCTGAAAACCACCGTTACGGTCTGAAAGTAGCACTCATACCAACCTAACTGGGGGGGGTCGCGATTCAATTCACGTTGGGTGTACCTTATATAGATGGAGTCTGCATTACAAAACTCGGAAGATAAAGTAAATTTCAGAACTAGCGAAACCATATTTATTGGGATTTAGGATAAGATTCGAAAAGTTAGCTTAAGCGCTCCTACCGGCAGATATCGTAAGCCATGAAACCAGGCTCTCTGACTCTGATCGAAGTTTTCATATAAATTACAGCACTATGCCGTATAAATATATTTTGATAAGTACATATAATCAATCGATAATAGTCAACGGTTTTAATAACAATCAGTAATATTTATTTCGATAATAATAAAATCACTGCGATCGTTATAATATATTCCTCCAGGGTATGAGAAATATCATAACTATTTTCAATAAGGTGCAAAACATTACGTATGATGCAGCAATAATGTTGCTAAGTGAAGAAGAGATAATGAGATTTGGTTGTTGTACCAAATTTAGCCGGAATTACATATATTTCTATGTTTAGAAGTAAAATAATTATAAAAAATAAAGTTTTATTTAATACTTCTTTACGTACCAGTTGTGATAAAATTATCATTCGTAAAATGTTTAGAGCAAACGTTCAAAGAATTTTTCAATTTTCCAGTGATGCTAAAGACTTTTATCTAGAAATATCTTAAATTAATTTTTTCGATTTGACTAAACATATTTTATTTTAAAAACAACTTTTGCAGGGGAGGGAAAGAAATGAAAACTCAATTGGCTGTTGACGTAGGCTCGCGAATTACAGTTTTTGACACAACAAAATACTCTACTGTTTTTTAGTAACTGCTGTTGTTCTATTTTCTAAAGCATGTTTATGAATTACAGAATCAATTCAAGTACTCTCTTCTATAAAAAAGTGTATATTAACTATGAAAAAACGATATTAGAGAGCTGCTCCATCAATTGCCATACGTAAACACAAGTAGAAGCTTTCTACGAATTACGAGCCTTGTCACACGGTTTGCGATTTCTGCCGGTAGGGGCGAAGAAGCTAACTTTTCGGATCCCAATACGAAGCGAAATATCAGAGTTATTGGTGTTTAACGCAAAATGTTCATTGAAAAGACGGCTTATAACTTGATTAACCATTTGTGAGTAGGTAGTAAATGGAAATAATAATTGATGGAAAAGTTGAATATTTTTTCACTGAACAGAATGACTAAGCATTGTCTAAAATGCAGTGACTAAAAAATGATTTTATTCTTAACGTGCAGCTAACCGTGTTATATAAAAATTTATTATTAATAATAAATTTTTATAAATACAGCTCGTTGTGATGCTTGAAGGCGTAAGATATCTTATTAAGACTTTCCTACTAAGCAGCTGACATTGAATACCAACGATCCACGGCATTATATAATCAATGAATGCGCATACAAGCATTATTTTGCAGTACAACTACGTGTTTGTGGTTGGTGGTCTTGTTTAAAAGAAGCGCGAAGCTGGCAATGAGGATGTCGTGATCGTATATGTAGCTATAATTATAGATAAGGTACGCAAGCTACGAGCGAGTACGCTCTTGAACTGTAGCTTAAGCTATGTCAAGCATTTCATAACCTTGACGAAAAGTTGATAACATCTCTCCCACTCTCCCGGGGTTCCGAGCACTACAGATTACCACACAATTTTTGTGTGCAGTTGTCATAGGCAATGGCAGCAGATAAGGCGGATATTTGTCACGGTGCGCAAGAACGGTAGGGGAAATCGCATTGACATGCGCCAGATGCGGCAGTGCGCCGTCGTCGTCAGTGCTAAAGAGTTGCAAAGCAATCGCTCGATACGACTTCCGAAACTCAGGAAGTGTGTAAAGGCTGCTTCCTAGGAAAATTTTGCAATTCGCAACATGAACGGCAACTCCACGCCTCGAGTACTCTCCATCCAAAGCCACGTCGTCTCAGGATACGTCGGCAACAAGAGTGCTACTTTCCCTTTGCAGGTCTGTCGTCTGCGCAGCAGCACGCTGCTACTATTTGAGCTACAAGTTTTTGTTTACTTTGGCGCTGCCGAAATAGCGTTCAATGCATACTCGTACCACGGTTTTCATGACGATTTATCATCTTATCAATCGTCACGTATCATGTCAATTTAATTAATTAATTAATTAATTTTATTAAATGAAGTATTGACAAACCAAAGTTTTTTCTACAGCTGTTAGGATTTGAAGTAGACGTGATAAATTCAGTCCAGTTATCGAATCACACAGGATACAAAGTCTTCAAGGGACAAGTCTTGAATGAAGAAGATTTAAGTAAGTTTCAGAAAGATAATGACATATGTAAGTAGCTGGATAATACTTTTTATTCAGTGTACATCTAACTTTATTGGGAGATCTTGCTTACAGCAATAATTTATTGTAGAAGATTATCATAATTGAATAAAACTTTGCAGGCCAACTGGTGGATGGATTAGCAGAGAATGATTTAGATGATTATACACATTTGCTTACCGGATACTCTCGATCTGCTTCATTTCTCAGAAGAATAGCTGAGCTGGTCAAAGCTCTGAAACAAAAAAATCCAAAGTTGATTTATGGTATGTTCCTATTTTTATTTCAAAGTGATACTTTCTAAGTAAAGTAATTCATAAGAAAATGTATTTCTTCTTGTTAGTCTGTGATCCAGTTTTGGGTGATAATGGACATATGTATGTGCCTCAAGAATTAAAAGAAATTTACCAAAAAGAAATAGTTCCTCTTGCCGATATAGTTACTCCAAATCAATTTGAATTAGAGTAAGTGATATAAATAAATAATTTTTATATTCTGTTATTAATAGATATTCTAATTTTATAGACTTCTTACTGGAAAAAAAGTTGATACAGCCACTGAATTAAAAGATGCCATTTTAGGCTTGCACAAAATGGGACCAAAAATTGTTGCTGTGTCATCGTGTGATATTGGTGATAAGTTGACATCTGTTACAAGTACAACAAAAGGTCAATAGCTTTATAACATAATTGACATTCTTATATTATTGACTTTATCTATTATTACTATTTCGTGCCTCTAGATAACAAAATGATAAAAATTGAAGTGCCAAAAATACCAGCCTCATACACTGGTTCTGGAGATTTGTTTGCTGCTTTATTCCTAGCTCATTGTTACTTAACTGATAACATAAAAACATCACTTGAAAACACTATTAATTCTCTTCGCGATGTGCTTCTTAATACTTATGAACATTCTCAAGGTAGATTTATTGCATTACGAAATTTTCTAAAATATTTTTGATTTTAGTAAAATAGTAAAATAAATGAATATTTTAGGACTCGAAGATCCGAAACTTCAAAGAGCAAGGAAGATTGAACTTCGATTGATCCAGAGTAAGAAAATCATTGAAAATCCTTCCAAAAAATTGCAAGCTACGTCGTTCTAATTGCTAATACTTAACATCAAAACCGTTTTAATGAAGAGACTAATTAAACATGGGCCGTGACAATAACTTTACTCACCTTATCAGTATTTACATATAGCTTAGCTTCTTATACTGTTAATTGTTGAGGATAATTTGATAAAATACCTAGAAAATTTCATTGAAAATCAAATGCGGGCTTCATTTGATAGAACTGAAGTTTGTACGTCTTCTAAATAATGCATAAAATAACTTCCACGTAAATTTAGACAAATGGAAATAGTTTACGAGCCCCAACTCGTTTAAAAATATAATGAGAAATATATGAATGGGCATTTAAAGTGAAATTAATATCCGAAGTGTTGGTTTTTAAAAGCATTAACATTTTATAAAACGTAGTTAAATTAATATGCTTCAAGTATATATTTCGAATTCGACTTTTACTAAAATATCGATATATGTGGCAATAATTATTGAAACAGTTATCCTTCGGTATCAAGCGAAACTGCAAGTTAATTGTGTTGTTTTATGTAATTGACTAGATATCGTCTGCAATGTATGTAACTATTGAAAGTAAGCTACATACCTATAGCTTTTAATTTATGTTTGCAAATGCGCTTTTTTAAAATAAGTGTTGATCCATCCGACCAATATTTTAATGTCTTTCAAAGTGATCAGATAAAAACTGATAATAAATACAAGTACAACGTGGAGAAAATCCATAAAGAGATGTAATACTCTATATCAATCGTTATTCGTCATACTCGTTATATAAAGTATATTGAAAAAAAGAAAAAAAAAAAAAGTTGAAAAAAAACGAATTACTCGTGTGTTCTATTCTTTTTCAAATGGCCTTCACTGCCTTCAACATTGAATCATTCAGCTGTGAGCCTTGAAGCGCAGCTCTTTCCCAACGCGTGAGCGCCTACGAAACCGGAATAGAAAAAATACCGAAGCGTGTGTTGCAGCATCGGCGTCCCCCGACGACTAACGAAATCGGCCGACAGGCAAGGGCAAGCTTTCCCCCAGCGCAGACACGGGCGCTCCGACGATCGCGGATCCTCGTGGCGCGGCTTACGTAAGCGCGACTCGGTCGCTCACCCTTTTAGGCTGGCGGCGAGGGACCGGTTCTCTCCTAGAAATAAATCCCAAGGACGAGAGGGGAGCCGCCGCGAGGCTAGCAGCAGCCCTAGCATAGCAACAGGTAGTAGCCGTTCGTTAACCCGAGCGACCTTCGACAACAATGCCACGGAGCCGGAGCCGCCGCCGCCGCCGCCACCGCCGCCGCCACCGCCACCGCTGGGCTTGCTCGGCGTTCGCGCGTCCGAAAATTTCGCGCGCTCCGCGCCGTCCGCCTGAGCGAAATTGGAAGAGGAGAGCCGGTCGTTGAACCCACACTCAGCTGCAATTACATCTACATCTCGCCCTCTCGCTCGGCGCACGTGCCGCCGTTTAAAAACCTACGTTCCGCCGGCTGCCACGCTTCACCCTCCACTGCGTCACTTTGCAAGTGGCTCGCATTGTTAGCATTCTGCTTAACCAGGTCGCAACTCGTCGGCTCTCCCAACGTCGATCCGCTTATTTATAAAGGAAAAAGTTGAAGTATAGCAGTGCTGCAATCGGACAGTGATCGGGACTTACTCAATAGCAACAGATTTATTTGCACGCGCGACAGTCTAATGTCGGGCCGTGGCGATTCTTGTAATGGGAACCGATATACTGAAATTTAATGTAATTTACATTTGAATTGTTGCTATTAACGGGGCTACTGCAATTGACGCGCTGGTTCTTGGATTGCCCCGAGCGTTGCAACGGTTACCTAACAGTTTTCAACCGATGCTATAAATTGAAATGGAAAAAGCTTGAATGAGAAAATCGACGCTGGAAATGAAACGAGCGGGCGCACGGAGCCGAAAGATTTCGTTTTCGATGGTCTCCTCCGCGGTAGGCAATCGGCCAGAAGAAAAAAAGGAATTTCTGGTCGAGCCCTTCGGAGCTGCTGGGCTCCCCTTTCGCATATCTATCGCTTTACCTTGCTCGTTGACTTTCCGTTGCGCCGGCCATGAAGCGCGAGCGAGCGCGAGCAGCAGCGAGAGCGAGTTTACAAGAGGATGTGGAACGATGGCCCGAAGTAACCTCCATCGCCGCCTGCCGATCCTCATTTCTCTTCTCTCTCTCTCTCTCTCTCTTTCTCCTTCTTTCTCCTGCTGTTTCTCCGACTCTCTTGCTCTGGCCGAGAAATGGGGATGCAAAACGTCCCAAGAGGACTCGGCGGCAGAGAAAGAGTGCAATGACATCGGCGAAGCCATCGACCTCTCACCGCGCCGGCCAGCCGAAAATCTGGCCAGCCCGGGCCAAGAGTCTATTACGCGGCCTCTCGAAGAAAGTGACGACGATCCGCGAGTATTCACGCGGCGCGGCCAGATCGAGAGTCGTCCGCTTTTCTCTCTCTCTCTCTCTCTTTCTCTCTCTCTTTCTCTGGACGCCGCTCGGCAAAGTCGTCGATGGCCAAAGTTCCTGGAGCTCCGTTGGGTTTTCGGGTGGCGACGAAAGTGCTTCGCCAGCGGCCGCCTCGTTGCCGATCAAGCGTCTCCCTACGAGCCGCAGCGAACAACTTGACCCTGGGAAACGAGAAAATAAACAAGAAGAAAAAGAAAAGGCGAGAGGAAAGCCGTGGCGGCCCGTGACCGGGAAACGTAAGACTTCGGCGCGAGCTTTTCGGGGTCTAGGTCTGCGGCGGCCAATGAACTTGGCTCGATCGGCGCACTTGCACTAGCGTGCGCGCGCCAAGCCAGTTGATGCCGCGCTGGCCTACTATTGCTGCAAATATCGCCGAGGCTAAGGTGGCACGGCGCCTTTTCTAGCCACGCGCACGCACCTGCTCGCTCGGACCCCGCCGCGAGCCGCCGACGAAAGCCGAGAATGCGGCAGCTCGGGCTCGGACGTCGTCGGGCGCACGCGATCGAAAGGGAAGCTATGCAAAGTGCGCCGAGCGCCGTGCCGCGGCCGATGTACCGTTAGCGACTGTCGCGAGCGCTCGTTTTCGCGCTCGCCGGCGGCCCGTTACGGTCCGCGCCGACGCGAGGAGCGACTGCAGCCGCCGCGCCCGAGCACCGATGTCGCTGTCGATGGGCCCGCCTCGCCTCGCCCGAGGGCTCGCGCCAAGCCGAAACCGACGACGCCGCGGCCCGACCGAAAGCTGCGCGACGTCGACGCTGGCTCGCTCGCGGATCCGCGTACTCTTACTGCGCGCTCGTTCTCGAGCTCCTCGAGTTTCTCCCGGAACGAAGCGAGCCAAGGTATCAAGGTCTCGGCCGATGACCGACGCGCGTCTTCGACTTACGTCAGCGTCCTCTCCTCCGCAACCGACGCTCGCCACTCTTCGATCGCGCGTCCATTGTTCGCCACGGGATTCCTGGGGGCAGAGCCGCTTGTATCGTATTTTGGTTGAATGAACTCCGGCCGACGCGAGTCAGAAAAAAAATGAAAAAAAAAAAAAAAAAAAACGTTCCTCCTTTTGACTCCCGATTCCAATCCGCAATTTATTTCCCCTCTCGGCTCTCGAACGCGAATCGGCAGGTTCAAAGTAAAAGGATATTATTCAATTCGCTTTTATACGACTCGTTCGTGCAATTTTTTTTTTTTTTTTTTTTAATCAGCGCGAAACGTCATTCGTTACCGTTACAATGTTCGTTCGACGCGCTCGCCTCTAGCTCCGTTGCGAACGAGCTTGGCGTGTCCGATCGAAATCGGTTGCAGCGAGCAAAGACGCGACGGCTCTCGTCGGACAAAACGGCGATGTGTCTTGCAAGAAGAGTGAAGGTGTGCGCCAGAGTTCTTTAGGCCGGAGAACTCGAAAGAAAAGGAAGCCGCCGAGCACCGTTACGCGCAGGGTCTCTCGTTCGTGTCGCAATCCATTGCGCGCGCGCGTGCACTCGAGGGCCCATTCGCGCGAGCGCGCAGCCGAAAAAGTAAGAGTGTCTCTACGCCGATGGCCCGGCCGAGGAATGTCGCCCCCCGTCGCCGAGCGATCCCGAGCGCCGACGGCGCGTGAGCGTTTTCGTAGCGCGGCTAGCCAGCTGAATCGAACCAGCTCCGAGAAGTCAACGTCCCGCTATCGGCAACGAAAGTGCAGAGAATCTCTCCGGCGGCATCTCTCTCCTCGCCGACGATTTCTAGCGATCGTCGGTTTTTGCGCTTCCGCGTGCGTGCACAGCGCGATGCGTGACCTAGTACCCGTTTGGCGAACTAGGTCTCTCTCTCTCTCTCTCTCTCTCGTTCCAGTACAATTTCGAGCGTTTTTCGCGCTCCACATGTCGGTTACGTAAAATCGACAGTGCGCAACCCGATTGGCGAGCTGCCGCTGCCGCTGCCGCCGCCGAGCGACTGCACCGTTAGACGCGGATTTGTTCGCAGGGGTCGACGACTCCGATGCGGAGCGAGAGGTAAAAACGAACGCGCACGCTCCTCGCGTGACGTTTCCTTTCGTCCTCTTTCTCTCGTCGTCGTCGCGACCGCGACTGCTCCTTCTCCTTCTCCTCCGTCGTCTTCGTCCGCGGCCTTTCGCTCCCGAATGACGTGGCCGCGACCGTATCATCGAGAGTCAGCGCCGGCTTGTTGGACGTTCGGTGATTCAGATGCGTCGGCGAGGAAGCGCGAGAGCGTATTTTGTAATCGGTCGAACGCACCCACGACTCTTTCGGCCGCGAGTCCGTTCAACTTTCGTCGCAGTGCCTTTCGGGAAACGATTTTGCGCGCCTCGGCGAAGGATCGAACCAGCGAGCGCTTTTTCGCTTCGAAAGGAGAGAGGGGGAAAGAGAGAGAGAAAAAAAATGGACTTTTCGCTTTTGTCGTTTCGTCATTCCCGTATATTTCCTCCGCTTCTTAAGGTTCACTTTCGAGAAATTAACTCGAGTTACTTCACGTTACGAAGGTAACGACATTGAAACGCTCCAAGATTACCATACACTGTTGGCGTCTTTGTACAGCTTTGCGAAACACTAATATAATGGTTAGAACTAATACCGGCGATTGTATAAGCCGAATACATAACTCGTTTTGAAAAGTCAGCGTAGCCGTTAACCTTGAGCGAGCCAGGCCTTTGGCGTGCCCACGGGACGCACAGAGGCAACATTTTCGGAGGCGATATGGCGAAATACGCGGCGTTCGCGGCGGAGCGCGACCGAGCGAAAGGGTGTCGCCGATCGGAGCAGCGCAGCTGCGGCTGACGATCGGTGCTTCGGTCCGTCGTCCCGGCGGCGGTGGTTGAAACACGAGCGGCGGCGGCAAAGGGAAAGGAGGCGGCGGAGAACCGTTAGGCTCGTAGGGCTGTATGTCGCGAGGGCTCTCGGCTGGCGGCCGGCGGTGCCGCGCGAGGCGAAAAAGTAAGAGTGGCTAGAGCCGAGGAGGCCCGCGCGGACCGTTAGCCCGGCGAGCCGGCTGCTCCTGTTTGTCGCCCGGCCGGTCAGCGACCCGGGCGGCGAGCAACTTGCGTTTTTCAACTCTCTCGCCGCGGGCCGCGCGGGCCGCGCGGGCCTCCCCCTCGGGCCGGCCCCGCCGCCGAACAAGAGCGGCCGTCGACCCGCGCTCTCGGGCGCCGCGTGTGCCACTTCTGGCGCGCGAGCGCGAGAAATCGTAGGCGGCCCGCGCGAATAACGGTCGTCGCAAAAGCTGCCTGCCCCGCTCGGCACATCGGGGACAGACGCGCGCTGCGCTCCGCGCGTGTAGCCTCGATGCGCGAGAGTCTCGCCTAGGGAGGGGGGTCAAGGAACCCGCGCGTCTTACTTACGGTCCGCGCGAGCACCGCGGCGGCTTTTGTCCGCGCAGCCTCGGACCCACGGGAGCGCCCTCGGGGCCGTCGGCGACGCGCGGCGAGACGGCGGCCCGGCCCGTCGATCGTGAACTTGAACTACTCCGAGCGCCCATTGCACAACGGCTCTCGGACGTCGCAGCCCCTTGCGTAACCGAGCTCGCGTTGCGCGAAGCCGCGACCGAGCCGCGATCGAGCGAGCGAGCGAGATCGCGGGCCATTTCCCAGAGCGACCGCGGCGCGTTCCGAGGGCATTGCACCTACTTCCTGGATTATGCAGTTGCGCTCGCAACCGCTGCCGCGGCAGCAAGGTAAAGGTAAAGGCTGCGGCAAAATCGCGAGTCCCTCTCTCCTGCGGCTAAGTAGTGCAAGCGCAAGAAGAGAGTGCTGCTCCTCTCTCTCTCTCTCTCGCGCACGCGCGCGCGCTCCGCGCCAGGGTCAGTAACCAGCGCCGATGCTGCGTTCCGGCTCGCCGCGCCGAAAGCCACCTTGTTACGCAGCGCGAGGCGAGCTTGCGCGCGGGAGCTTCTGGCCCTGGCGGGTGCAAACGCGGGTGCAACGAACTCGCATCGCATGCGGGTCCGCCGCGCGACGATCGGCGCGCCTCTCGGCCCCTGCCGCCGACCGGCGGTGACTTGAACGGCCGCACGCGCGACCCGCTTGCGCCAGTCGCGAGGCGCCACCCGACAAACCCGCGCCTGCCGCGCGGCTCGCGTAGACCGGAAGACCGGCTGGCTGCGGGGAGGACCCTCTCTCGCTCGCGAACCCTCGCCTCCACGCCGGCCGCTCGCGACACCGCTTCCGGGCGAAGCGAGCGCGCGCTCCAAGTCCAGCTAATTTCCTCGAGCACCCGCACGCGCCCAAGTGGCGAGTCCTCTTTCGGCCTCCGCGTTTCCCCTGCGCGCGTACGAGGCCACCGGATCGCGCCGAGCAAGCGTCCGCTTGCAAGCGCCAGGGAGCGCGGAAGGAGCAAGGGCGCGCCTCGGCGAAGAGCCGGCAATCCCGGCGATCTCGGGAGCGCCCTTTGCGGAGGCTGCGAGCAGGAGACGAAGAAAGCGGGGTACCGCTAGGACGAAGCGAGGCGCGATAAAAGAGGCAAAGGGGAGACGGCGAGCCAGGCGAGAGAGGACTTTCGAAAGCGAAGCGGGCAGCAGAGAAGAGAGCGAGAAAAGCCGAGAAAACGTAGGTGCGCACGCGAGAGAAAGAGAGAGAGAGAGAGAGAGAGAGAGAGAGAGAGAGAGAAAGGGAAAGGGAAACGGAAAGAGAGAAGAAGCAGAGGAGCAGCAACGAGCGGGCAATCACCTCTAAGGACGAAGCGCGAAGGAGGAGAAGAGGCAGAGGCGGCGAGAGCGAGCGCGCGGAGGCTAAATCGAGCTGCGTAACGAACGAGCAGCGCGAGGAGCGCGAGAAGGGGCAGCACGCGCGCGTAGCCCGGGGTGAACGAGCCGTGGCAACGACCCCGGCGCGGCTCCCGTCCGCGAGCCACCACCTGCGAGGCGCTTGCATCCACGGGCCCCGCGCCGAGGCACCTCGGGGTTACCTGCACTTTCGGAGGTCAGTAACACCTTCGGGGCCGGCGAGTCCCGTTGCTCCCGCGAGCGAGCGAGCGAGCGACCGAGCGACCGAGCCGAGCCGAGCCGAGCCGAGCACCTAGGTGCTCACCCATAGCGAAGGAGGCGCTGCTGCCTGTTGCTGGCCATTGCTCTCTCTCTCTCTCTCTCTCTTTCTGTTCGCGCTACCTGCGCGCGAGCGAGCTCAGTACGAAGCACGCGGTCCCCGCGAAAACATCGCGCGCACGAGCAGCAGCGCGTTCAGTGCGATATGACCGATCAGGCGAACTGTGCCGTGCTGTGATACGTCGACATCGACTCTGCCTTCGTCGCTCGTCGTCCCGCTCGTCGTCCCGCTCGTCGTCCCGCTCGTCGTCCCGCTCGTCGTCCTGCTCGTCGTCGACCGGTCGAGGCCAGTGCGCGCCGGAGGATGAGGATTGCGCGACACTCGCGCTGACCGGCTGGAGCTCAATCGTCGCGGCAACAGAGAGACGGCAAGAGGGAGACAGGGTGGACGAGGAGAGCGAGAGGGGAGCTGCAATTGAGAATCGCTGGCGCGGAAGTTGCAGCGAAGGTGAGTCGTTGAGTAAGAGCGTGACTGGAGCGCGCGCGTAATCGCGCTGGCGTTGAACTTGAACTCGACGTCGGCGCTTGCATCGGACGGCCTTGCGACGATCGCTTCCTCGTTCGCGGGCCGAGCTTCGTCGCGCGCCACGGGCGCTGGCGGCCGCGCGCGGCGTGATGTAACGGAGTGCGCGCTCGAGGTCGAAAACGGACATTGACCTTGGGGCCGCCGGAGAAGCGCAGCGGCCTCGTCGGCGGGTGCGCTCCGGCGTAACGGCGCGGTCCTCGGCCCTTTTCGCGGCGCGGCGGACCGACGGCGGCCGGGTACAGTTAGCTTCCGCCAACCCTTTCGCCGGCGAGCGAGCGAGGGAGAGAAGGCCGCGCGTACCGTTCGCACTTCCGTCCCTGTCGATTTCAGCTTTTGTGCCGCTGCGCTTTTGTTCTGCCTGGTCCCCGGCGGATGTTTTCGCGTTAGGGCTCGTTCGCGGTTGGACCGATATCGTCGACGCGAGCTCGTCGCGCGCGGCCAAACGAAAAGAAAAGCGAAGGGAAAGACAGCCGGAGAGACATTTACATGTTACGACGACGAACAGAGAGGGAGAGAGAGAGAGAGAGTCGAAGCGACCGTGGAAAGAATGCTCGGAGAGCGTTGTCGGCGGGCAGGTGTGTGTACAAATGTGACATAACGGTACCTGGCTCGCGATGCCATAGGTGTGCGTGCGCGCCTGCGTATCCGATTTATTGGAGCGGTCGTTGCACCTTGGGCTCGGAGGTTCGCGCGCGCTAGAAACACGCGTCTCTCTTTCATCCGCGTTCTCTCTTTCTACGCCGCGCGCATTTCCTCTTCCACCCCCCCCCCCTCCCGTGCCGGCGCAGCTCGGCGACGATCGCACCTTCGACACACATACAGGCCTCTTCTGCCCGATCTCGGCGAAGGGCGCACCGACTCGCACTCGGGCAAAAGGGCTCCGGCTCCCCCTTCGCCCCGGCCACCTCGGCCGACGGGCGCTGGACGCAGGAGTGAACGACCGTTCTACATTGACGGAGCGCCTCCTCGCCGCGCTTCACAGTCACGGCCAGCTTCCCTCTCGCGACCTTCGACGGCCGATCCGACCGAGCTCGAGGACCTCGCGACGCGCTTGCGTGCACTCTTGGCTGCTCCCTCCATTCATCCTCGATTCTCCCCTTCGTCGGTCGAACTCATCTTCGTTTTCCTCTGCAACGCCGATTCACCCTGGATTCGGGACGAGCTCGCTCTATCGCGGCGAACGGGCCGAATCGCGGAGCCTGCCGACTTATTTGGACGCGCGCTAGAATTTTCACGATACTCGGTCAATTTTCACGATTTGAAGACGACGGCGCGGGAAAGACGCCGCAATAACGATTGCCACGGCAACGTCGAAAGTAAATGCCGGGGACGAACGAGGCAGTGCGAGGACTCTCGTTTGTTCGAGGCAGATCCAAAAGTGTGTCGGAGGTTCGGCGGCCAAACGACACGCGGGAGTAGCGATCGGCAGCTGGAAAGGAAAGCGCAAGCCAAGGCGACGAGCAGAAGAGCGATCGCGCGTCGAGGACGGCGAGCCGAGAAGAAAAATAGCACGGCGGAGCGAGACGGGGAGCTCGGTGGCGGCGAGCGCGGTGCGAAAGTGCACGCCGGCGCTGTTCTAGTGCTGGCTTGTCCCGATTTTGCGGCAGCGCGCATTTTCCTGCCATTATCCCCGCCCCGATCCGCTCGAAGCCCGCGAAGCGCGAAAAAATCGCTTTGCCGAGCGGCGCCTGCGTGCCACGTCGCCTCTTATGCGCGCGGGATCGAGATCGAGCGCGAGCGAGTCGAACGCCGCTCGCGCGCGAGCGCGTTATATAAGGTGAAAGGGGCGACATTGACATTGGCCGCGCGAGATCGATGCGGAAGTGCGCCGATCTACGAGCGCGTATTTCGTAACTTTGCGTGGTTTCCCGCTCGCCGCCTCCCCCCGAGACTCGCGCGCTTCCTCCGATTTCGCGCGATCGTGAAAGTCGAGCAGCAGCAGCAGCGGTGCCGCGTATTACAAAATAGGTTACGCCGTGAGTTCGACGACCTCGCGGCCGAGCAACTTTCATTGAATCGCGCCGGGAAATTGGGTCGCCCCAATTTCCCGCGCGCCCGAAGCTGGAAATTCGCGCGGCTCTCGGCCGCTTTATTTTGACGGCCTCTCGGCGCGTCTGGGCCCGCGGAGAGGTCATCGCTCCCCCCTCCCCTCTCTTGCCACTCTCTATTACGGGGACTAGCCAAGGTTACGGGCGACGAAGCAAAGGCCGTCATGTAGTATTCGGCGTGCGAACGCGTGTCGCGACTAATGTCCGTTGCCCTTGAAACTGACGGGCTCGACTGTCGTTTCTTGCGAAACTCGTCAAACGCTCGCTTGCTTCACTCTTAGAATCCGTCGCGGATGATCATTCGGATCCGAGGGTCACGTCGTGATTTTCCTTTTCTCGTCCCGGCGCTCGCGCGGGCCTGGCATTGAACGATGCCATTAGCGCGATAGCCGATCCGAGGCCAATTGCGAAACCGGCGGGCCTGTACTTGCGATGGCTCTTACCTGAGAAAAGCGACGCGGACTCCTTCGCGAGACTCATCGCGGGCAAACAAGTCGGCGGCACGAGCAGGCAAGAAAAAGCGAACCGCGCGACAACGAACGGAGACGTAATCCGCGAGGAGAGCGCTGGTTGAATGAACTCTCCCATGCAGATCTCCCACATCCTTATTGGCCGCGGGCGCGCTCTCCAAGAGGGTACAGTTATCCGCGCACTCGAACAATCGAAGGGCCCGAGCTAGTCGCGCGTAAGTTGGCGCGAGCGCAGAGCGAGAGAGAGAGAGAGAGAGAGAGAGAGAGAGAAACGAAGTTGCATGCACGCAGGCAGGGTCAAGCTCGTCGAGCTACTTTGCGCGCGGCCGACAAGTGGGACAATGACCGCTCGAGACCTTCTTTCGATGCTGCCGTCGAGCTTTCTTCTTTTTCCTCTTCGCCGCGATTCACTTGCATTACCCCTCCCCCTCCCTCCCGCCCCACCCAGTCGCTCACGGCAGTTTTCCTATGCGCTAGAAAAGCATTACGCGCACCGTTAGACCGCACGCGAAAAACGGGGGCAGCGCGCGGCTCTATGACGGATTGCTAGACTCGCGCGCGCGACGATAGAGAGAAAGGCGAGTTGATGCAACTGCGCTGCCAATTTCGCCGGCGCGCGTGGACGCGAGCGCGCGCCGACGTTTTCTGGTAATTGATCAAAAGTGGAACTGACGAAGTAGACTCGCCGCGCGTCCTAGAATTCCTCCCGCGAGCAGATATTTCTCCATCTGTTGCTTCCTCCCCTCTCTCCTCCTTCCACCCGAATGCCGATGCTTGTACAACACCGTCGGCTATCTTCGTCTTCCGGAACGCCGTCGAACCTTCTGGCGCTATCCCACTGGCAAACCTCTCGGGCGTTTAAACGCGAAATTCAACAGCGGAATCGAGCTTTCGTTTCGACCAGAGACTTGAGCCACGTCTTCGCCGTGAAGGTCGGGAACCAGGGCTGCGTAACCGATTTTCCAAACAACGAAAGTCATGGACATTATCAAAAAGTGAACGAGCAAACACCCGACGTCAATTATCTCTATCGGTTAGCGATAATAGTCAACCGAAAATTCATTCTCGTTCTGAGAAATGTAATCCAGAGCTCCGGGAAAACCGAATCCAATAACTGGTAAAAAATAACAGTCACTTCAGCGGAAACCCAACCAACATCTCATACGGAAAAAAAGAAAAATGCTTCTTGTCGAGTTGATTTGAATGAAGAGCCAGAAATACTCTTTCTTTTCGATCGAACGGTCTGGAAAATTGGTGACCGACGAAACGCAAAATAAAAAAAAAAAAAATGTCAGGATCGAACGAAAGTCAAAGACGGCGCTGGTCGAGCGCTCGAGCGAAAGAATGTTTCCGAAAAGTGAAGGAAGAAGAAGCGGAGTCACTTTTAATTTCGACCGACGAAAACAAAGCTGGCAAGCGTCGGTATGGGCCCGCTGGAGAGGAGGAAGGGGGAAGCAGGCCTCTCACCGAAAAAAAAACCTCGAGAGGCAGGTCAACGACACGAAGGGGCCGATCGAGGTGAATCTGGCGCGCAGGCGAGAAAAAAAAGGAAGAACCGGTGCACGTGCGCCGCACGTATGCGCGAGCGAGTGCAGCTTTTGCTCGGCGAAAGGATCAACAACCTCTGCGTATCTGGGTTAGTAGTCGCGGCCGATTCGCGTTCGCTACGCGCGGAAATTCTTCTCTCTCTCTCTCTCTCTCTCTCTCTCTCTCTCTCTCTCTCTCTCTCTCTCTCTCTCTCTCTCTCTCTCTTTCTAACGAGTCGTGTACCTCGGCACGTCGGCAAAATGCTTCTCTTTCTTTCCCTTTTCCGAGAGAGAGAGAGAGAGAGAGAGAGAGAGAGAGAGAGAGAGAGAGAGAGAGAGAGAGAGGCCGCTAGGTTTTCTCGCCGTCAGGCCGAGACCGTGACTTTGTGAAATCGAGCCTCACGCGCATCGGTGCACCCGCCAGCGCTACTTACCGGACTACAAGGTTGCAACTACGGCTGGCTGTCCGCCGATTTACGCGTGCCGCTTCGCTGATCGTTTTTTTTTTCGCCGTGCATCTTTCTCGTGAGGCGGATAATCTTCGCCCAAGGAAAGTTCCGCAAACTTGGCTTCTCGACACCCCGTCACCGCTGGCTTGCTCGCTACGTGCCCTTGCAGCTCACGAGTCGTCGTCGTGCTTGCGCCAAACGTTCCGAACTCTTGCGAGTAGTGCAGCCGAGATTAAGTAGTTCAGTCCGAGTTCGGCGCGACATCGTAATTTTGATCGACGCGCAGAGGTTATCGATTTGACGATTCGTCGCAACGATTATTCGACGATTAGTTAATCGCCAAATTTGATTGTGGAAAGAGTCTTTGTCAACCCTCAACAAGCATCGTCTAACGACTAGTAAATTTATCCGTTCGTGTTCAAATGTCGATCGATCGATCGATCGCTCCGTTCGACTCGGTGGCGATAAAGAATAGTTGATCCTTCGAGATGAAAACAAAGGACGATTTGGCACATCGAAAGGGAAGGCCAAAGCGTTCGAACAAAACAGAGGCGGAAAAGCTCGGCGCAGAGGCATCGGGCCTCAAAGCCACCCACAGCGTCACCCTCCGCAAGCGCGAAAGTTCGTCGACCCCAGAGCTTTCGCATCCTCCCGTGCAGCAGCTCCCCTCTGCCCGTCGGCGTCCGCGTCTGTGTTGGCGCGAAAAACCAGAGCGAGAGAGAGCGCGAGAGCGAGCGAGCAAGAGAAAGAGAGAGAGAGAGAGAGAGAGAGAGAGAGAGAGGAAGGCGAGCGCAGGGTGATGGCAACGGCGCGCGGCACTCCGACGGAGGCCCGGCAGAGGGGAGGCTCGTGGCGGAAAACGAGAGCTGGTCGATCGAAAGCGCAGCCCGCCGCTGGCCGTGCGCCATCTGCGCGAGTGCAGCCGGCTCGCTGGCGGCGCGCGCGCGCAGCCCGCCGCCGCCGCTCGCCGCCGCTCTCCGCCGCTCTCCGGCGCTCGCTGCGCCGCGTTGCGCTAGGTCAGGCTCCCCCTCGACGAGGCGTCCGACCGCACGTTCGGCTGCTCCACTGCGAGTGCACCCGACGGCCATGGGCCCAGCCGCCACGACGACGAGCGCCCCCGGCCCGGTCTCGCTGCGGAACCAGCCCAGCATCACGTGAGTGCAGTCCGCGGCGACGCTGCGCCAGGCGGCCGAGAGTGAGAGGGAACGGCGCGCGGGGGCGGGGGCGCGTGGACCGTGGCAGGCCCGCGATCAATGCGCGAGCGGGTTTCACTTTCGCGGGGCGCTGCAGCCCCTCGCGCGCGCGCCCGCGAGCCGCCGCGTACACACTCTCGCTTGAACCGCCGCCCGCCGCCCGCCGCCCGCCGCGCGCCGCTGACACGATTGGCCTGCTTGCGCGCACACAGCCAGCCAGCCAGCCAGCCAGCCAGCCAGCAGCCAGCCAGCCAGCAGCCAGGCAGGCGGCAGGCAGGCAGGCAGGCAGGCAGGCAGGCACGCACGCACGCACGCACGCTCGTCCCGCGGGGGCGATGAACCCGCGATCTTTCGGCGCTGCAGACACGTCGCGGCCCCCCTGCGTCGCGCCTTGCCCTAGGTCGGCCGCGCTCGCGCCTGTTGTCTATCGGCGCGAGGCCAGAGACTGTCGCGCGGCGCGCGGGCGTTGACGCTCCGCGGATAGTGAAATCGAAACCGCCAGTGTGACGTCGCGCCCGAGCGCTCGACGCCGCCTGCCCCCAGTGTCGACCCAGTCAATCAATGGTCGCGCCTCTGATCGCTGTTGCAGTGAAGCATGAAGTCCGGCGACTGGGATTACATGACGCTGCGGGAGGAGGAGTTCCAGCTGAACGTCACGTACATCGCGCCCGACACCCCGACCTCGGCCAACGAGCCCAACCGCGCCGAGGCCTCGCTGCCGAGGAACCTCGTGCTCAAGCCCTCGCAGGAGTGCAACAACGTAAGCCTCTTTGCGACGTTTGCGCGTCGGCTCTCTTTCCGATTGCCAGCCCCCTTCTCACGCTCTTCGCGTTCTTTCCTTCCAACCAAACAAACGCCAACGAAAACAGGTCTTCGGCGTCTGGAGCACGGACCGCATTCCCAAAGGCACCCGCTTCGGGCCTCTCGTCGGTAGGAAATACAAGAAGGACAATGTGCCGCTCGACACCGACAGAAAGTACTTTTGGAGGGTAACTATCGATCAGCTTCGTCCTCGAGCCAACGGCGCTCGTGCGTTTTCCGCGAGTACAGCGGCTTCCTTCCGTCCGTTCGCAGGTCTACAAGGACAACGAACTGTACCACTATATCGACGGCTTCGACGTCAGGCAGTCCAACTGGATGCGCTACGTCAATCCAGCCTATTCGTCCGACTCGCAGAACCTCATCGCTTGCCAGTACGAGGTGAGTAGCAGGCCGTGGCTCGGCCCGTCGACCGACCGCATTCGCTCACGAGCCGCACCTCCTCCCTCCTTTGCAGGAGCATATTTACTTTTACACCATCAAGGAGATCGACGCCAACCAGGAGCTGCTGGTATGGTACTGCCGGGAGTTTGCCGAGAGGCTCAACCATCCGGTCACGGGCGAGCAGATGCTGCAGAAGATCCGTAAGTATCTGGCCTGCAAAAGACGAGACAACGAAATGGCATTAGCTTGCGATCGAAAATCGAAAATTCTCGTCGGGAAAACGCGAGGCGCGGATCGGCTGCCCGGAATCTCGGAATCGCCAGCGATCTTTAGTTCGCAATTGGGCTCGCAGGGCAGCAAGTGCAACAGACGGCGCACCCGGCGGACATAGCGCCGGCGCTCGAAGCGGCCGCGACGCTCAAGGACTCTGTGATATACGAGAGGCGCGCCCAGCTCACGCCGACGGACGGCAGCGTGAGGTCGGACGAGGGCTACCACTCGAACGGCTACCACGACGAGATCCTGACGCCGCCCGAGGACACCAGCGAGTCCGACTCGGACTGCAACTACGTGCTCGACTGCTCGATCAACTCGAAGGTGGTCTCGTCGAGGGGCGCCGCGACCGTGGCGGCCGCGGCCGCCGACACCAGCCAGCCGGCCGTCGCGCCTGCCGCGCCTGCCGCGCCCGCCGCCCCCGCCGCCGTCGCCGCCGTCGCCTCGTCCTCGCCGGCCGAGAGCGCCGTGGCGAAGAACGACTACCGCAAGCTCAAGTTCAAGATGCAGGGCTACGCGCGCTTCCAGTGCTCCAAGGAGCTCGCCGCGAGGAAGCGCGAGGCGGCCGAGCCGCCGGCCGGGTGCGCGAGCCCCGAGCGCAGGCCGGCCAGCACGGTCATCCTCAGCCCGTGCACGCCGACGAGCAGCGCGCCGGCCGCCACGGCCTCGAGCACGACGCCCGACGAGGCCGAGCGCGCCCGGGCTTACTACGAGCCGGAGGCGCGCCCCGGCAGCCGCAGCCCCATGTCCACGACGTGCAGCCCGCCCGCGCCGTCCGCCAGGCCCTACGCCCTCGGCAGCGCCAGCAGCTCGTCCATCCTCGAGAACATCCTGCTGCGCAGCTCGAGCACCGACAGCAACAACAACCACCACCACCACCACCACCACCACCACCACCACCAGCACCACCACCAGCAGCACCACCAGCAGCACCACCAGCAGCACCAGCAGCACCACGGCGCGCACGGCCACGGGCCACCGCAGCCGCAGCCGCCGCCACCGCCGCCGCCGCCGCCGCAGCAGCAGCCGGCGCACAGCCTGGGCCCGGCCGACTCGGCCGCGCCCTCGCCCTCCAGCCCCACGGAGATGGCCTACTCGTACAAGAAGTCGCACCGCTACCAGAACATCCTGCCCTGCAGCCCCGACTCGAGCTCGGGGCTGGCGCTGCAGCCGGAGCCGAGCAGCAGCGGCCTGCGCTCGCCCGGCCTGCTGGCCAGCCCGCCGGCGCAGCAGCAGGCCTGCAGCAGCAGCGGCGCCGCCCCGGGCGGCTGCGCCTCCGCGCCGGGCTCGCCGCGGCGGCGCGCGCCGCGCAGCCCCTCGCCCGCGCTGCTCGCCGCCGCCTCGACCATCGTCTACTCGGGCGGCGCGCAGGTGGACTCGAGCTACCTGGCGCAGCCGGCGCAGCTCTCGCCCTCGTACGGCGGCTACCTGTACGGGCCGGGGCCGGGCGCGCAGCCGGCCGCGCCGCCGGGCTGCTACTCGCCGCCGGCGGCGCAGCTCTACGCGCAGGAGCAGCGCCCGAGCAGCAGCCAGCAGCTGCCCTCGAGCAGCAGCTCGCAGGCGGAGGGCGCGGGGCTGCTGGGCCTGCAGCTGGGCGCGCAGCCGGGCGGCCTGGGGCCGCGCTTCTCGCCCGCGGGCTCGATGAGCCCCGACGAGCGCTGCTCGCAGAGCGGCTCGCTCAGCCCCAGCAGCCAGGCGGGCGGCGGCTCGCGCGGCTACCGCTCGCTGCCCTACCCGCTCAAGAAGAAGGACGGCAAGATGCACTACGAGTGCAACGTCTGCTGCAAGACCTTCGGCCAGCTGTCCAACCTCAAGGTGCACCTGCGCACGCACTCGGGCGAGCGCCCCTTCAAGTGCAACGTCTGCACCAAGAGCTTCACGCAGCTGGCGCACCTGCAGAAGCACCACCTCGTGCACACGGGTAAGTCGCGCCGACCGCGAGTCCGACGCCCGAGTCCGACGCCCGAGTCCGCCGGCTGACCGCCGCCCCTCTGGCCCGCAGGCGAGAAGCCCCACCAGTGCGAGATCTGCAAGAAGCGCTTCAGCTCCACGTCCAACCTCAAGACGCACCTGCGCCTGCACTCCGGCCAGAAGCCCTACGCCTGCGACCTGTGCACCGCCAAGTTCACGCAGTTCGTGCACCTCAAGCTGCACAAGCGGCTGCACACCAACGAGCGGCCCTACACCTGCCAGGTCTGCGACAAGAAGTACATCAGCGCCAGCGGGCTGCGCACCCACTGGAAGACCACCAGCTGCCGGCCCAACAACATCGAGGACGAGCTCGCGCTGGCCAGCGCCGTGGGCTCGCCCGGCGCCTACTACGAATACGTGCCCGAGATGAGCGTCGGTAAGTGCTGGCTCGGGGGCCCCGCGACCGGGGGCCGCTCGCCCGCAGCGCCTGACCTCTCGCCCTTGCAGGGAGCGTGCCCACCTCGCTGCACAACCTCGACAACTCGGTCGGCCGGCCGAGCGTCATAGAGACCTCGCAGCCGCACATCATCGAGTGCACCTAAGGCCGCTCCTGGCCCGAGCCCTTCTCCGGTACGAGCGAACGAGGCGGGCGGGAGGAGTTCAGCCGCCGAGTCGCACAAGCCTCTGCGCGCTCGGCCAGCGAGAAGCTAAATCATACACTTGTCGGCTACGTATGTCGACGCGACTGCAAACTATGCGAGACCTGTACCTGTAAATACTAACATTACTATTAATTAATCGGTAACCTAAAGATTAATGCTCTAATTTATAGAACGACGAGGAGTAGAGTACACACGCACGCGCGCGCGCGCATACACACACACACAGACACACACGCGCGCGATACCGTTGAGGTGTCGAGGGAAAGATAGTGGAGCGACCCCTCGTCGACTGCGAGTGCTGCGTTCGCTACCTTCGAAGCGACCGGATCCTTGTCGTAGTGCTCTAAGGATAGCTGCGTTTTTCTCTGTCGCGATCCATTCGTTTTTTACGAATTAGTTTTTAGCCGTCGCCCGTTCGAAACGACGATTTTGTTATGCGCGGTCGAGTGCGCCTGTCTCGGTCTAGGTTGTGTACCTCGTTCACCGAGCTAGTCCGCGCGCCTCGGCGCACCGCTCCGGACTCCTCGACTGGCTATCGCCTTTGCCAAGGATCGGCTCGCGAACGCGCGGACTAGCTCGGCTTCTTCGAAATTACTCGCTCGTCAATTCAAATTCATCGGAAATTTCGCCCGATGGTACGTGTGATCGAACGCTCCAGTTGTCCCATTGGCTTTTTATTTGTCGCGATCGCGAATCGAGCGGTCGCACGCGCGTCGGGTTTGCGCGACGAAAATCGCAAAACTAAAAGTAATGTACCCAGTATTCGTACTTAATTCGTCTATAAGTTCGTATTTTTTTTTATATTTGCGTCTGAGGGGAGAACAAAAATTGGTTTTATTTCGTCACGTTTCGGAGCGACGCTCGAACCCTTCTCTATCGAAACCCATTCGGCTTGTCGTTCACAAGCCTTCATCCGAACAGTCGCGCCTTGCTCCGAAACGTCGTATAAAACTCGTTAACAAGATGACATGCGTCTGTTATCTCTTACTTCCAATCTCGACTGTGTAGTCTCTAAATGTGTGAATCCAAATGATAATTTTCAGCGAGATCGCTTCGAACGTAGCCCAGCATGCTAATCAAGAGAGAGAGAGAGAGAGAGAGAGAGAGAGAGAGAGAGAGAGAGAGAGAGAGAGAGAGAGAGAGAGAGAGAGAGAGAGAGAGAGAGAAATGAACAAAAGAAAATCTGTTGGTGGCTGATTTCGTTTTATGCGTATATTTTTGTATAAGAGGCAGCAACAACTCGATATTGCTTTTGCCAGGTTTTTCGAAGAAATACTTTATTCCCGGTTGTTTTTCTCGCGGTACGTTGAATACTCAGAGGATATATGTTGATTATTATATCGAAAGCAGAGTTCGAGAGTAATTAGCTTGTAACACTTAGTTTTTTTTTCTATTCACACTTTGTTCGATCGAGCGGAGACGGGCGTCGTCATCATCGTCTCCCCGACCTTCTCGTTTTCGAATCGACAGGTGGTGTATATCTCCTTTTCTTTGTCGTACGCAAGAACGATTAAATGAATCGCAGCAGCGCCGTGTATTACTCGCAATAATAGTGTTACAATCAAATTATGAGGCAACTTCTATACATCGATTTTACACTTTTTACCCTAATAAGCTTACGGTAAGAGAAAGGGAGCAAGAAAAAGAGAATGATGCTGACCGACTAAACAAACAGATGCAGAATGCACCGAGCTCCTTCTACTTTTTATAATTTTTTCGCATGATCAAGAACAAACAAAATATATACTCGTAAGGCAGGCAATTGCTATACATACACGACAAATTTTTCGAAAAGACTATACGTAGTTTGTAAATCGAGCGACTGTGCGGGAGAGAACGTTTGCGACGATATCGTGTGCGTCAGGGCTGAATGAGCGAGCGAGCGAACGAAAGAGAAAGAGTAAAGAAAATATATAAAAAGAATCTCACAGCGGACATTCTGCGATCCATGGAAGGCCAAGCAATCTTATACCCTAAACTACAATGTAAACGCAAGGAATATAACGATTTAAGGACTCTTTTTTTTTTTCTATTTCCGTTATTTTTTTTCTTCATGTTTCTTTCTATCACGGGGGATAAGGACTCAATGTTTAACTTTTCTTTTTTGTCAGCGCAGACACATTCCACTTAGAAACGACTCAATCAAAAGCTAAGAAATGATCCAACGGTACTAGGTGCTTTATAACTTTGTCCAGCGAGGCGATGAATCGTCGTTGGGAAGCGCCGCTCAAACTCGAATTCGACTGATTGCACGATCAACGAGCCTCGGTTCCTTTGCTGTTCCGGACAAGACTGCGCTTCCGCGACGCGATACTAGGCTCTCCACTTGCGCGAGTACGTTTCACAACGGCTCTTTTGCGTTTTTATCGACAAGACTGTACTACGCAGGCCTCCCAACGGCGTTCGTCGCGTTTCGAGCGAAGTCCCTTTATTTGTCGGCTCGTTGGTGGCGGATGAAAGTTGTAGCGCACTCAAGTTTGAGAGCAACAGAATGAAATAGCGAGCGACACGGGCGATTTTCGTCATTGTAAATATTATAAGCTGAAAGTAGTCATCGATCGAAAGAGAGGTATAACTGAACGCTAACACACATGTGACTCGATCGCCTCGGCCGTAACGGACAAGCAATATTTAATTTTTATTATCTCTCGAATCGATGATTAACGAAACAATAAAAAAAGAGATCCAATTCAAAAGGCATAGCAGATTTTTCAAACAACAACTACCGCTGTACTTTGACATCGTGTGCACGAGCACGTTTCGTATTTAAACGACTATAAATTAAATGTTAATTATCCTTATACTTCGTAAATAATAAATTGTTACGCATTTATTATCATTATAATTATGATATAGGTAATGCTCAATTAGCATTTGTTTCTTAAAAATACAGAATAAATATATGGCTGTTGGATATTTATATCGACGATTGTTTTTTTCACTTTCAACCCCATTTCCCACATATACGCATGGAACAATAAGCAATCGTTTTGAAAGATCTGTCGCAGCTTACTATTGGTTAAGCGTTGTGGTTTTGATATTTACACTTTGCCGTTACTTTTTAAACTTTTATTGTAAATTTCTCTACAATCACCATCTTCATAGTGTATTGACGTTTATAATCATTGTAAATAATAAAATATCGTAGCAGCTGCTCCTTATTCATTACAACACATCATTAATCAATTATCACTACGTCGTGTCCTAAATTATCAATTAAATTCCTGTTTCATTAGGAGCGCTGGTCGTTTCATAAATTTATATATTTTTCTTATGGAAAGACTTGTTTTTTCTTTAATGGAATCATTGTTACTTATATTTCACACGAAATACAAAAAGACCTTGGTTTATATATACTACACGTTCTTCTCATGGCAAAGTAACATGTACACGTAGAAAAAAGAAAAATAAAAACAAAACGCTAACATCTTAGCAATTGCATTAGTACAGCTTGTTTACTGTCCATTTTAAGGACAGTAATCACCTATCTGTCAGATATAGCAGAGTGGATAATTCATGTATACAATTAGAAAAATAATATAATTCTTTTCATTTCCCAATAGGAAAAATTTGCTATGTAATGACAACATACTTCATGTAGACGTAGACATTGAGTATGTAATGTTGATGCAGCTAGTAGACATCCTGAAATTAATTTAGCTATTTGTTATACGATATTCTCGTTTTGAAATTACATCAATACAATTAGATCAATCTCATTACCTCATCAAGGTACAGGACTGTCTGTACCACTTCCACTGTTGGTCCCTGCTTCACTTTTTGCAGCTGACAACCTGTCACGCTTTGTACTTTTTGACAAAGTTGCTACTTCTTTAAGTAGATTACTGATTTTTGATTGCTGATTTGATATTTTATTTTCATATTCCCTCTCCATTGTCTTCATTTTATTCCTCAATTCTGTTTCCGAAGTGAAGTTTTGCGCCTTCAATTCAGTAATCTACAAAAAATATTTTATTTGTTATACAAATATCCAACTAACTAACATTATTCAAAAATTTTTACCTGCTTTTCCTTAGCCAGTAGCTGACCATCTTTCATTGAAATTTGCTTTTGCAGGTTGGAAATTTTTTCTTTTAATGAAGTAACAGCAACTACATGATCAGAAATATTAGGATCATGAGGATCATGCACTCCAGCCATTCTTGCAGCTTTGGCTGGCATTGGACCATTACTGTCACCGGAATCTGACTGAGGTGGAAGTTTAGTAACATCTACTCTATGCGGCCTCTTATTGTGGCCCTTTGGTCTATTGAAAGAAATAAACATATACATAATTTCACATTTTTTCAAATCAATAATTACATGCTGATTCCAGTCAAACTATAAAACTTACTTTTGCTCTTTATTTTTTGCAGCTCTGGCCTGCATTAATTTCAAGTGAGCTTTTCTATCCGATTCAGTCTGTTTTGTTCTTGCCAAAGCACGTTTGTATGATAACGTACATAACCAGCACAACAATTTACCATCAACCTAGAAGTTACAAAAACATTAGTTTTCGCATGTTTTATAAAACTAAACAAATAAAATTATTACTTTTTTGTCCTCGTCATGTCTGTCAAAGGCACATTTTTGTTTGCACTGCTCACACGTAACTGGTGGGCCATAGCGTTTCTCTGAATTTGTACATCTCTGACACTTACTTCCAATGAAAGCTGCAATTGTATTACAATATTCGCAAGCTGAGGGTTTTCCATAAGCCTTTACATTCTGTTCACACTTTTTGCAAATGGTGCTCGTATTTCCTTTCCTGTAATGAGATGCCTGATAAGAACACTTGATAAGCCTAGCGCACTATGTCATTGAATTTTCATCTGACACCAATACTTACGTTGCTTGCTGAAATTCTGATCTACAGTATGTACATTTGACCACAGGAAATGTTCCTCTGCATTCCTGAATAAATAATTTAACTTGTTGAAGGACAGTTTTGAATGCATATTTTAATAGACAAAACTTTGACCAAGCCTATTTATGAATCAATAGTAAACAGCATACATAGTCGAAAATTTATAGAAATGGTGGGGTAGAAATAGTAATTTACAAACACTGTATAAATCTCATGGCAATTCGCACAACTTCCAAAACTATATCTTTCAAAACGATTGCTTATTGAGTGGAGCCTAAAATATCACGCAAAACTTGGAACGAGTATATAGGTAAGTCTGCCCTTGGGGAAAGGTGAAACGTCAAATATTACGCATTCGCCAATTGTTGTAACCTCGAAAAAGGTTAGAGCGCTGTCGCCGCTACCTGACGGCACTACACGTAAATCGAAGGAGAGAGTTGGCGTTTTCTAACCTTGCACAGCTGCTGGCCGGACGAAAGTTCTTCGAAAGGATGCCTGGAAAAACATCTGGAGCACGCAAACAGCGGCTGCTGCTGAGTATTGTTCGTCGTGCTCATCTTCTGGAGACGATGATCACCGTGTCGGGATTTTTGGAAAAAACACACGCCGCTTGGGCAGACGCAAACCGACGGTGATTAGCCGAAGTATACAGAAATCAACAATAATTATTTTCACTAAAAGAACTCGTTCACGCTCGAATCTACGATTGCTTACAATTCTGTACGACGCTTTACATGGTTTGCTAAAATTAAAACACTCGAGCCTTGGCCGAACGAGAGGACGCAATTTTGTTTGTCGACTCTCGAACTTAGACTAGCGTTCCGAACGTTTCTCATCCATATAACGTTGTAGTTCCTATTCCGCGTACCCCCGTGTAAGCTGTTTTTAGAATTTTCAAAACTTGCAATTTATTTAAACGTCATTGATTGTTCTTTCGAAATTAAAATAAATCTTAAGGCATTCAAGTAAATGAAACATTGGAAAAAAAATCGATTTTTAAGGTTAATAGTTAATGGATGACAATTATTTATCCTCAACTGAGGATTGATATAAAAAAAATTATTTTTTTATTTCTTAGTCGCAATAGTTCTTAAGAGTTAATCTAGGTACAATATTCATAGACTGTAATTCTTGGAATAGTAATTTACAAGCATAGGGCATGGTTATAGTGGAGACACATGCACTAGACCTGCAGCTGTGACAGTATCCACTGTAGCCCATTAATCCACATTTGTTACACACATCTACGTCAAACGCATCACTCGACAACATCAACCTTTCAATCAGCATCATACTGGCTCCATATCCAATCAAGCAATCTCTCTCCATCTCTCCCAATCTCAAACCACCGTCTTTAGATCGACCTTCCGTTGGTTGACGTGTCAGTACTGCCCGGGGACCGCGAGCCCGAGCGTGCATTTTGTCTTGCACCATGTGTTTGAGTTTTTGATAATATACCTGCGAAAAGATTTATCCAATCAGCTACATTTGGATTAATCTCCGTAACATTCTATTTGCACGTAAATACTTACAGGCCCAGAATAAATATACGCTTGCAATGGTTCTCCAGTTATACCAGAGTAGAATATATCTTTTCCCATGTAATTGAAGCCTTGACTTGCCAATTCTTCGCAAATGTCTTCCACTTTCGACCCACCAAAAGCTACAGAACAATTTGAAATCAACAGGTGTCAACATTTTTTATATATATTACTTTGGACATACCAGTTCCATAATGAAATTTTCCCTTGAGAAGGCCAGCTTTTCCTGCAAGCAATTCGATTAATTTGCCAACTGTCATGCGGGACGGAAATCCATGAGGATTCATAATCATGTCGGGACAAATTCCAAAATCATTAAATGGCATATCTTCTTGCTCGACAATCAATCCTAAAAAGACCAGAGTTATTGTCACTAAGAACTAGATTTCTACATTCCAACCGGTCAAGTAAAACTTACCTGTAACACCCTTTTGTCCATGACGACTACTAAATTTATCGCCGATTTCCGGTCTTCTTGTCTGTCGTAAGAGGAGTTTGATCAAGTAAGCGTCGTCAGCATTACTCGAGATCATGACTTTTTCTACATAAGCTGGAACTGGATTTTTGTAGACAACTGGCACCTCCCTATATTCTGTCTGTGTTTGATTTCCCATACTCGGAATAGGAGTACTGTTATTAACATTGGACGGGCTAGATTTGTTCACTAATATCTTTCTATTCTCCACCATTTCACCGGGAGCCGCAATCCCGTCAACGTCTATCACTTCATGCTTCCAAATGGGCTTCTTCGTCGTCGCATCAATCATAGGGCCCATGATTCTGTCACTCGCCTGAGACCCGTGCTTCTTCAAAATACATTTTGCATTTCTGTACACCAAACATCTACCGTATCCTCTATCGATGGATGCTTTATTTAATATCAAAGCATCCTCGATATCGTAGCCACTATACGACATTACTGCGACAATCGCATTCTGACCAGCAGGTAACTTATCAAAATTGATCATTTCAATTGTTCTAGTTTTTACCATAGGCGCGTGAGGATAAACCAAATTGTACATCAAAGTGTCAATCCTGTTCTTTTGATTGTAACCAATAGTACCCATCGCTTGTTTGCCCATAGCACATTGATACGTATTTCTCGGACTTTGATTATGATGAGGATAAGGTACCAGACCTGCGCAAACGCCGAGCAGTGTAAAAGGTTCTATTTCCAAATGAGTTGTCTGCTCATTTATATGCGATTCATTGAATGCAATTAAACTGTCGTTTTCCTCATTTACATCAAGGTATTCTATCAGACCTAAAAAAATGCGAACAAATATTTATTAAGATTATATTTTTGATAAAACTATATTAGAATCTATATATGAGCGTACCATCATGTAAAAAATCTTCAAAACTCCTAACTCCTTGATCTAACAGTGTTATATGTTCAGGTTTAACTAAAGGCTGACCACCTTCTACAATGATGTATGGCCTGCATAATCTTCCACCATCAGAACTTATTTGTACACATCTGCAATAAATATAATACTAAGTTAATAAAAGAATTGACTCTAGAATTAAAATTTAAGAGATTTTAAAAAATTGCTACCTGTGCTGATGTTGAGGGTATATCGATACAAAATAATTAACTAAACCTTTTCGCCTTAACATTCGGAAAACTTTAACTAACCTATGATAATTTTTTACAATGCCTAATATATTACCATTTAAGAAGACCACATAAACATCTTTATTATTAATTTCTTCACCACCTAAAATATTTACATTTTCTACACCAAGATTGAAAGCCAGTCTCATTATTGGTGCTTCTTCTATTTCAGTTGTTATATGCGTCATTAAAGCTAAATTTTTCACTAGACCACAACCCTATAAAAACCAATTATCAAGAATTGTTAATGTTTTAGAAAAGCAATAAAAATCATAATAGCAATGAATAACAAAGATTATAATTTCTTACCTCTCCTTCTGGAGTATCACTGGGACAAAGCATTCCCCATTGTGAAGGTTGCAGTGACCTAGGACCTGATACTTTTCGCGTTTTTTCAAATTGAGAATTTACTCTGGTCATCATACCCAAAGCAGAAATATAAGATAAACGAGAAAGCACTTGAGTCACACCGTGTCTTTCCATTCTAAATCTTTTAATAGTCCAGTTTCCCTATTTTAATTTAAGATTATCAGTAAACTTACAATAAAGTTTTTGAATAACTAACAACTTACAGAAGATATTGCACAAGCCAATCCATTAGTTATTACATCATGTCTCATATGCTTGAGAATGTCAAATTGAGCAGCTTTGATTTTTGGTATGTTTTTGTTTGCAATTTTTGTCAACTGTGGAATAAATAATTTTTAGAGATTATGAATATTCACTTAATTAATTCTATTGTGATATGTAAATGTTACCTCAGCATTAAATCTTTTAAATAAATCTTCAAACATTAGAGCAAGCAATGAACCAGCCAACTCTAATCTTTTATTACCATAATAATCTCTATCGTCTATTAGTTTTCCATCTATTTGTGTAATCATGACTTTTCTGATCATCAATGCGAGATATGTGGCTTTCAGTTTGAAATTAAAATCTATTACCTGTAAGTCAAATTTTATGGAATATACATCAGTAAACAGTATATCTCAAATAAGTTAGATTACTTACAGGAACATGATTTAAGACATTGGAAGCCAAAATATCTTTCATTTCATCAATAATGCTTCCTTTGGCTGCAGTAAAGCCTTTTCGTGGCTTCTTCTTAGTTGACAAATACCTGTAAATTGGTTATTACACTTAATTTTGTTGAACCAACATATTCATTTGTTGTTTTTTAATTGAAAAATAATTAAATACTTGAGAGCTTGATTTTGTGCAAAGATGCCAAGGGTGTGACATTCCTCAAGACTTTCTGCTATTTTTTTCATAAAATTTTCTTCTGTACCAATAAGCTGTACTATTTCCTGATCACAAATTATTCCCATGGCTTTGAATATGATAATGACTGGAATATCCTGAAAAAAATTATTTATGAACCTATAATTTTTGTTAAATCTTTCAAATATATCATTACATCTTGAAAGCTGTTATGACGCAAGTAATATTTATTTCCTCTTCCAATAACATTTGTCTTGGTCTTTCTTTCTTGAGTAGCACTATTACATGTTGCAACAATGCAATGCTTGGTATCTTCTTCTAATATGATTCTATTTCTGAGCATTTGTTCTTGAATCAATATCACTTTTTCTTGTCCATTAATTATAAAATAACCACCAGGGTCATGTGGACACTCATTCATCTTTGCTAATTCAAAGTTAGATTTATTTGCCAAAACACAGTTAGAGCTTCTCAACATAATAGGCATTCTGTAGAAATATCAAAACATTAATTCAGACATGTCACAACATCAAAGTTGAATTACCTACCTTCCAATTAATAAATTATTCTTAATTATTAGTTGGTGTCCCCTCGTGTATTCAATATCTACTGAGATTGGAGCTGAATAGTTTAAATCTCTCAAACGACATTCATGAGGTGTCATTGGACGAGTGATAGTAAAATTTTCTCCAACATCAGGAGTACCAATAGAAACATTTAAATATCTATTGAAAAAAAAATATCAGTGTATGTTATTAAAATCTAAAATCAATATAATAATAATTACAAAACATCTTACTTTACATAGAATGACGGATCAGATTCACTGTAAATTCTTTCATTTGCCTTCACAATTTTCTTTATATCAACATTTATAAAATAATTAAAAGAGTCAATATGCTGCTTTACAAGCCCTTTACATTTTAAAAAGGCTGGAACTAATTTCCACTTGTTCTGGAATTAAAAAGAGTGTTTAAGAGATGAGCGCACTTCGCGAAAGTAACCTTCTCTTACATACGATATTAAGTAGAGAACTTAATAACATTTATTTAATTATTAGTTATAGAAAGAAATATTAAAATGTACTAACCTCAATAGTCTGTGCAACTTTCTCGTGTTTCTTTTCATCCACTTTACCAAAAACACTGTCAATATGTTTACGCGAACCCATTTTAAAGAGTTAATATTCATCGATCAAATAATTTTTAATTGTACTTTCATTTATTTATTAACGTATATGAAATAAACACATGTTAATCATTTTTCTGTGTAGTTTGACCGGTTACTGCAGTAAACAGTATGCACGTGCCCGATGTAACGCGGAAGTCAGGTAGAAAAGAATGCTAGTCGATGTTACGGTGTCGCCGACGGCGGACATTGATCGCAAACCCGTAATCTGACCACCGACACCCGACACGCTGCTATGGCGTCAAATACCTTAGTTTTTATATTAGTTTTTCTTATCTGGTGATGTGGCTGTATACTGAAAAAAATTCAAGCCAATAATAATTATTTTCCATGCAGAGGATGCTCGATGAGTAAGAGCTTTTCGTACGCACGAGAACTGAAGTGGAGAAGGCATGAGAGGGGATGTATTATACCGGTGTACGAGTCATCTTCCAAACATATTTCGACGAAACATGCCCGAACGCGTGGGGCATACATTCGCTAATGGGATAGTAGTTTCGCTTCGACAGTGCAAGAATCGTTCCGACTACTTTGCATTGTTTTGTGCTGCGTATAGGTTTTTTGACAATTTATTCGTAATCTGATTAGCTGAAAGATAGTCACGTGATTAGTTTTTATGCGATAGTTACGTTATGTACGTTTATGAAAGATTACTACAGATTTTCGTAGACAATTAAACGTTCGAAAAGTGTATCGGTATAATTGTCATGAATTTAATATGAATTGATTGATTTAATCATATATAACGTCAAAATAATGACCGACTGATACTTGACAGAGACATTAATTGAACATTGTTCTATGCGAAAATTTAGCAATAAACAATTTTTGAATTTGGCAATAAAAGATGTAAATCGATAGATTTTTACGATGAAATATTGTACAATGATTTTGGCTTTATTAAGTTACGTGAAATACTAGAAATTTTTTTTTGAAAAGGCACTGATTACAGCCATGAAAGTTCTATACCAAAGTATGTTATTTACATCGTGAAGGATATATTATAGAAAACTATAATGATTTTAGAACTTATAATATATTTTTTATAGGGTTTTTCAACATTTTGAACGATGATTTTGCAACAGAACTTGGGACGATGAAAACTTAAAACTTCATTGATAACATTTTTAAATCATAAGTGTCCACGTAACTATTTATTTATTTACCAATAAATAATATCATCGGCTATATCTCATATCAAATTATGAGAATGTTCAATGCATATTGAATTTTAAAATTTTCAAGTTCGCCAATAAAAGTTTTGATCTATATTCGTGCATTAAAAAGAATACAAAGAAAGACGTAAAAGAGAAGCGTACAAAGCGCGCTAAACATCACTAGTATTGTAAAATAAGCAATTGCCGAAAGTGGAATCTTGTATTGAAAAAATTTATTAACCATTGCATCCCAATGATAACATAATTGATCGCTAGTGTGATGAAAAAATATTCATCAAAACCCCATTCTCATTATTTTTAATTTTAGAAATCGTTATCTAAAGCATTTTTTATAATATAATTTTTTTTTCTATTGTGTTTGTAGGAAATGAGAACAAGCGAAAGATACTGTATTGAGCAGTGCAAGAAGCATTATAGACAGAAAGTGGAACGCCTGAAGTGATAACTGTTGTTAGTTTGGTGCTGAATATATCATCGGTAAATGGGTTTCTCGTAGATGAAATATATCGCTTGAAACAACAAACCAACTTGATTACACACACATGATTTATATTTGACTTATGATTCACTGTAATAAGGAGTAAAAATTATTTTTGTTGAATATATTTCCTCCTGAAATCGTGTTAGTTCATATGATGATAACAGTACTATTATTGTCGGGTATTTTACACTTTCTTCAGGTTCAGTTTATTAAAAATACATACGACCCATCTGACTCTGATAACAGTAGTCATGATGTAAGACTTCGAACGTTGTTACGATCACAGCTGCATGCTGACTTTTTTTGACCCGTGCCATATCACAAGTTGGAGTCGCTGATTTTCGATTTCGCGTGGAAGAGCGTTAACCTCATGTCTACAACGAGCTTCAACGGCAATCTGTCGTTCGCGTCAACGTTAGCGACGTATGCACGATTCGCTTGTACATACATACGTCAAATCGTCGGGTCTGGCGATTTGCTGGACGCTATAAGCACGAACGATAAGAAAACCACGATCCATCGCTCGGCGTTCATCGAAGACGGCAATGCTATATTCAATAATTTGTCCAGACTTGAGCCTCTGCACGTCGAAGGAATACTCAGGCCCTCGCCACATACGCGCGCGTACGAGGGCGTACAAACGCGTACAAATCGCTAAAAATTTTGATAGTGCCAACAACAGAAAGTTACTACTATTTCTCACTATTCCTCGCATGCCCCAAACGAACACACTTACTCTCGGGACAAACGTATTATAACTATATTATTGAAGGTTATGATATGTTTGTTCCGGAAGTAAGTGTGTTCGTTTGGGGCATGCGAGGAATAGTAGTAACTTTCTGTTGTTGGCACTATCAAAATTTTTAGCGATTTGTACGCGTTTGTACGCCCTCGTACGCGCGCGTATGCGCATATGTGGCGAGGGCCTCAATGGATCAGTGCTCTTCACGAGAACGAACGACTGCAAGGACGACGACTGGCAATGTATTTCGAAACTTTCTTTTCCTTAATAAAAACATTGCACGTTCCTCTTTCTCATTTATAATAGCTATAACTTTGTTCTATAGATCTATCTAATTGTATCGGTCTTATAAAATCCAATAGAAACTTTCACATTACCCATATATGGCTTCTATTTTCCCTTTATTTACTTATTTTATAATAAGTTCAATGTTCAATGCAAAAAAACAATTTTAGTAGCACGCCATTTTAAAGATGAATACTCAAAGAACGATAATTGACAGGTAAACCTTTTTCTGAACTTTCAATATTCGTTAATTAATCGTAGAACTTACAAATTCGACGAATTCTTAGAAGTCAAAAAAGTACCTATGAAATAAATACTATACTAAAATTAACTAGTAGTCAGGCAAGCAATAATATTTATTTACAATACAAGAGTTTTTTTATTTTGATTCAAAATAAGTTCTACACATAGATTTATACATATTACAAAAACCAGCAATGTCGTATTTAAAAATTGTGTTAATTTTACAATTTAATTTGTCTTGCGGCACTCTACTTTGAAATGTTATATGTAGCAAAACGCAAATCGTAAAAATTGTTGAAACACCACAAAAAAATTATCTATATTTTATCAATAAAAATAAACATTTACGTAAGTGATATCCGGCCATATACGTATTACACATATGTTCCACTACGGAAAATGGTAAACAAATGACAATTAGCTGTTTTCAAATCGCTTTCCTCAGCATCGATTTGCAGAATTTTCAAGATGGTGAAGCCGGCTCGACCAATCAGCTTGAACTGTTTACGTACAGACGCAACACTCCCTCACCTAACCTTCAAACTTGACTGTAAAGTAACGAGGTGTGGAGCCGTGAAGAGTAGCAGTAGAGGGGAAGAGAGAAAACACTTTATAAGTGATCGTAGTAAGTATTGTATGTATGCGCGTTCAGTGCAAGCGACACAGCAAGACAGCTCCGCACGTTCGGCGTTCAAGTGTGTAAAATTTTGCGTTCATCACAGTCAGTTTATTATTTTACCCCTCTGCAATTATGGTTCTCTGCAATATTGAGTGTGTTCAAAGAATATCTCAGTATCTCGACATCTCACCTGGGAGACTTTACGTTTCCGAGAACAATGTAAGTGTGCAATATTGTAACGGCCCTTCGTCTCTATCTCTCTCGCTCTCTCACTACCACTGTAACGAAACATGGAGATGCAAGGGATTTGCGTGTCTTTTGATATAATATTCTGCCAATTTACTTATCGATTCCTTGTAAATATCTGTATTTTTTATTTTTTCATCTTTATTTTTTATTACCTCATTTTCAAATATTTCGATACTTTTCAGCAATATAAACACGTATGATTGACTTCAGAAAAAATATTGACGTTATATCTTATCTTTTATCAGCGTTTACAAACAAATGCAGTTGAATGTTTGTAATTAGTGTAATGCTTCTACACAAGTACATATATCAAGATAATTGGAAATAATTTACTTGATAATTCTTATTACACAAATTGAATATTTCTTTAATTGTTTCAAACAACTTTACTAATTTATAAATATCTTTAACTTTGGTAAACTGTTGAGCTTCTAGTGTGATTGGATAATTTTTCAATGTCTTACTGAGTCTTTATCAACAGGCTGTTACATCCGATGATTTGATAAAAAACCAATGCACCGAAGGATTTAGTACAATTGTTCAAGCTCTTGTTAAAAATTCTAAATATCCTGCAATTTTGGGTGATGATGCTGTTACACAAGCTCTTACTCGACAGTGGCTCGAATATGCAGTGCTTTGTGTTAATTATGCAGATAACTCAATTAATGAAAAAAGAGTTTTGAAGGTATAAAAATATATTACATACATAAAGTAACTTTTTTTATCATAATCTGAGAAATCCATGTGTATTTTGTAGGAACTGAATACTGTGTTAAAAATGAGTACCTATGTTTCTGGAACCAAAAAGACTATTGCAGATATTACTCTTTATTATGCTGTACATGGAATTATGGTAATTATTAAATTTTTTATTTCTAATTGAAAATTTCTCTTGATTGTTATGACCGAATAAAAAATATACTTGATTTTATAATTACAGCAAAGACTATCTTTCCAAGAAAAAGCTGAACATGTCCATGTGTCAAGATGGTTTGACAACATGCAGCAAGATGACAAATTGAGGCAAACAATGGATTTGATCAATTTTAATATGATGCATTTGTATTTGTAAAGAATGTCCACTTTATTCATGTCATATTATTTTCCAATATTGAGGCTACAACTTAAATTTATAATTTGACCAAATTAGTGATTTGTGATTAGTAAGTACATTTGTTAATTACATCTTTAAGGATAATAAATCTTGCATTTATTAATTATTACTGATCTGTCAAGTTCTTTTAAAAATGTTAATTTATCAACATATGATATTACCTAATTTATGTAACATGAAAAAACTGCTACCTAAAGTTAGTCTTTATTAAGAAAAAGAGTCAATTATTTAAAAAAAAAAGCTTAAGCACTTGATAGTTTATATCAGAAAAAGCTCCATTTTCCTAAAATAGCCAATGACTCCAAAATTGGTTATCAAACTTTGCATAAGAGCCAATTTCTACTAATAGCCTCTCCCAGGAAAGTCGCCATTACTGCAAGCACAAAAAAGCTCTTCATTCCAACTCTATCCGCTGACTAGTTAAATGAAAAAGAAGTTGCAAATCAATCTTATCCGTGTAACATTGGAACAATAGATTGAAAACAAAAGACCGCGTGATCGCGAGATGTCGCTCGAAGCTTGGTTTCGCCGTTGCCTCGCGCGCGGCGGACGCACCTATATCAACGACCAACGACTGAACGACCAACTCACGTGTGCACGCATACAAATAGACAGAGTAGCGCGTCCGTGTAGAAGCATAAGACTGCTGCTATACGTCGTCCGTCATATTGTTGAGCTGGCGCGTGAAAGCCCAGAGGAAAAAAAGGCCCGAAAGATGTCTGCCATATACGGACGGGTTGTTCGAGGAGGGAGTAGCGGAGGGGAGCGATGCGGTCGGTGCTGGCGCGACTAGCCGAGCGAAACACAGACGAGCAGGCAGTCTACTACACGCAGTAGTGTGGCGTGTGCGGAGCGCCAGTTACGTCGAGATGCGTGATCCGGACTTGCTTTGACAGTATTTTTCTTCTCAAACGGCACGTCCGAAGTTGTGATCACCATTCGACTTTAACGATAGGAACAGGCTACAGTAGCGGTGAGGGCAGTGCAGCGATGGCTGACGACTCGAGTGTACGCGTCGCAGTGCGGTGAGTTGAAAATCATATACCTATTGCCGGAGAAAGGAGAACCTATTTTCGACGATCATCTCGAGAGAGTGCGAGTGAGAGAGAGAGAGAACGAGTCGATGTGTTCGTTGCAAGAAATGTACGGCAAGTCGCATTGAGTCTCTGTGCTCGCGCGCGCGCATGATTGATTTTGGAGTGAATCGCCAAGGCTGCATCTCCGCAATAGAATGCCTTTTCCGATGGTGGATGCCCATAGCGTCTCTCGTGCTCGTGCGTGCAGTCAAAACAAAATGTTTACGTCCTCCACCTCGGGGACATCGGTTCATCGCACTTTTTCCTTTTCCCTGACCAAATAAGGCGAAAACATATACACACATCAGAAGCCGACTGCAATGTCGCGGCGTGAGCGAGCGATAGCTGCGATGCAGATGATATTTTATTTGTTCGCTCTCGCGTTTTCGACGTCGGACCACCCCTTGCGCGCACGGTTAACGCCACTGTTCGCGCGCAAGGAATGCGCGTTTCGCAAGTGAGCCTCATTGCACGAAAGTTATTGATTGCGAGATGCATCCACGCTTGGCGAGGCCCTTTAATTGTGCAACTCTCGTTCTCTCTCGCTCTAGGTTGTTGTGCGATAACGAAAATTTCGAAAGCCCCCCTCGCTATCGCCGCGCCAACGGCGACGCATGAATAAGAGCGAGATTTTTACTCACCCACACACTTGCATGACTCGTTCAATTCGCGCGTATATTGTTCGACAGGCTGTCGAAGCGACAACCGACGGCTGCGTAGATTAGACCTATCGGTCGTCGGAGCTTTTGCTATGATTCTCTGGCTGCGGGGGTATCGTTGGCCGTTCGAGAAAGTTTTCGCGACGTCGCGGCGACGGCAGGACTGCGCCGCCGGTCTAGGTCACTCTAGAGGTCCGCGCTCCGTAGCCAATATCCCTTTTGCTCTGCTGAGACGCGCGCCGGAGCGAAAAAATTGAGCTGTCCAGCGCGTAAGCGGCTTATCTCGGCGCAGCTTAACGCGATTGTGCGTACACGGCAGCCTCTCTCTGGAATTGCGCGCATCGAGCCTCGAACTGGCCTTCGACGAGCGAAATGTCATCGGGGCGCGGATGCAAATGTCTCGTTTAAATGTATCTAATTCGCCGGAATACACTTGGCGAAAGGTCGTTGCCGAAGGTCTACTTGTTTACTCTCTCTTTCTTTTTCTCTCGGCAACGCTTGGCTGCGTGTGGGCGCGCACGACTGGCTTTCTCGGGCTTTTGTTTGCTGCGGGAACGTCTGGCGCATTGTTACTACGCGCGCTTCCCAGCTGTGCGCTGGGAATCTTCGCGTAAGGATTTTCTCCAAGGGCAAGCCGAGCACCAAGGGATCGTCGGCCCTTCCTTATCGGCGCTCTTGCTGCCCATTTTCGGGTGGACGCGCCTCTTTCGCGGACCGACTGGTCGATATTCACCAAGGATCGAGTTTACTTGAGCAAGCTCATCGAAGTGCTTAGGCGGCTACTCGAGACGCTCGTAAAGTCGTCGCTCACCGTCGAAGGCTACGAGCTGTCGTAATTAAACAGTCGTTTGAGCCGACTGATGTTTGAAAGCGCCGGCGGTTTCCGCTCTATCGATTCGCTCGGACACCTCGTTACAACATTCTCGAACTTGCACAGTAGCTAATCGCAATAAGCCGGATATTGAACAAGCGCATCGCCGGGAAAAAAAAGCAAGAGGCAACGAGGCAACGAGGCGACCTATTAAGATGAGAAATCCCCAGCGACGAATATACATGTGTCGCGCGGATATACACGTAGGATAATAAGCGACACCCGATTACTCAATGAAATTCCAAGCTATAGCATTTCATCGCGACCATATTTAGTTTCTCGTTATACTTGGTTCAAGTTTACGGCGTTGCGCAACGCGCGTGCGCGATATACGCGACTGGCTTCCGCGCGCAGGTAAGCTTTTTGAGCGGCGGCGGCGAGGCGTTCCCTCGGCGGGCGCGGGGCGCTGCGCGCGATTTCGCCGAAGGGACTCGCCCGTCAAAAAGCATGCCCGAGCGAACTGTGTCGAGAGACGAGCGCACTTGTGTCGGTGATTCGCTCGCGCACCGACGCGTGGGCGCGCGCGCGATTTCTTTCCTCTCTGGTTCGCTTTGCGCCGATTTACGTGGGCGAGCACGTGCAAACGTTCGCTTTTCGCGAGCCGCGCGCGCGACTTTGCCGCGAGCGAATTCGCCGCTCCGTTTTTGTCGCGGATTTGTTTGCCGCGCGCTATCGCTCGCCAATGGTGATCGCGAGCCGCCGATAAGATAGCGGATCAATACGCGTACCTGCGCTGCGGCACGTGACTGTTTTTTTTTGTTTTTCTTTTTTCGTTTTTTTTAGGTCGGGGCCTCTCGATGATACTCGCGCGTACTACGACCGGCGATGCGTAATTCGTCGACGCGAAACGCGCTCGTCGTCAATCGCCGCTGTGCATTCGTACCGTCGCAAATTGCACTTGAAGAAACATTAAAAATCGTTGCCGTCAAAGTCCCACGCAACTCGCTTTACATTCCCCTCTCTGTAGACTACATCGGCGCCAAACTGTATCAAAAGCGATTTCGATGATGTTCTATTCAGCAGACTTCCGCGGAACGGCGTCGCGACGCCGAGAGAGTCAGCGGAAAGAAGCGTCCGCAAGGGCGTCGCGACAATTAATAAACGACGAAACGTTGCGTTTGGTTGCAGGATCCGGCCGCAGATAGCACGCGAGGTGATCGACATGTGCCGGATCTGCACGCAGGTACCGGCGGGTGAGCCGCAGGTGTTCCTGGGCCCGGACAAAGCCTTCACCTACGACTACGTGTTCGACACGAGCTCGGACCAATGCTCGATCTACGAGACGTGCGTGGCGCGGCTGGTGGACGGCGCGCTCGACGGCTATAACGCCACGGTGCTGGCCTACGGACAGACTGGTTCGGGCAAGACCTACACCATGGGCACGGGCTTCGACGTGGAGATCGACGAGCACGTGGTTGGCATCATCCCCCGGGCCATCAAGCACCTCTTCGACGGCATCGCTCATAAGCAGGCTCGCGCCCGCGAGCGCGCCCAGCTGCCGCCCGAGTTCAAGGTGCGTTGCCCGTCACCCGGTACACTCGGATCGACACCCCGACGGACAACGGACGCGAGCCGAGCTCGCTCGCGCGGCCTCGTCGCCCTTCGATAGCGTCGCCTCAATTGGAGTATGACGCGCGCGCGGCGAGTAACCGAATCCTCGGACGGGACGGAAGGCAGACACGCCGTTGCCGCAATCCGGACTCGTGAGAATTGGCTCTCGTCGCGGTACGACGGTCCCGCGCGCCAAGCGAGGACACGCAGAGCTGCGCGCGCGGGATGCTCTTCGCTGACGTCATGATGCCGCTCGCATCGCTGACTTCGCCGCGGCTTACTGCACCGATTCGCGAAAGTCACGCTCGCGGACGACTACTCGTCGCCGACGCGCTCGTCGCTCGTCGGAAGCTAGCCGCGAGGCGGATGTTCGTGCCCGGGTCGAGGCGCGGCACTGCCGCTTCGCCGCGTTCGCTCGAAAGAGAGACCACGGGAAAACGGCGGCGAAACGAGGCGCTGCTGCAGCGCAAAGGCCCCGCGCGAGGCGCCAACGTGTCCCGCGGTGAACTGACGCCAGCGGCAAATTGGACGATGCGCAGGTGAGCGCGCAATTCCTGGAGCTGTACAACGAAGATCTGAAGGACCTGCTGGAGCCGGGAGGTCCGCGGGGCGGCGCCCGCATCCACGAGGACACCGCGGGCAACATCCACCTCGCGGGCGTCGAGTGCCGCGTGGTGACGAGTCCGCAGGAGGCCCTGGAGTACCTGCGCCTGGGCGCGCTGTCTCGCACTACCGGCAGTACGCAGATGAACACTCAGTCGTCGCGCTCGCACGCCATCTTTACGCTGCACGTCAAGCAGCAGCGCTGCATCCACGTGGAGGACCCGGACGCCGACGTGGACACCGCTGGCGACAACATGGACAGCGAGTTCGAGACCCTCACGGCCAAGTTCCACTTCGTCGATTTGGCCGGCTCGGAGCGGCTGAAGCGCACCGGCGCCACGGGCGATAGAGCCAAGGAGGGCATCTCCATCAATTGCGGCCTGGTGAGTGTTGCGCTTCCAGAACGGGTAGCGATGATTATCGTCGTGTGCGCCGCCGCCGCCGTCCTATGAAAGATTCATGCAGGAAATCGGATTTGTTATGCCGCGCGGCGGTCGACCGCTCCGCGCTCACCCCGATCGCTTCCTGCGCGCCTCACCGTGCGCCTAACTGTTTCCTCCTAGCTGGCCTTAGGCAACGTCATTTCGGCGCTCGGCGACAAGACCAAAAAGGCCCTCCACGTGCCTTACCGAGACTCCAAGCTCACCAGACTGCTGCAGGACTCCTTGGGCGGCAACAGTCAGACCGTAATGATCGCCTGCGTCTCGCCCAGCGACCGCGACTTCATGGAGACGCTCAGCACCCTCAAGTACGCTAATAGGGCGCGGAACATCAAGAACAAGGTGACCATCAACCAGGACAAGAGCTCTAGGACCATCGCCTCGCTCAGGCGCGAGATCCAGCAGCTGCAGATGGAGCTGCTCGAGTATCGACAGGGTAATCGCGACGTTCGACCGATCCGCCGCGGACCCGCGTCTCATTGGACAGCAAGCCGAACCAAGCGTGTTCGTCGCTATTGCAGGTAAACGAGCGGTGGGCGAGGACGGAATGAACGACGCCTGGCACGAGAACCAAATGCTCAACAGCGAGCTGCAAAGCCTGCGCACGCGGGTCAAAGCTCTGTCGGAGACCGTGGATGCTTTGACGGCTAAGAACTCGCTGCTGCTCGCGGAGAAGGCGGCAGGCCAGTGGCTGTCGTCGGGCGCCGCCGCCGCCGCCGGCGGCGATGTCACTGGCCTCGTACAGGGCTACTTGCAAGAGATCGAGGAGCTGCGGGCGAGATTACTCGAGGCCGAGGCGCTTTATCAGCAGCTCAAGAAGAGGCAGATGCATGTGAGTTCCCGCCTCGTTATTACCCGGCTCACGCCGTCGTACGAGACATATTGACTTATTGACTTATTCCACGTCTCAATGTTGACATTTATCCGTGTAGCAATCTTTCGGGATAGACGCTTCGCTCGAAACTAGTATGCAGGTACGCTCAACTGAACACGAATTAGAGGTACTTGTGTCTCTGCATGGGTGTTAATTGGCAACGAGTCGTACACTGATTTTCTTTGGTTAGCGCGCTTATCATTATACGAGTTTATTCATTACTGCAAATGTTTTTTCAGTTCAATTTATGGAATCAATTCACGATACCGCTATTTTCCATCATTTATTTGCTTACACACAAAGCAGCTCTTGAAAGTGACTATAATTTCAATGTATTCAACGCGTGATTCACTCACCGTTGGCCTTGATAAAGATCATTTATAATCATCATTATTGTTTTTCAATGATCTTTTCGACCACTCGACACGTCGGCATTTATCATCTTTTTTTGTTGCGGTCAACTCATTATGGACTTGCTTTTTATTCAACCCACAGGTTAGCGCCGCGGGTAATCCCTACACCGTCTCCGACATGTCGCACGTTTTACACAGCGATTCTTCCTCGGTGCTCATTGAAGCGAAACGAGAATTACAAAAAGAGAAGGCGCTGCTTGCCAGCCTCAAACAACAAACGCAAACTATCAGCAATAAAGATGGGGAAGATGCGGAGATGGAAGACGCTGAGAACGGGCAAGAATCTATGAGCGAAGACGAGTCTGACGACGATTCCGATCGTAAAGGTATACTTAATGATTTTCGATCGAAGGAGATTTTTCTCTTTTGCAATTATTGAGATGACGAATGCGTTTATAGAAGAGGATGAAGAAGAGGAAGCGATAGGTCGTGAATTGGAGAACCTTACCTCTAACATAGATGTGAAGCAACGGCTGATTCAAGAGCTTGAATTGTCTCAAAGACGACTGCAAACAATGAAGCAACATTATGAAGATAAACTCGCTCAATTACAGCTGCGTATCAAAGACACCCAAGAAGAAAGAGACAAGGTTCTATCCTCTCTCCAACAAAACTCGTCGGCGCCAACAGAAAAGGTCAAAAAACTACGTGACGAGTACGAAAAGAAGCTCGCGACAATGCAAAAGGAAGTCAAGATGTTGCAATCTGCTAAAAAGGAGCACGCTAGGCTTTTAAAGAGTCAAACACAGAATGAAAATAGACTGCGAGGTACGTATGAAAAAATAAATGACATAGCAAATAAAACATCAAATAAACGTCCAAAAATAATTTCTTACGTAAACATTCGCTCGGCTTATAGGGTTGAGAAATGAACTGGCAGAAATGAAACGAGCAAAAGTGAAGCTGCTGAACAAGATGCGCGAAGAAGCGCAGCGTCACAAGGAAAACGAGCTCAAACGCAACCGTGAAATCGCTCAGCTGCGAAAGGAAAGTCGTCGCAACGCCAACATGATTAGAACTCTGGAGGCCGAGAGACGAATGAAAGAAGTTGTACTCAGGAGAAAGCAAGAGGAAGTCACCGCACTGCGAAAGAGAGACCGGGGATTAAGTCAGAAAGCCGCGGGTCGAACAGCCGTAGCTAAAGCGCCAAACCCCAAGGCACTGAAACAACGCTGGCAGACTTTCGAGAGGACCATCACAAAGCAGGCGTTGGCTAAACAAGCCGCTGCTGAGACGGAAAAAGAGATGGAGCGATTACTGCAGGAAAGGGAGGAACTCGGGAGAGAACTCGAGAGACTGAAAAAACAAAAGCTCGTCATTGCCTCGATGAAGGACGATACAGCGGATATCGACGAGGAAATCGACAACGTTACCAGCAAAATTAGTTACTTACAAGTAAGTATTGATTTTCGATTAATGCGTACGATATAATTGCACCTCGCATTAACGGTGAGACTTTCGTTCAAAAAGTGGAGCGTGGATTTCAATGTAAGGAATACCGTTATTAAAAATTAGAATCTGCTAGTTTGTATTCAGCTTCGAGAGTGTACCGCCCATTTTTCGTAATTCAATATCCGATAAAGTGCAAGCTGTAATCTTGGGCACTTGATAGAATGTTTTTAAATTATCTAGGACAGCATATCAGAGTGCCAAAGAGCGATGGTGGAGATGGGTGACAACGACGGTGAGGCGGACGGTGATTCGGGTATGGAAGCCTTATTGAACACAATAAGAACAGTTGACGAGGCACAGTACCTAATGCAACGAATGCTGGCTTTTACCATCGAGCAAAGTTACATCGCTGCTCAGAAGCAGCTCGAAGTGCGCGACATGGAAACTCGACTGAACCAGGTCGCACAAGAAAGCGATGTTCAGCATCAGCTTCTTGAACATGTACTTAGAGATAGAGATCTGCTGTCGCTTACCAATAGTAATGTCACGAACAATTCAACTACGGCCTACAGTCCTCCTAGCTCCAGGAGTTCTTCCCCAGACAAGTAAGTTGTATTTTAATAACGTTTCACTTTATTTCGATATGATAATTAATTCTCCGTGTCGATTTTTAGTAGCGAAAACATGACGCAAAGCATAGGTCCAGACGATAAGCCAAGAAGTATCAAGGTGCGACGGCGAACGACGCAGCCGCAGGAGCTTTTGTACGGAACGAACGCGGATAATCAAAAGAACGAGGATCAAAATCAAAATCATAACCATCCATTGACGAGGGTTCCCAGTGCACCAGGCAGTCTCAAGTTTGTTCTAATTTTTATACTCACGTTATTCAGGCTGGCTCGACTTCGCTTTGCCAATCTGTGTATAAATCTTCTGTCTTACTTGTGTTGAAGTCGAGTTTTTGAATTCGACCTAGATGTTGTTACTCTGGCGAGAGTATTGTGTTAGGTGATGGGTGTTTGTTTAAATGGTTCGTGTTGGGTGTGATGTGTTTGCCAAAGATTTATTCATGGAATTAGGTGAAAGCACAGTCGCAGCACCAGTCGTGTGTAACTATAGATACTTCGAAGTAGTTAAAAGGAGCGTTGGTATAATTAAGTTTGCATGGTCTTAGGGGTTTGGTACTCGCGAGGAATCAGTATGGCAGTGGGTTGATTGGTTCGCCAACGCTGAGTCGTCGCGACAGCACGTCACCACGGCCCCTACGCAGAGCCCTACACGCAGGTGGCGGTTCCATGTGAGTGACAATGCTCCAGCTGGCTTTCACTTTTATTCTCCTGTTCCACCTATGTCTTGACATTTTGCACAGTGCACTCTTTTGTATTGTCTCTCGTTGATTGTTCTTTCCTTCCCTATTTATTTGTTCTACTTTCCTATTTTTTTCTCTTCTTTTTTTGTTTTCTAGTTTTATACAATGATTCACTGTCATATGTTTGATTAAGTGCGAATCGACGAGACGTATGAGATGCAAATCCGAGTGCCTTACGATCAATCGGATATACTTTAGAGAATTGTGAATTATGGCAGCTAGGAGCTAAATTGTCAAAATTCTTCAAGGTTAAATGCACGCAGGGCTTGTCAACCCTTTTTCAGGCACTTTAATTAAGTATACCAGTTGGTTGGGTTACATAAACTAATAATGAAACTTTTACACAATATCTCTTAAAGCAATACGTAAGTTTATCTTTTTTAAAATGTTTTTACTGACTCAAGGGATCAAATGTTTTGAAAGCGGCTTTTAATATATTTCATAATAATTCATTCCTCGATTAATATAATTGCCATAACAATACTATTCAAGAAGTTGAAGAAAAACTATATGTACATACATATTTTAATGCGCTAGTCGTTTATTGAAACAGAACGAAATTTTGTATTATAAATCTGTATATAACAAAGAGTTATACATATTTGTACAGCTTTGGAAATACAAAAAATAAATATAACATACAATGCGTTTCAATTATACGTATATATCGATTTTATACACAAAAATATCCTGTGTGCTCAGCGTGCAACTCAAAGTTGGTATATTCATAACGACAATAAAACGCAAGAGCCCGATAAAACAAACGAAAGCATCCGCAATTAATCTCGCACATTTCTAAAGTTATATGTAAAATTTTAATCCCCAATAACAAGCAGTATGATAAGTGGGAATTCTTCGCATGAATTATTAGTAATACCGCATGCAATACAAACCTGCATGGTATTTTTCTCTTTTAATCCAATGTATGTGATCGAAAGCAAATAAATATTGAACGATTGCCGGCTGAAAACTAACTGTGCTTAACTAACAAACTGACGGCCCAATTAGGGAGCAGGTAGCCCACATGGACACCTCGTCGCCGCCAAGTTCACCGATGACCTACAGGAGATTTAATAGTCGAGAAGAGAATGTTTTCTCGAGACTAACTGCGAGCAGGCAAACTCTACATGTCGAGCACCAGCCAACTAAAGGAGTCATCTCCAACTATCAGGGAAAGGTAAGTTGCAAAAAGAAAGTAGAAAATAATGAATACAGAAGAGCAAAATCGATCTGATTATATTTGTTTATAGGTCGTACCTAGAGCAATACTGCAGTGTACTCATGTCGCCGAAGGCCACAGTAAAGCCGTCCTGTCAATTTGCGCAACCAATGATTTACTCTTCAGCGGCTCCAAAGGTATAAATTAAAATAAATTAAACTCAAAATAGATATTTTAATGGGTACAGCGATAAATTGATTTTCGCGACTTACTAATTAATGAAAAATAACATGTCTGTCATTGCAGATCGAACAGTCAAAGTGTGGGATCTAGGAACGGGAATCGAGAGCATGTCTCTAGGCGGACACCCAAACAATGTAGTAGTTGTTAAATACTCGGCGGTCAATCGACTAGTGTTTAGCGTGTCGCTAGCCTACGTGAAAATTTGGGACCTGCGCTCAGGCAATAGCTGCATAAAAACGTTATTCTCATCGGGACAGGCGCAGAGTGGCTCTCTCAACATTTCGAATACGACGAGGACGGTACAGTTGCCCGTCGGAGAGACAACGATCAACGATGTAGCTCTCGGCCTAGACGATCGCGAGCTGTACACAGCCTCGAGCGACAAAGTGCGAATTTGGGATTTGCGCAAGATCGCCTATGTAGGAAAATTAAGTACCCCGCATTCCGCAGCGGTTATGTGCCTCAGTGCCACCGAGGACGGTAGAGTAATCACCGGTAGCAAAGATCATCTCATCTCCATTGTTGAGCCCAACATGTCTGGTCAGTCATTCAGTCTATCACCTCCACATTACGACGGCGTCGAATGCTTGAGTACCTACGGAAACATATTATTCTCTGGTACGACTGTCTTCATTCGTGTGTATAGAAATTTTGTGCATGGCTTGTTTCGTTATTTCAACAGGATCACGAGATATGTGCATCAAACGCTGGGATCTGGGTAGAATGGAGATCGTCCAGTCTTTGAACAATGCCCACAAAGATTGGATCCAAGGATTGTGCCTTATTAATAGCGGGTCGGTCATGATATCTGGCTGCCGCGCTGGTATGCTAAGAGCTTGGACGGTGCCGAACTTTGGTGATCAGATGGGCGAGTGTTCGCTTCTAGGCGAGGTGCGTGCCCACACCTCAGCCATCAACGCTACTGTCAGCAACCAACAACATATTTTCACCGCCAGCAGGTGAGTGACAACTGACACAATCAATTATTTCCTTTTTAACTTTCTCTGGAAAAGTATAAGTATAGTCTTTCAAGTGGGTTATGAGTTCGTAGGATTCGGGTTTGGCAGATTGAATTTTTTTAACACGCACATTAACACACACTTTCTTGAAAGGGGATGGTGAAATTACATATTACTAATAATCGACTAACTTATATAAATATGCTGATTGAAAGTAGTTTTGATGTAAGTTTCACGCATCCCCTTGTTTAACGATAAACTAGGATAGTATATTTAAAGCTTGGAACGTTGGTTGCAGCTCTGGGGAAGTGAAGCTGTGGCGCATACCTGATTCTTCTTTGACCATGTCCACGTCCACAGTTTCTTTATAACTTGATCCGCTTGATCTCTATCTCTTGGTTGGTTTCTCTTTGGTTGTTTGTGTTCAGTGTTTGTCCTTGTTAATAAGTAGTCTTAGGCAGTTGGGTGATCTGCTGCTGTCCATTTTACTCTAGTCAATCTTCTCTCGACTTCCAACAACAAAAGAAAAGATAAAAAAGAACGAAAGGACGAAACGATCAATTATTCTCATAGCAATACGTACTTTAAAAGTAGTATATTCTAAGTCACGGGACAGGATTTTTTCGGTCTGACTTGCTAATAATCAAGTACAAATGAGATGTGTAATATATATTTTTGAATTGGATGGAAGCAAATGTATTTTCTCAAGTGACACATGTATCGAGACTAATTCGACTGTAACGAGTTGAGGGGTGCATTTTCTGTCCAGAACTAAAATATTTTTGTTACCGAGTGCGTAACATACGCGCGCGCACACAGCCACACACACAAGTTCACGTAATCATCTTCATCATCGCCGCCTAGCTGTAACGTATTCTAGCATTTTTTTAACTTAGTTTGGATCTCGATCGTTCATGTTCTCCGGCGATCGTACATATAAAATTGTTTTATATAATATGCACAAGCTTGCTACTTTTTAGAAAGATCATCCGTCATCAGCAATCATTTTCATCCTCATCAACATCGCCTTGTCACTCCTTCATTACGAATTGAATACGACTAGCTAAGAATTTTTCCAACAATTTTACTCTCTAATATTTCTCTCTCTTTCTCCTCCTACTACACGGTTTCTGCATGATTATGATACGATTTTTAAACTTTCAATAATTTTTACAATGTAATTAACGGTTGCTTAATGTAAACAATTATTTGTAAATGATTTTTTTTAAGATATTATTTTTGCTTTCGTATTATTCATTAATTTCGTGCATTGCATGGCTGTCGTCTGCTCCACGCATACAGTGATGGCACAGTGAGGCTTTGGAGCTACAACAAGAGAGACAACCGGACTTTCCAAAGGAGCATCTCGCTAAAATGCTAGCACACGAAGTATTTCATTTATGTAGTGATATTACTCGTTTATTTATTTACCTCATTTTTACCGATCTGCGGTAGGGATCTAGCGAAAGACGATTAAATCCGGTCGAACAAAGTCTGCGTCTATCAGAACAAAATTGTATAATTATATAATTGTATAGGGTGTGTCAAAAACTTTTAAAACTCGCTATCGACGAAATGGCTTACTGTATACTTCACATTTGTTAATTGTAAAATACCCTGTCTCCTCGATCCCCTAGTACATTTTTAACTAACGTATAATGAACTTTTTATACTGCGTGTATACACCTATAGATTATGCTGATTTATTTTTTAAGTAGGAAACACGAATGAAATTTTAAGAAAGCAAAAAATTATAATAACGAGATTCTATTGTGGTGTAAAAGTGGCTGCGATCTTTTCACGTGATATTTTATATAGACTTTTGAAAGTGTTACTATATTACCAATGAGTCGTAAATAAAAAAATGTAAGAGCGTTTGAATTGTATTTATACGCTTTTTTTTTAATTCCACCGAAAATGCCTGTGCTAGATTTGTGGTGACTATTTCAAAAGCGCCTAAATAAAATAAATATATAATACAGTGTGAATTCAAATAACTTAAATAATGGAACAAATTTGGCATTATCTAGCATTTATTTTTATTAAGAACGTAAAGGTGGTCATAATTGTAATATTTAATCTTAGTACAAACAATAATTGTTGATTAATGTTGTACAGTCTGAGGTCTCTGAAGGTCCCAAAAATGTGACATCGTCAGGTTCGACTATTGTTCAGTTTTCTTCTGAAAACATTAGAAACAAATTTATCTAATTATTAATTTACTAATTTGAAATTAATACAATGAAATAAAGAAATTGAACAAGAAACTTTGTTGTATTAAATTGATTTTTGTTTTCTTTGTACGAAACACTTTCTTTTTTAAATAAAAAAACCTTTTTAATAATTCTTACCTCTTTTTCTTTTTGTGAGCACTTAGTGATTCCTGACCACTGTCATCTTCTTGACTCTCTTCCGAAGCACTGCTACTGCTGCTGCTTGATGAGCTACTGGAAGACCCACTTGACGAATCGCTGGCCACGCCAGTATCTTCCTTTACATCGATTGTATCGGTCAGTGCGGCGATATCTGACTCTTTTTCTCTGAGAACCTTTAACCATTTGCGTGACAATTTTGGCCGTCCACGAACCTAAATCATCACGATTATAAAATTATATTTTATTTCAATTAACCAACATTTCTTTTTTAAAAGTAAATCAAGTGTTTCTTACAGTCTTGTGCCAAACAACCGGAAAATTTGTGCGTGAAGAAAAATTTTGCGTAACGGCAATAGTGTCATCCAGATTAAGAACAACATGCCACCAGCCACCAGGTACAAATACAGTTTCCCCAGGGTTTTGCAGAATTTCAATAGGTTTGCAGTCTTGTGGCCATGTCGGCAATTTTGTTCGCGGGTAAATAACAGAAAACCAAGTAATGGCCTCGTCTCTCTGCTTGCCTCCTTCAATACCAGTCACCTTTAAAAGTTCTCTTGGAGTGTGAGTAGGAAATAGACACCATCTTTTGTGCCCAGAAATGAGTGCATTCCAAGCACTTGTGCCCAAAGGATCAATATGGATTCCAGTACCTATTTTAGAATAGTGTCATCATTGTTATTAATTCAATTGTACTAAAACATGTAGACACAATAGAAATAGTTTTTAGAAATTTACCTGATCTTTCAGGACCCATAACGAACCAACGGTATGGGGGTCTTCTGTGCTCTCCTGCATACTGGAAGAGGTCATCTTGGAAGTACTTTGGAATGGTGTAATCCTCTAGTAACTTTTTTCTTCGAGGATGTTCACCAAAGGAACTGTCAAATATATATAATGGAGAATCATCCTCATTATTCTGCATATATTGTACATAATATTTCATTTTCATTTTCACACTATATCCTTCATTATCCTCTCCACATTTGAATTTTTGATTGCGATACTTCTTTGCCAATCTCTGCAATGTTCATTTGACCAAATATTAATCATCTAGACATGAGATTGATTTCACATATAAAAACTGACACAGTGAACAAAAAATCACCTCAATTGTCCATTTATGTTGGGCCTTCCAACCATTTTGAACACCTTTAATTATCACAGGTATATAAGGTTTTTCATATCTCCTAATAAATTCATCTGATGAAACTTCTGATTCTGTTATTCGATCCACATTATCTGTGAAGTTCCAAAATTGCTGAAAATGTTTACTATAATTATGTTGAGACCAGGCTGCTCTATCAGCAAGTTCTGCAAGAAAATTAATATTTATTAGCCTTGAACGAAGTGGGTAAAATTCAAAATTATTATACTAATTACTTTTCTAAGTACAAGAATAAAGGAACGTTTTGTCACGTACAGCACTTGAATTCAAAATTCAAAATAATAGGTAATGGGCTATTTAAAAAAACACGTTCGATTACGTAAAATTTCTCGAATCGGTATGTCATCATTTCTCGAAAATTCGATCAATCGAAAACGAAGAAAACCATCGTTAAAAAAATAGAAAGAACAATCGCAATGAAATCAAGAAAAAGCGTTTCATGAATCAACTGTATAAGACACGCAACAGGAAGTACGAGTCATCTGTTGGAACAACGCTGTCAACCGAAGCCGAAGCATCTTTGAAACATGAGCAGCGTGTGGCCAATATCGAAAGTGTCGAATTCAAGGACACAATTCGCATTACCATTCTCATAACGAACAGACATGCAAAGAGAAGGGAGCGTAAGAGGTTATGCTCAGGAAATAGAGCATCCTCGTGGTCTGACGACGCTTCCATTTTCTCACATCTCGGTTTGACGTGTCGATGATTTGATTGTATATACTGACCAGGTCTGGCTTTTCTCTTGACTTCCTTGATCCGTTTCCTCGCCCGGTGATCTAACTTTGTCTCCTCCGAAGTCATTTCGAATCGTTTATTAATAAGCAGTAAAAGCTAATTTATCCTTGGATAACTAAATATCTACGTTATGTACAATTTATAAGCAGTTTGCGGCGCGTCCTTACTCGAGGAGTTAGGACTGTCGGTACCGCAACCTCTTTCTTGAACGTACACACGCGTACTACAGACTACAGATACAGGGCTGAACGACAAGCGGCGTCGCTGCTTCTCGTGACTTCCATGAGGTGTCTCCCGTAGCACGTAGCTCCGATTTTAGCAGCAGCTCCGAAAACCCATTTCCTTTGCTCTACAGCTCTCACAATGAAAAGTATGATTGAGATAACGAGTTTACGGTATCAATGATTTTTCTGCAGGAGTCGAACGAGACGAAGGAGAAAGATGTACAATACAAGGTGCGCGTTGGTTTTAAAAGACGCTGAACTCGACAGGAAAACAAAGATGCTCGCTCATATGTGTGCCTACGTGACAAGCTCTACGAGAGTAATGTCCCGTTCATTGTCAAAATAAGTCGGTGTGAACTATCGGTTGGAATGAGAGTGTAAGAACTTGAAACCAATGTCTTCGATTCCAAAATGAAAGATACTTCAGGCTCGATTTCTCACCGCCGCATTCAATCGCCTTTTTATTTCCGATGTTACAGTTATTCCAACAATTTCGATCGAAATTTCGAAAATCAATATTTCGCCTGAAAGGTAAACAGCTGACATTGAACCAGCTCAAGTTTATTTCTTATAAACGTTCGCACGCGCTAGAGCTAAATATAGCTCGCGGTAAATGGCAACAAAGTTTGTGCAGCGTGTGGGCGCGCAGAGCTGCCGAGAGCAAAAAAGGGAGCATTCGCCGAAAGAATGCAAAAAAGTCGAACGCGAAACGTGTGGAGGCACGTGGTTCTCTCTCGTAGCTCTCTTTTTATTTATCCATTTACAATTCATATATACACGGAATGGAGCAACGCTGTGCATGTGATACGTGCACTTGGTCACGTACAGTCACCAACGCATTCGAGTGTGTAGCTGTGGCGAGTGCACTTGTGCGAAGAGTAATATTTTTCCCCCTCTGCCTGTCTCTCACTCTCTCTCTCTCTCTCTCTCTCTCTTGTCCACCTCTCCGGCTGTTCGTGCCCCGTGGCCTAAAGTTCAACGGTTCGAGTGGCGCATGCGCGTCTCGCGCGTTCTGTTTCTGTCTCGCTTGCACTCGGCCTACCAGCCGCGCGCACTACACACTATTACACCGCGGTCGGGGTGAATGTACGTATAGAAGGTGGAGACCCCGCGGCCCGCGGTGGGATATCAAACTCGACGTTGCCACAATTAGAAACGAGCGCGCGCGAACCATGCACTTTTCCGACTTTTCCTAGCTGTCGACTTCGCGATCTATCGAACGCCTCACGAGCGCGCGAATTTGGAAATATTTCATGCAATAGACACGCAGATATGTCAGTGACACGAACAACAGGTACATCGCGTAATTTGTAGTCAGAGCAGCTGACGCTAATCTCAATACAAAAGAAGAGAAATTTTAAATTGACACCTTGAGCGTGTGCGCTGCGAGCGCACGTTACTTTACATCTGCTTTTTTTAGGGCTGCGCGAACAGCTGCAGGTACTAGGCCACTTGATGCTCGTGGCATTCGATATATGCACTCGGGGTAGCAATGATAATTAGGGTGAGCTACGCGATAAAAAGCCCGTACCCTTTTTTTCTTTTAGTTTTCCGCATGGGAAAAATTTATTTTCTCAGCGGATTGGTTTGTTTCATCTTCTCATTTGAAACCTTCGTTTTCATCTACGTACACTTCTTTCACGAGTTGTCTAAACTAACAATTAGCAGTTGTGATTTAGCAAACGTGGATGCTCGTATATGGGATTCTTGCTATCTTATTGAATTAGCAAATCCAATAACGATGTGCTGATTGTATCATCAACTATAAAAACAGACTTGAAATTTCATATTAATCAAGTTATTTTGTTATTTGAATATAAAAACTTCAGAAAGACATTTTGTATTTCCTGCTTCTGTTAATTCAAAATCATTTTGGCGTGGCTTCAACTTGCATTTCTCAATGACACTTCCTAAAAACGAAGAGGAAAACTTTAGAAGTTGTCAAGGCCACAGAGATTTCTAATTCTGCGTCCATAAAAAGACTGCTTCAAAGTCACGTACACCATTTCAGAGCGTTAGTCGCTTACGTATTCACACACATACCCCTGAAACAACAATAATACCCTTACCTAAATACGCAGCTCTGCTCCCATAGCAGAAGAGCATACAAATACGATTTGCAGGCGCACACGTGTGCGTATCGTGTAAGATCGTCTGGCTGCATACCAAATAGGCAAGAGATCTCGAAATCGAGAATTGAACACGAGAAAGTGAGAACCGGCAACGTTGCGCGCAGGTACACTCCAATACAGACACACGCATGTACAGCACACTGCACAGGCAGCGAGGCAGCACAGAGAGCGCTAGGCGCATCCATAAACACGTATACGCTAGGGAGCGAGAGCTACGCATCGATCGAAGCAAGACAGCACTAGTCGCGCGCGAAGATCGCGGCTGGCTGGCCGCAGCACACACAACATACAGACGAGGTGAAGCGAACGCGCGAGAGAGAGAGAAAGAAAAAGAGAGAGAGAGAGAGAGAGAGAGAGAGAGAGAGAGAGAGAGAGAGAGAGAGAGAGAGAGAGGAGAGAGAGAGAGAGAGAGGAGAGAGAGAGAGAGAGAGAGAGAGAGAGAGAGAGAGAGAGAGAGAGAGAGAGAGAGAGTGACGCCATGTTTTGATGTCGTCACCCCCCCTCCGAGAGCTCGAGTCCCATCCTCGTTTCCTCGCATCGAATCGTGTTCGTCTAGCAGCGGATCGCGGTTCTTCTGTGAGTGCGGGCGTGCTGTCGCTGCTGCGTCGCCTCGCTTCACCGTCGAGACATCGCACCGTCGACACCATCGCCGTCGTATTCATAATAATAATCTCGCGTCGTCGCACTGCCGCCGCCGCCGTGAGCGTGAGTGTTGGTAGTTGGTCTCAGTGTGCGTGCGAACGAGGTCGACGACGCGCGTCGAGGTTACAGCTCCGTGCACTCCTCGGGGAAGGTGGACCCGAGTGTTGGCGCCGTGCTCCGTTACGTCACACATACTGCCGATAGTCATAATCGTGCGTGTGCGTCGTCCGCCACAACAGCAGAGAGGAAAGTGCGCCCGCTGTTAGCAAGTGTGTGTGAGGGTGTGCAAGTGGCTAGCGCAAAGCCAGCAGCACGACGTCGACAGCAGAACAGCAAAAGCGTTCGAAGTGGCGAGGCTCGGCAGCACATCAGCAGGCCGTCGCCGCTTTGACGACGGCGGCCGGTGACGGCGGCAGTACGATCGTTCAGCTGCCTCTGCAGCCGCGATTCAACCCAGCCATGGAGTTGAGGCTACGCTCGCCCGCTGGGGCCGACTCCATAATATACCAGTGGCCGCTCACCTCCGGCTCAGGAAACGTGAGTTTTCCTTATCCAACTTTTCAAAACCTATGCTTTGCTGTCCTGTGTAAACACACTCAAACACACATGCATGTATGGCGCCAACGCGCCTTCCTTTTTTAAATGTCTCGCGCTCTGCTGTTGCTACCATCGCACGCGCACGCGACAAGGTTAGGTCATCTGGTCTTCCTGGAAAGCTCGTCTCCCGTGGCTTACTTACCTTAATCCGAATATAGACCGATGTCTATCTAAAACAAAGCGTTCGCTCGACGAAAGTCATGCACAAGCATTCGCTGCGTTACGCGATTGCAGCACGAGCGAGAAATTGACAAAACACGCGACTGTCCACGTCTCTCTGAGCTAGGCGAATTACATAATTACGGAGTCTCTCGCGATCGAGTCGCGACTAGACCGTGTGAAACGATTCCCTCAGCTCTCTTGCGCGACGTGAAGGCTGCATAGGCGATCCCCACGGGATACAGACGACCGTGTCGTCGTCCCTTTAAAGGCCACTGCATACTATATGAGGGCGTGTAACCGCCAGGGTCCATGACTGGAAGTCAAGAAATAGAAAGAAACGTCCACGTTGGAAGAGTTCTCCGGTGGCGCGCGCGCGCGCGCGTATGTGTATATCTGTGCGTGTGCATGTATGTGTGTGTGTGTGCCTGTGTCTGTCTGTCTCAACTCGGTTCTTATAGTTAGAGATACCTACATGTATATACGCGAAGTGCAGCCGCGCGCAGCACTCGCCGCGCACTCAGCTTCTCTCTTGCTTGCTCGTCCGCTCGCTTGCGGTAACCTCGTTTCTTCCTTTTTTCACACGTACCGAGCAGTGCGCGGATAGTCGAGTCGAGCTTCGCGCTCGCTCGTTCGTTTCCTCCCGCTCTCGCGGTTTTTTCGAGCACGTTTTGTCTGCTATCTTACCGAGAGAGGACAAGCCCGTTGATTTCCGTTTTCCCTTTTTTTCTTTCCAAATTTCTTTTTGTTTTTCCAGCTAGTCGCTCTGTCTGTACACCGATTTGTTGAACGTTTGGTGATCGCTTTCTTGTTTATTGGTTCGTGTTTTGTTTCGCTTTTAATAGACAGACACGCACCTAGCCAACACCGTATGTGACTTTTATTTCCGAGTTTTGGAATGTCGTCATTGTCAATGTTATTGATGTTTTTCAGTTTGACATTTTGCATAATGTTTTCTATTTTAGGACCGTCACGATGGGGCAATAGATGTAATAGAAACAATGAGGTGGGTCTGTGAGGACTTTCCAGATCTCAAATTGCCTTTGGAAAACAATATTCTATGTAACTATGATCCAAGAGATTATGAGAGCATGAAGGGCCTATGTGATAGGTTTAATAGAGCTATTGACAGTTTAGTACAATTGGTATGTATTAGTCCAAGATTAAACACACGGTTCATTGAATGTATTTACTTACTTACTAAACTTAGAATATTTACATTGCAGGAAAAAGGTACCAGTTTACCATCACAAAGATTAAACAAAAGGCCCAGTAGAGGAATGCTTAGACACATACTCCAACAAACCTATAATCAAGCTGTCATTGAACCTGATAAATTAAATCAGTATGAACCTTTTTCACCCGAAGTTTATGGAGAGACGAGTTATGAATTAGTTTGTCAGATGATTGATCAAGTAGAAGTAACAGAGGATGATGTGTTTATAGATCTAGGTTCTGGTGTAGGTCAGGTAGTTCTACAAATGGCTGCTGCTACTCGCTGCAAAATCTGCATAGGTGTTGAAAAAGCAGATGTACCATCTAGATATGCAGAAGTAATCAAATTTTTTTATTATTTTTATATTTTATTTAACAGTTTTAAATAACCACGCATATATTCAATTTGTAGAACATGGAAATTCATTTCCGTAAATGGTTAAACTGGTATGGTAAACGTTGTGGAGAATATCGTATAATCAAAGGCGATTTCCTCTCAAATGAACATAGAGAAAGTATTACGGGGGCCACTATAGTATTTGTCAATAATTTCGCGTTTGGACCTTCGGTCGATCATCAACTGAAAGAGCGTTTTGCGGATTTGAGGGACGGTGCACGTATTGTGTCATCTAAGTCGTTCTGTCCATTAAACTTTAGAATAACGGATAGGAATCTCAGTGGTAAGTTACTTAACACGTTTATTATATACTGTATACTTGTAAGCCACTTATGATGGATGATTAAACACAGATATTGGTACAATAATGCATGTATCGGAGATGACACCGCTAAAGGGATCTGTCTCCTGGACGGGCAAGCCGGTATCCTATTATTTGCACGTAATCGACCGAACAAAGCTAGAGCGTTACTTTAATCGTATGAAAAACAATAAGAACGGCGCACTTGACGACAATTCAGACTCTGTGATAAGCAACACTGCCAGCAATAACAATAGGGTATCAAGTCGAAGCGAGCGAGCGAAACGAGATTTATCTCGGCAGCTGGACACAAGTCCCAACGATTCAGAACAGCAGAACACGAACAGCGAGTCGGACGGCGACGATGAACCAAAGTCACGTAGAGCAAAGATGCGACGAAAGCTGAACAGAAAAAACGCCTCTGGGGGAGTTAGAAGTACAGGTTCAACGAGGGGCAGGCAGCGTGGTCGTGGTATAAAGAAGACCAAACCCAAGAAAATCATCAACATCTCGGGATTGGATCTGTTACATAGCCAGACGCTGCTTAGCACGTCGCCGCAAGCAATCGGCAAGAAACCGCCACCAGCACCCGGTACCGTGGATCAGCACCTGTCGTCGCTATCGCTAATACAAGCGAATGCGTCCACGGTGCACGAGGAGATGACCATACCTCCGGTGGCTGCCGACACTCCTTATGCGTTACAAATCCTTTTGGACCTGTACAAGTAAGATTTTTCCTACTAACATTCATCCTATACAAACTTCACTAAAGAACGCTAACGATGCTTATTTAATTTTTACAGAGATCAGTTTATGGCAATGCTTGATCAAATGAAAACACCAGCCTATCGAGCCTCGGTAAACGCCGACATCGCTAAAGAGCGCGAGAGGAACACGAAATTGCAATCTAGGGCGGCTCAACTGGAGAAACAAATCAAGGTATTGATAGACGACAGCGTGACTCTACTAAAGGCGCGGATGACAGAGCTCGGCATAAACGCGACGTCGCCAGGCGACCTGTTAGCCAAGGCTAAAGAGATCGTTCTGCGACATAAACAGTTGCAAGCCAAAGCGAGCAAATTGCAAGCTCAAGTGTCGAACATAGAGACTGAACAATGTAGACTAGCCACACTTAGACACCAAGAGCTGCAAGAGAAATTCGGCAATCCACCTGGTACAACCAACGTACCTCCACAGCAACCGGTCACCCAAGAATACATTCTTAAAGAGATCTGGGCAACGTTGTCGCAAAGGAAACGATTGCGTGCTCAGGTACGTATTGATTGTCGATCATGTAAATAATAATAATCAACAGCTGTGTCATAATTTACAATGTTTGTGTATTACAGGTGAGTAAACTAGAGCAGGAAGTATCTGTGGTAGAACGAGCACACATCGAGAAGCAGTCTTCACCGATGAGTCAGCACAGGGATAACAACGTCGTCAAGCACGGAACACCGCCATTATCAGGTCAATCACAACACCAGCAACATCCCCAACACGTTAACAAGAGCAGCTCGAGGAAGAGTAGAGAAGGAAGGTCTCGATCGCAAGAGTGGCCAGACGTGCCGGACGTGGGAAAGATCCAAGAGAAGAATCCCGAGCTTCTCGCGCAAAAGATTCTGGAAACTGGACGTCAAATTGAGGCTGGTCGATTGCCCAGCAGATCGAATGTGCCAACAATGGTAACCGCAAGCACTTCGAGACCACGGTTACCTCAAGCAACTTTAAGTTTCGGTACAACGCAGTCAACGCAACCACAGGGGCCAACTCGAGATCCAAATCGAGTTGGTCCTCAGGAACCGCCACGAGTTGCCAACTTTGAGGATAGGTTGAAGAGCATCATCACGAGTGTGCTAAATGAAGACGAACCAAATAGGAAACAACAACAACAGCTACAGCAACAGCAGCTGCATATGCAAGGTGGTATGATTGCTGGCGAGCCGGAGAGAAAACGACACGCTATGCCGCAAACCGTCAATCCACCGGATTACTCGCAGGTAGGTTTCTCACGTGTTTATATAGAGAAGAATGTTGAACGCTTTGATAAAGACTTCATGGTAGTCCAAAGGCTTCTCAAAATGAGCATGCCTACTAGATTAGAAGTTTCTATTATTTGTAGAAAATCGCAACTTTTTGCAATTTCATTAAAGAAAACGGTGTATTACGAACAAAAATTCTTTGGATTGCCATAAGTTGACTTGATTTTCAAAGTAATGGACAAGAAATTTAGAGCAAGCTGAAACAGTCAATAACAATCAAAGGCACTTGAATATACAAATGTCGCATGTTGAAAAGAAAAACAAGAACAAGCAAGCAAGAACAACTCTTAGCCGTTACTTTGGGAATGCATTAAAAAAGTCAAAGCTCACATTTGCTTCCAAGGTATCGCCCGCTAAGATGGCTCTGCGTCGACATCTCTCTCAGGAACGCATCCCGCCACCGACTGCCGCTGTTGAGTCAGCAGTCGAAACAGCAGTCAAGTCCCACCAGCAGCAGCAGCAGCAGCAGCAACAGCAACAACAGCAACAACAACAACAACAACAACAACAAAAACAACAACAACAACAACAACAGCAACAACATCCGAGAATGCAGCAACATCCGGGCAACAATCCAAGTAACAATACGTCAACGCCAGGCAATAATGGAATGCTGTGCACGAGGACCATAGGCGACTTGGTCAGTGGTGAAATCGAGCGTACTTTGGAGATCTCCAACCAGACTATCATAAACGCTGCCGTCAATCGCGAAATGAAGATGATAAGTGGTAACCGATCCGAACCGACCTATTCGCCAGTCAATAGGCCAGCGAGTAACGATGGCGAGGTCGGTGGTTTGGCGACCTTGGCACACGTGGCGAGTTACGCACCGACGCCGTCGGCTCCAACGTCCTCTGCGTCTGGCAATCCTTCGACGAGGTCGTCCGTTCTTTATCCACCTCAACAAAATCAGTCTCAGAGGTATTTGTAATGGCTTCTTTTGACTGCTGTGATGTAACACGTAGTGCTTTTGTTAAAAAATTAGTAACTTGTAGCTGGTTTTGTTTTTGTTTACATTTCATTTTATAATGATTATTCTATGATTTGATTCACAATGGTTTATTCTTGCGTGAATCGCAAATATAAAAATTTACATTTCTATAGAAATGAAACTGATTTTATGAAGAAATTTTAATATATTACAGTAGATTGGTTTTATATTCAATTTTCTTTTGCGTTTAATTTGTTGACAGCGTACAAAACAGTACGAAAACCGATTATGCATAAAACAATGAATTGATGAACTTCTAATAACTATTTGTTGAACTTTATGGTCAAGATTTAATAAATCATTATGTGATAGTTTCGAAATTATTGTCAGATATACGAAGAATTTTATTTAAATAAAAGTTTACGAGCGGTTTATGTAAAAAATTAATCGAAAAAAAACTTGTAGTCTTATCGTGCCTTCATCGTTTTGTAAAACGAAAAAAAACAAATGCTAGTTGAAAAAACCTCTGCGTACCAATTCAATTTTATTTCTCACCCAATACCAATTGAACCAATGGTCAGGTACACGCCAGTACAGCTGCCGCGAGCCGATATCAAACCTTATCACGAGTCCTACTTCGCTGACAATCCTTCGAGTTCAATCAATCAATCTCACACGACGAGTTCGAACATACAACCATCGCCAACAACCCAGACCAACGGCGAGATTCCACTGGAAGGATTAGCTGCAACGTTACACGCCCGAATGCTCAACAATCAAAGTAGCAATAACCCTGCCAAAGTCGACCACTCGTCCTCCGGCGGTCGAAGGTACTGCTAGCCGCCAGTGCATCTGTAGTTGTAAAAAGTGCGTATGTATGGAAGGGACATGTCTAAAATTGTGATCGTTTGTGCCAAAGGTACACACCGTACTCCCGGTATCCCAACAACGGCCCGAACAGCGCGAGTGCAGTGACGCCGCAGAGTCAGCCGACAGTGAAAACGGAGGCGATCGTGTCGACGGTCAGCACAAGCGGCGCGTCGCTCAGTCCCATCATTGAGCCTCACTCGAACTCATCGACGCCGCTGGTCGATGAGCCGCCGCACTTACCCAGTTCGCGGCAGCGTCACGCCGACGACGGTGAGTATACCTTATCCAGCTGCACGGCGTCGGCTCGAGTCGACGCCCGCTGCCATTCTGACGTCTTGTCGCTATCTACTTCTGGTGATGTGCGTGTGTACTTTCTTCGGGTTGCAGCTAATCTTTCACTCTCTGTAGTTTCTTCTTTTTGCAACGAGAGCACAAGTTGATTCCGCTTCGACTGTTGCTCTTCTCGAGCCCAACTCGCTCGTATTGCTAAGAACATGTAACTATTTTTCTCGAGATCTGCGTGATCTTGCTTCTGCCATCGTCCTAACGACTTTCTTGTGACGCTTACATGCTATTTATTTTGATAATTGCCTGTGCGTCTCAAGTTGCTTGATGCGTTCAATGATTAGCCTTGCTTACTATGACTTATCGTCTCTTACATGTCGTTTGTAGTTCTTAATCATTTATTTCTAATCTTTATTCGTTTCTCTTTGTTTTTTTTTCTCTATACTGGAGCTGGCTCTAAATCTTTATTTATATTTTTTATTTTTTGTTGTTGTTTAGTGTATTTGTTAGATGCACTGTAGCTGTATGTTGGTTAACTCTGTCTGTCACAATCCTCAATCTCAATCACGACTCCCTACGTGCTGCTTGTTTTATAAAAGTGAGATTGAGAACGGGGCAAAACAGTACAGAGGGAGAAATATACAGATAATGTGTTTGGCTGCCCTCGGGTTGATTTCGTAGTCGTCGGTGAGTTTGACAACCTCTACGGGTTGTTTATCAACTTTCTCTTTAACCTTTTTTGTTGGATTATTAAAATTAAAAAAAATAATTCACGAATTAAGTTAATCGACTACTCACCCGCACATCATTTATAACGATCATCATATTCATTCGTATTTCGGAGTTAAGGTATAACCACATTTTTTTAAATACGGTCAGCAAAAGATCTGGATGATTTTTATTGTTTTCAAATAAATAATTTACAAAAAAATAAGACTACGTACGATTTATCATGAAAATAAGCCGAAATTTAATAAATTTTGGGTTGCGTCTATAGTTAAGTGTGACATGTTGCATGTTTGCATGCATTGTAGTAGAAAAAACAAGAAGAGCAATTGTTTATTTTCTACTTTTGATGTAGACAACTTAATTGTTGAGAATCTGAATATTTACCTTCTTTGTCGTTTGCTTTATTATTGTCAGTATCAGTGGAGATAACGCGAAAGTTATCGAGTCTTCTTTAGCACTTCACCTTTCCTTTCAAGCTGCACGTACACACACACATCCACTTGCACACACGATCCCCACAAGCATCATTTCCTCAGTGTCTGATTTTTTGAAAATATTGTCATCCTTTTCACTTTAATCGAGCCATACTTGCGCAGTTTCCCATACACATGAGCGCTAACCCGCGGAATGAGGATAAAACATCCAACAACTTTCGTCATGAAGTTAACCAAAAGACAGATCAGAGATTCGTTCTCGTTTGATCAATGACCCGACTTACTTGCAGATGGAGAGGCGGACTGGCAGGATCGCATGAGCTCGGGCTTCGACCGGCTGGTGGCATTCGCGTCCACGGAGCTGGATAAGCGTCGACGCTCGACAGAAGGAGTCAACACGAGTCCCGACAGTGGTCTGGGCTCGGACAGCAGTGCTGTGCTTGGGCCGCCGCCGATCGTACCCTCGCCAGATGACGTGTTGGGCCCTCCGCGAACACCGTCGCCGGGTAGCCCGAGACCGGTGAGTCAGGCGCAGCAGCAACCTGGCGGCGTGCCTCTCAAGTACCAGCGGCAGCCTCAGCTGGAGTCGCATCACTTCAAGAAGAAATTCTTTCACCGAGATTGGCTGCCACCGGGGCCCAGTAAATTCCGGCCCAAGGGAAAAGAGTGGGACTGGAACAACCAATCGCATCCCTGGCCCGGCAACGACGAGCAGTCTTAAATCCAAGAGGCGCGCGCGCAACATTTGTACAGTTTTTAGCTTTAAATTAGAGTCTCTCGTATGTGACACCACCACGACTCGCTCGTTTCGATTATGTTTCATTTTTCATTCGTTCGCTCGCTCGTTTGTTCGTTCGTTCGTTCGCGCTCTCTCTCTCTCTCTCTCTCTCTTTCTCATGCAAGTGCGACTAGAGGGTAGATGTGGATTAGATTATTATAGAGTTCCAGAGACACGCACGTTGTTGTCGAGATGACGATGAAATACGGCTGTAATGCATTTTCATTGTTCGTTGACGAGTACATAGGCTTATGTATTTAACTTTCTCAGCTCATTCGTTTGTACGCTAATTTGAAAGCGTATTGTTCACTATTAGATTGTAGGCAGAATAAGAAAATACTTTACCTTGTAGCGCGAATTTAAACGATTAACGAGTAATTTCAACTGCCCATGTCTAGTTTCTTTTCTTTTTTTATAATTATTGATTATATTATTATTAATATTATTATTGTTTAAATTCATTGTATAAAGAATATTGTTTTTGTTTTGTATGGTACGAGAACGTTTTTGTGTGATTGACGACTAAAAAAGATGACGTAGGGAAGTTGTATAGTGACATTCAGATTCATCCTCTAGGTACAATTGTAATTTTCAAAGTGAGTCGCATAAATAGATAGATGTAAATCATATTAGAAAGAAATTTTTATTCTTTTTTAATTTCGACGTTTACATATCGTCGAAATTAGATTGGATATTGCGGGACAGTTTATTGGTTATAAAATAATTCAAAGTGAATTCATGTGTAATTATGTCTTGAACCAATGTGTAGCCCAGCGATATGTGCACGAACTGCATCACAAAAGTGCATAAGTGATTTAACAAAAAGGACTTAAATTTTACCTAAGGTAAATATTGTAATGTGATTTTAAACGTTTATACTGTAACGCATAGTATAATATTAAAAAAAAATTTTGGACATAAAAATTAAAAAAATAAGAAATATCAGAAAATTATGCACTTTCGGAGTGTCGCTTCGGTAATACCATTGAGATTAAAGTTCAACACGCGTGAAGCAAAACTCAAAGCATCTTTTTCACCGAATCTTGTAGTCTTTTTACTTAAGCTAATTAAAAGGTTAATTACAAATTACAATGATAAAAACACGACGTGGCTCCTGCGAATCGCGTCAAAGCGTTTAGTGAATTGATGAAGAAAAAGAAGAGTAATATAACGTAAAATCGCAGCGGCAGTCGTCACGTAGTGACACTGTACCTCTTGTGTGTTCGTCGTAAAATTATAGCGTTTTAGAATTTTTGTAAGCGACAACATCTTCCGTTTGGCCGATGATGGAGTCTCAACCAAAGTGTTCATTACACTGCTTGATTTGTAACTACAAAAGCATTTTACAATTGTAATAACAATCTTTTTGCATGCGATGAAAGAGGCATATTTTGTGAACGCGAACCGACAATTTGCACTGTTTTCGTCCAAAGAGAGAGCAGTATATGCGAGCGTTGAACATTTTCCAATAGATGCATCGTATATAATTATTCGATGGGAAACAAAGCAAAAAAAATGAATGTGAAAAATAAATGTGAGCAGAGTGTCAGAAGCGCACCGAGTGAGTATTGCTAGAATCTTTTTTAATGTAAAGATAGCATGAAAAAAAATGTGAATGGAAAGGATTATTTGCATAAATCATGGCATTCCCGTAGGCGCGAGATACATCTTGTCACTTTTTGAGTGCGTCAATAGTGTAAAAAGTTAATCAACTCATAACGTTGTATAGAAACAATCGGATTATTTATATCGAAGTACCCTTATATATACGTCGGAAAAAAACGAACATGTAGGTAGATATCGTAAAAGAAAGAAGAACGATGCAGGTACCTGCAAAGTATAGCTGTTATATACACTGCCGAACCTTCTACTAGTTATATTATTGACCATTATTATTTATTGTTTTTATTGGAATATTTTAATACTAAGAATTTTTGTAACAAGAACAACTCTTTTATTTGTTTTCCCTCATCTTCAAACACCGCTTACACACTGTTTGAACGCGCAATTTCTCGCGCAGCCTAGAGCTCTTTCTAAGTATATCGAAAAATACGTAACAGTGTTCTCAGCTAAATTGTAAACACAAGTACGAGGAAAAGAAAGTTCAGATACTTCTAGTGTATTATATGATGTGCGAAGGTACAAAAGAGAAATGAAAAAAGTTTTGTATCCCCCTGCAATTTGTACACAACACTCGGTACTCGTCTCGTCGACGTCGACGACGATGACAACTCGAGAAGAAAGTGATCAAGAGTGGTTTTCTATATATCGACAAACTTTTGGAGGAGTCTTTTGTGTACCATAAAAACAAATTTTAAACGTCAGTAAATACGATACCTTTCAGCAGTAAAACAGCCGTTCTCTTTTCTTTACCGAGCAGCGCTCTCATTTCGTTCTCTTTCTCTCTTTTTCTCTCATTTTATCTCTCTCTCTCTCTCTCTCTCTCTCTCTCTCTCTCTCTCTGTCTTTCTTTCTTTCTACCGAAGAATCATCGGGCGCAAGATCAATGACTCAATAATGGCACCAGCATCATCGCGCCTACACTTCAATCGATGACTTACTTTGCTCCTCAGCACGTGCATCTGTAGTAATCGTCAGCGCGCAGCGCTTCTGTGGCGATTGCGCTTCACGAGAGCGCCGAGTTTACGATTAAGACGACTATAAAAGGAACGTGCAGATTGGCCGTGAACTGCAGTGGTTTGGCAAATCGACATGAGCTCCGCTGCTCTGCTCGTCTCGCTCCTCTTTCTCGGTCAGCTGGCACGCGCGCAGACCGCCGACGAAGACTTCGAAGTGGTGCTCTTGCCGACGGAATGGAGTGCCGGCGACGCGACGGTAAAGGACACGATCGAGCCGGTTGGCCTCGTCTCCTGCCCTTGCCTCTGGCTCACGTGCCTCTCGCTCGCAGGTGCCGCTGAGATTCTCGGCGTTCGGCCAGACCGTGGAACTGCTGCTGAGGAGGAACGAGCGGCTGCTGGCGCCGAGCTTCGAGCTTTGGACGAGCGAGCGCAACCGATCCAGTCGAGTGGACGACCGCGCCAAACGCCTCCCGTGTCACTATCTTCACGAAAATTCGCGCAGCAGTGCAGCCGTCAGCCTGTGCGAGGACGGGTCAGTGGTCAGTAGCCAGTGCTCTGCAATTGCAATCTGCTCGAACTTGGCCGACGCGTCATCAGTCGGGCTGTTCAAACGTAACGACGTTCGACCTGCTTGCATGCGCCTCGACATCAGCGAGGATTGATTTTTCTGGAGAACGACGGCCTCGAGATAAGGCCGCTAAGCGAGGAGGAGACGGCGAGTCGAGCGGAGGCAAGACCGCGCTCGCTGGGCAGGCCGCACGCGATAAGCCGGCGACGGGTTCCCTCGCTTCGGGGAGGCGGACGCGCGCTGGACCGGGTGCGGCTCGGAAGGTTGCCCCGACGCCAAGAAGGCCCGTCGAGACGCGACGAAGCTAGCAACCAAACTCTGACCATCGAACTGGGTAACGAGCCTGCGCTTCCGCAAAGACGATCGGCCGATAAGGTTTCTCGTGCAGCTCTGTTCTTGGACGAGGCCGGCTACAAGAGCTTCGAGCCGCACTTCTCCGGCGACGAGGGCAAGCTGCGGGACCTGCTGCTGGCCTACGTGAACAACATCCAGGCGCTGTACCACCACCCGAGCTTGGGCCGGCGCATCGACCTGGCGCTGGTGCGGCTCGAGCTGATGCGCAGCCAGCCGCGGCGGCTGGCCGGGCTGGACGGCGAGCGCGACGAGGTGCTCGAGGCCTTCTGCCAGTACGCCGAGGGCCTGAACCCCGCGGCCGACGAGGACCCCCAGCACTGGGACATGGGCCTGTACGTCTCGGGGCTGGACCTGTACGCGGCCGAGCGGGGCGCGCGCGACCACGCGACCATGGGTCTGGCGCCCGTGGGCGGCGTCTGCTGGGCCAGGTACGCCTGCGCGATCGCCGAGTTCGGCGTGGGCGGCCAGGCCGGCCGGGCCTTCCCCTCGGCGGGCTTCGCCGCGGTCTACGTCGCCGCCCACGAGATGGCCCACAAGTGAGACGACGCCGCCGCGAGCGCCCGGCCCGCGAGCAGCACCGCGCTCACGGACCGCTTCTGTCGCGCAGCCTGGGCATGCACCACGACTCCGCGGGCAACGGCTGCCCCGCGGACGGCTACATCATGTCGCCCAGCCGCGGCCTCAGCGGCGAGACGCACTGGTCGGGCTGCAGCCGCGAGGTCGCGCGCTCGCTGGCCGCGGGCAAGCCCTGCCTGCTGGACCGCGCGGGCGTGGACCCCGGGCTGGAGGCCCACCGGCACCTGGACCACCGCGGCCGCTTCGGCCAGCTGCCGGGCCGCCGCTGGACGGCCAAGCGCCAGTGCGAGCTGCTGCTGCGCGACCGCGCGGCCCTCGCCGCCGACTGCGAGGCGGCGGACTGCTGCGGCGCGCTGCGCTGCCGGGCGCCCGGGCGCGCGGGCGTGCGCCTGGCCGGGCCCGCGCTCGACGGCACGCGCTGCGCCGAGGGCAGGGAGTGCCGCGCCGGCGAGTGCCTGCCGCCGCGGGACCACCGGTGCGTTGCCGCCCCGGCACTGCGCGCGGCCCGCTGAACGATGCGCGTGTGGCAATGTCCGGCAGGGAGGAGGCGACGACGGCGGCGACGGCGGCGGCGACCGCGGCGACGGCCCTCGGCTGGAGCGAGTGGCGCGAGGGCGGCTGCGAGAGCGGCTGCATCCGCGGCTCGCGGGGCTTTGTCGAGCGCCGGCGCAGCTGCCTGGACGGGGCCGCCGGGTGCGCGGGCCCGAGCCGCGTCGTGGCGCTGTGCGCGGACCGCGGGGCGTGCGAGGGCAGGTCGCGCCGGCGGCTGAGCGCGCGGGAGCACGCCGGACTGCGCTGCTCGGAGCTCGGCGCCCGCGGCCTCGGCGCGGTCGACGGGGGCGCCGGCGGGCTGCAGGCGGCCCACGAGCCCGCCAGGCCCTGGCTCGCGTGCGCGCTGTTCTGCAGGCACGAGCGCGTGGCGGCCTACTTCCCCCCGCGGACGCAGCTGGAGGCGCTCGGCCTCGACCCCTACTTCCCGGACGGCACGTGGTGCCACCGGCAGGACGGCCGGGACTACTTTTGCCGGGAGCACCGCTGCCTGCCGGAGGACTTCGGGTGAGTCGAGTGAGCCTTTGTGTTTCCGCCAGCGGAACTGACTTTGCGCGGGAACCGCTCGGCCGCGCCCTCGTTCGAGCGGTGCATCGATCGGCCGACTCGCTCGGAGGCTCGCTCTCCGTCTCTCTGTCGTTGCAGATTCAACGAGGCGAACTCGCCGCACGAGGACCAGCCGCTGCAGCCAGTCGCGATCGAGCGCCACTCGGGCGGACGAGCGCTCGGCCGAGACGAGGATACCTGGCTCGACTCCAAGGACTACGCCGCCGGCTCGGCCGCGTGACTCAGCCCCGCGCGCAGCCGGATCTCGACGCCAGCGTGTCTGGCGTCCCTTTGTCTGCCAAGGCCGAGCGGCGCACTCTCCGAGAGACTCCTCTTGCGCGCTGCAGCCGTGGTGGTCACTCACCCCGCGACAATTCCGCTCCCACTTGCACATTGTAGCGATTGCCACATACGCGCGCGTTCTTCCTTTCTTCCTTTCTTCTCGCGCGCGGATGATTCAGATCGATTATTTTCGCATTTTTCGTCGCACTAGAGCTCCTTTATTTCGGCGTGCTCGCCTATCAGGCGAAATCTCAGATGATCCACCGACTTACGCGCAAGCTTTCCGTCACGCGGGCGATGCGAGCGCGCCGATTTTATTTATTTATTTATTTTTTCTTTCGACGCAATTGCGCGCGTGCTTCGCGTTAACGTCGTTGCATGATTCGCTCGATGTCGGCACTGACTTCGTGCTCGTGATTCTTCGCAATTTTCCAAACGAGTGACAGCCGCGCGATGCAAACGCGCCGCGATCTTCTCTCATAGCTACGAAGAGATCGACAATCTTACTCGCGAGATATTTCAGTAACCGTATTGCTCTTTCATGCCGCCTCGTGTATCTTATTTATAACGACCGTAACGATATTTTACACCGCCAAGTCGTCGCTGACAGTTGCATTTGTATAACGAGAGAATTTTTGCGAGAGAAACAGCAAGCCGCTCGGCGATGCTCGGTCGATTCATTTGTATTGCACAAGCAAATGTGTGATATAGAAATCTCAATGTTCCAGCGTCAGTGTGTCACTTTCGGAGTTTTTTAAACCGTTACAGCGCGCACATGTCCCGCTCTTTTTCGATTATAAAAGTGCCGTTGTAAACAAAATCTTCAGTCCGTGATAAATTCACCTTGTCGCACGGTGTCGATTTGGCGAGTGTCTGATCAAGCATGGAAATAGAAATTCAGCGGAATGGCAATAATAGAAAGCCGATCAAACCGCGACAATCGAGACGATTGGTTGCCAACGTGCAGCTCTGTTGAGTAGAGCAGAATTGGTGTGGACTCAAAAGTAGAAACATACGCTTGCGGAAGCAATTTCCCGGAATATTTCGCTGAATTATTTAAAGTTTCGGTTAGAGAAAAAAAATCGCGTAGGTTTTTAGGACAAGAAGAAGACAGCGACGAAGCGTGCCGAGCGTCACAAATACACGTATAAATAAAGTGCCGCTGAAACACGCGCGCGCACACACAGCGAGTGCGCACGTTCCTCTCGAGGTAGGTCGGTGACGTCATCCCTTCAGCTGACTATTTTAGGAGTGTCTTGGGTGTCCCGTCTCGCGGTCCGCATATATCGGGAAAATAGCGAGATGATTATCGACTGTTGGAGAGGATCGTTGCACTGCTCTGAGGGAAAGAAGGAGGGGCATCGACAAATGAAAACATCGATATTTTAAGAATGTCAAATAATTTAATGCGTCTTCTGCTTATTTTCTTTTGCTTGCTTTGTGTCTTCGTGACAGTGCCTGTGTACAAAGTTTGGTAATCATGAAATTTTCATGCGCACGCACTTTACTTCATGTTTACAAATTTCAATTCTTTCTGGCTTTTTTTCGCTCGTTTTCGTCAACTTATAGCCTCACTTTGGCGATTCAGCGAAGAAGGTCACTGACTTGTCTCTCTCTTCAAACAAGAATAAACGAAACGCTTACGCGATTGTTTTACTAGTCAGTCTCTGTAATGTAACGTGTTGCCCTCAAATTGACAAAGAAAAAAAGAAAAACATCAAACTTATTAAATGACTAGCTGGGCTTTTAAGTAACATAGTGACCCTCTTTGCTGAATTATTGATGCTTCGTTACTACGTGCATATATCAGTTCGATATGACGCATAAACGCACATAACTCTCACTCACACATTCCGGTATACAGCAAATGCTCTCCGAGCACTTACGAGTTCGCATACGCCCACACGTCCGCATACACGCACGCACGCACACTCATACACACATCACATGCATTAAGATAAAATAAATTCTTTTCTTTACTTTACACTCGACACAAAAATCTATTGCTCATCGTGCTCCCATGCACTCATTCACTTGTTTGTACAAGGCTGTACCTCTATATGAAAACGAAATGTAATAATCGTAGGTATTTCTAACATAACTGGGACATCGTTAATCACGGAAACTCACTCATTCTTCGTTACTCGCATAGACAACTGATTATACATGAGTGTTCATCGGCGCTGGGCGCATTAACCTCTTGGCCAAAGAGAAGAGAACAAAGAAAAAACGATATAAACTAGCTATACTAACGAAATGATAGAATTCTCAAGACGCCTGGGCGAGTAAACACGAGTCTGTTCGCGAGACACGCCTCGTGCGTGACGACGAGCACACCGAGGGTAGTAGAAAAAAACCGATCGTCCATAATGAGTGGCGATCAGTGTCAAACTTGCGTGCTGGCCCGCTGGTACGCGCGCTGCCGCCGCGGCGGCAACGGATCCTTAATCCTAATGGTGCTCGCAGCGGGCCGCTCAGTTCGGTAGCGTGTCAAAGAGAATGTCCTTGGCGCTCTGCGTCAGGGACTCGGGGAACTTGATGTCGAAGGAGACGAGCAGATCGCCCTTCCGCGATGGCTCCTTGGGGAAGGGCAAGCCGCGGCCCTGGATCCGCTTGACCGTGGTGGGCTTGATGATCTCGCGAGTGAGGTTGAGCGTGATCTTCTCGCCGACGAGAGTGGGGATCTCGAGCAGGCAGCCACAGAGCGCCTGCTTGAGGCTGAGCTTGCAAGTGTAGCGGATGTCGCTGCCTTCCCGCCTGAACTGCGGGTGGGGCTTGTCCCGGATGATGAAGACGATGTCGGCGGGCACCTTGCCGCGGCCCTGGTCGCCCTCCTTTTGGAAGGTGATCTTGGTGCCGGCCTTCCAACCGGGCTTCACGTTGATGGTGAGCACCTTGTCCTCCTTCTTGGTGGTGCCGTCGGGCTGGACGACGCGCCGCGAGATCTTCATCTTCTTGGTGCAGCCACGCAGGATGTCCTCGAGGCCGACGTAGAGGTCGTGCTCGATAGCCGGGTCCTGTTGGCGCTCCTTACTGGCCCCGCGGCCCGTGGGCCCGGCGAAGTTGAACGAGTGCGAACGGAAGGCACCGCCAGGCCCAATGCCGGCGCCCTGGCGCATGCCACTCGTCAGGCCGAACGGGTCGTCGGTCTCCATGTCGTCGTCTTGGAAGAACATGCGGTTAGCGCCACCGCCGGGTCCGCCGTACTCGAAGAACGTCTGGAAGGGCGAGGCCGTGCCGAAGAACTGGGCGAACGTGGCGCGGGGGTCGCCGTGGAAGGTGTATGTGGTGCCGCCAGTGCCCTGGCCGCCGCCGCCGGCGCTGCCACCAGCGCCGCCCTTCAGGCCCTCCTCACCGAACTTGTCGTACACCTCACGCTTCTTCGCGTCCGAGAGCACCTCGTATGCCTCGGCGATCTCCTTAAACTTCTCCTCGGCGCCGGCCGCGCGGTTCTTGTCCGGATGGTACTTGAGCGCCAGCTTACGGTACGCCTTCTTTATCTCGTCGTCATTTGCACCCTTGGCTATGCCAAGGATCTTGTAGTAATCCTTGCCCATGGTTTAATCTCTCTGCTGGAACAAGCGCAAAAGCGCGGTGTCATTAGTCGTGCGATTTCGCAGAATCTTGAGCGATCGGCATAGGCATGCGCGCACAAACATACACACACACATACAGCCGGCCGACCGAGTATTTACAGCGCGCGCGAACCGGCCAGTCGTCCACGGAGGGACCTCAACTCTTTTGTCACTCCCCGTCGCGCGCGATGACTTGGATCCGGAAGCGGCTACCAATGCGATGACGCGCCTTTCATTGTCGCGACATGCACGTGTCGCGGAAGTCCTTTTGCGGGAGCGCGCATTTAAGGATACGTGCGAACCCACGCGATTTTCTTTCTCTCTCTGCTCGAGTTTCGCGGACAGCCTCGAACCGAAGACGACCGTCTGATCTTGCAGGCTGTGCGCTTGTCATTGGATGACAGTCTGCGAGTGTTGCTGGCGATGTGCTGACTGGCATTGAGATGGCTCAATTTACGAAGAAAAACATCTCTGTCGCGTGACTTGATTCGCACGACACACGCGCACGCTCCACGGAACTCTAAAAGTCGCTAACTAGCCAACCGATGACCAACTAACCGCCCCGAGATTCGTCTGGACAATCATGGTTGCACGATCGCAATTACGTAAAGCCTTTGAAAAAGCCTCGGCGCAAAATCTATTCAACGATGTCCCGCTGGATCAAATAAGAACTCACTTTGTGTTTGAGGTAAAAAAAGCGCGGAAGGTAAAAGACTGTAGTGGATAACACGGAAACGTCGCAAGTTACGACGACGGCAGAACAGTGGAGTTGAAAATTGAGTAGTTTAATCAAGGCCGCGCGCCAAACCGGGAGCTTATAAGCAGTGGTCTACACTAGATGACGCGAGAACATTCGACAGAGAGCACACATAGGCACCAAACTCGGAACGTACCTTCTAATTTTTTATTTCTTTCGCGTGATACTTTTTGTCTTTCTCTCGCATTCCACGATAAGTAAAAGGCGCGCACACATACACGTTGTACGCGCTCACGCGAGCAAGAACTAGCGAGAGTTAAAAAGTATGCGAAAGAAAGAGCAGCAGTCACCCACGCGCCTTATTTTCCCTGCTATTTCGGGAAATGATGATACATCGACGAGAGAAGAGAGTGCGAAATGGCTAAAGAGAGTCGTCGAACACGCGCGAGAGAGAACACGAGAGCCAATGATTCTCGATTCTTTTTAATTACAATGAAAACTCTGTCGTTGCACCATACGCCAGCCAACACTTATAGTCGCGGCATGCCTCGCTGCTCGCCTGCTCTTGTAAGCCCGTCACTAAATTTTCTTTTTTGGTACACTTACTTTTTGTCTAATCACAAATGTCGTTGATGTTCAAACACTTGATTTCAAAACAAACAAATTAAGTCTAAACGATTGAATAAAAAATTTATCCTCAATAAGGATAACGTACACTGTTCGCGTACAATGTTCACTCTTTCAATTCTTCTGTTATACTAAGAGGCCGCACCGCTCGCGCGCCCCATATATACAAACTCCGATTCTCGCGCTTTCGCGAACCTTCGAGAAGTGACTCGAAGACAGCCGATAGCGCCGCATGTTTCTGTATCGATTGAACTTTCTAACCGAGATGTGCAGCTCCGTTTGCGTTTAACATCGCTTTCTACTTCTTCAACGAGATTTTTACCATGGTTTTTCGTCAATTGTCAATCCCATTATTCTTCTGTAAACCGAATAATCTTTGTTATTAACGATGAAAGCGACGAAGTCATTGTTATTGCGGAAATATACAGTTTAATAATCGTATGGCCTGAAGTTGGCCAATTGTCACACGTTTGTTTACGTCACGATACAAACGAATGTGTATAACGGGTGACATAAAAAAAGGAGTAAATATATTTTCTAGATGGAAGAACATTCGCGATGCGTTGTTTCGGTAAACTCGTATATCTTATCACTCATTGTTATTTTTCCCTTTATTAGCATCGCGTTACAATTTCCCTTTCTACTTGTGTATAAAGCTAATTCGTTAACGCTCAGTTAAGTCGGCATTGATCTTTCGTACATGTATAGACATTATTGAATATAGTTTACTTTTTACTTTGTTTATTTATGTATACCGGGTGTCAACTTTTCACATTCACTAATGTTGTGAAAATGACGGAAGTACTTGATTATTTACGTTGGTGATTAGGTGATGAGTGATTAAGGCTTGATGACAGGCTTTTTAATTCACATCTTAACTTTTTCTGATTTACTTAATAGAGTCGTACTCTAATTAATTTTTTATCTTCTAAACACGTGAAAACATTTAATAAATGGTTATTTATTTAATAACGCATTTTAAATTCGTAATTAAATATGTTTCACAGATCTCAATATAATAAACTTGGATGTGAGACATGGCATTGAAACCATTAAAAATAGGTACTTTGGCATCAAAACTGAACTCTGATAGTTATAACAACAGTTTTATTACAAATTTAATAAAATTAAAAATAATCTAATCATATTTGTTATCTACTCAGTCTTAAAAATAAAGCATGCTTGCTTTCTTTGGAAGATGGAAGTATGTACTTGTCATAAAAATCTTGTATGAATTCTTCTTGCTTAAATCCAAATTTTTGATATAAAATGAGGGCAGGGTTTGTTGCAGAAACATGCAGAGTAATATCTTTACCCATGCATGTTTGAATAAGATGATAAAGCATAAATGTTCCAATTCCAGCTTTTCTCCACTCAGGTCGTACAAAGAAAAATGAAATGTAAGCTTCATTAAATCCAACATCTGGTACCATTATTGCAAATGCAACGACAAGTTTTTTGTACAAAACTATACACGTAAAGTCTGGATATTGAAGGCATTCTGTCACTGTAAAATTTTTGAATTATTATACAATTACAATTTTACAATCAATGTTTTTAAAATTCAATTCTTTTGATATAAATCTTACAATCCACTCCTGGCCAAAAGAATTGAGTGCAGAGGCTATTTATTGCTGGAATATGTTGAGGCCTAATATAAGAATAATCTATTGGAGCAAGAGCTGGTAATTTCCATTCAGGATTCTTGCTATTGACTTTAGTTAATAATTCATTTGTAACTCTTAACCATAATGGACAACTAGATGTATCTCTTCTAATAAATGGTTTCAATAGCCTATTTGTGTATGGACTGTGCACAGAAGTTGCTTCACAATATCCTTGCAGTCTTTGCTCAAAGAAAATGCTTATATCCTCTGAAATAAATCTATCAAGAACATCATTGCCTTTTTTTTGAAAGAGTACTCTTTGTTTTTGATCCTTTCTCAATGTATCAACATTTAAAATTGGCAGTCCATATTGTCGTTTGCGTTTTCTAACAACAAGTTTACGATAAAGCCTTCTTACAGAAGATGGGGCTGAGTCAAGCAAATCTTTATATTGATCAATTTTTTGTAACAGATATTCTTCCTCTCGTTCACTCATAATAGGTTTAACTTGTTCTACATATAATCATAATTAATATTTATTAGAAAAATATATAAGTGATATTTAGCAGTGATAAAAAAATAATTTAGGGTATGATACGTAACAAAAAACAGTACCTGGATTAAATTTTAATGATTCATCCCATGGCCATGGCCTTGAAACTGAGAGGTTGAATAAGGATGGTTTTGGTGAAGGTAGATCATAACTTTTACTACTTTCATAATTATCTCCAAAGTTAGTAGATTTTTGATAGATATTTTGCTTCAAGATATTTTCTTTATTGTTCTCTGGGAAAGGCTCATTAAAAATATCAATTTCCTCAGATGAAATATTACCCTCTTCAACCTTCATTGTTGTATCCATGGGAAAATGATTTATGCAAGTATCGAGAATTTCATCACAAACTTTAAATGATAAAGTATCAACTCCAGAATTGCTAGTTAAATTAAATGGTACAATGTCATCTTCAGGACATGTTATATCCAAATCTAAATCATCTATGGTGAAAGATAAAAGCTCAAAATAGATTATGAGGTCTATCAAACCAATATTGAAAAGTAATTATTCCTGGAATTTACCTTCAAGATCTTCCTCAGTAGAAGTAGGTTGAGAAACACAAGGTTTCAAAGTATTTGAAGTTGATTCGTTATTGAACACAGTTTTGACCTTCTGGCTAAAATAATCAATGCTACTATTATTTTCATTTTCAATATTAAGATTTGAAATATTCATATTTTTATTTTTAGTTTTAGCTTGTTGCTTTTTCAATTCCAACATCTTATAATCTGAAATTCAAACAATACAGAGACAATATTAAAATGATTGCAATAATTTAAAGTAACAGAAAAAAAATAGTTACATCTTTTCATTAATACTTCAGGAGGTTCTTTATCAATTAATTTCCACCATCCTTGTTGTTCAAGCTCAGCTGTTCCTGATTGAAAAAATACTCCAGTGTAATGTGATAATGTACCGGATATTGTTCCAATCCAGTTTTTCTTTTTTTTCCTAGAAAGTATAACACAATTAATAAATTTGAAAAATTAAAATATATGATTTAATTATCAGAGACTTACACTGATTTAGTAAACAACAAATCCCAGTTAGTATCGATAAAAAAAGTTAAATCTGATCGCCAGTGAAAGTATTCTCTGAAACTTAAACCATTGGACTTGGCTCGTATATTGTACATAACTAGTATAATTGCTGCGAGCCATGACATTTTCTGTCTTACAAGCACTTCTTCATGAGAATCTGAACATTCTGTACAGTGAAGATCAAAAAATACGTCTCCTAAAAGAGTAGTAGGCAATGTACCTCTTTTCAAACATTTAATGTGAATGATTTGTTGACATTTTCCTTGACAGCGAAGAGCTGGATTATGATATTCATCTGCTTTGTTTGAACATACTTTACAAAGATTACTGACTGATGTCATTTTAAAATAAAAGTTCTCAAAGTATTATGACGCAAGGAAAGGTTGCAATGTTTAAAAGGCAGATAGGTTATGTTTTGAATTTTTGATAGGACATTTTGCGATCTTGAGATTAACATAACGCGATTTTCACTCAAGAACGATTTCTTATTTAATTCAATGTTAATTCCATTCAGTTGAGTCAAAAATTAATGGAAAAACAGTAACAACAAACTGATGCGCTAAACTGAAAAGCCGTGCGTTTATGACGCTAGAAACCATGGGCTTTGAAGACTATACTATAGCTATATAGGCTTAAATAAAGCACGTGCGTGCATCTAGCGGTGGCGCTTTGTACTACACTACTTTTTAAGTGTCTGCATAATTGTTAGTACAAATAAATCATTTAAATTAAGAATCGGTGCTGTAAATGCTTTTTAACGAGGTCCATGAGAAAAATCTACGTGATTTTTAGAATGTAATTTGACATATATTTAAATTTTAATTTCATTCCATAATCAAGTTTTGATGAAAGTGTATAGGCATAATGAACGTTCACGAGGCTGCGGTTTTAAAGTTTCACGAACACTTAATAATATGTAATATGTACATAAATGTCAGCAGCCAATACCTTCCAATATCTTCCAAGTGTACATAGAAATATATATTGAGATTGCAGCTACGACGATCGTCGCTGATCTCTTACGACGTGTGAATAGGAATTTTTCAGTGGAGAAATGCATAAGACCATTGTTATTTGTTATCCCAAAGGTCGCTTGAATTGCACTTTACTCATTGGATTTGGCGTTCTCACCAAGTTTTCAATACTCGTCGGCAGGAAAAAAGCTGGCTAGCACGAAGCTCAATCGCAAAGCGTGCAAGGCCGCCGAAGGTAAAGGTGGACGAGAGTGCGGCTAACAGGCGGCGCGTGGTCGTGGTCGGGCGTCGCCAGGGCGATGGCGGTAAACAGTCGCGTCCGGAATCGAGATCGAAGCGCGGCGCGCGTCGCGCGTCCAGCCCGCGACGATGTCTCGGCTGCAAACCCGCGCGTTCTACGGCTTGCGGGACGACGTGCTGGGCAACGCGCACTTCGTGAGCGACGATGAGGTGCTGTACCTGGTGGGCAGCGCGCTCTGCGTGCACAACTTCTCGCAGCGACGACAGCGGCTGGCTCGGCTGCCGGACCGGCAGCGGGTCAACCTGATGAGCGTCGCGCCCAACAAGTGAGCATGCACGCCGGCGACGCGGCCCGCAGCCCCCCCCCTACCTTCGCTCGTCCCGTTGCAGGAAGTACGCGGCCCTGTGCGAGGTCGGCAACAAGCCGCTGATATCCATCTACGACCTGCGCACGCTCAAGCGCAAGAAGCTGCTGGGTGTGCCCTACGATGCGCCGGGCCTCACGAGCTTCGCCTGCGTGGGCTTCTCGTTCGACGGCAAGTACCTGGCGGCGGTCACCAGCGAGAGCCAGACCATGCTGTTCTACAGCTGGGAGAAGGGCAAGCTGGAGTCGAGCCTGGAGCTGGCCAACGCCCAGAACCCCGCCGCGAGGGTCCACCTGATAGCGTGCAACCCCGGCGACGCGGGCATCATCGCCGTGGGCGGCAGCGGCGCCTTCAAGCTGCTCACCGTCTCGGAGACGCTCTGGCGACCTTACGGCTTCTCCAAGGCCGACAACCTGGTGGTCAGCGCGCTCGACTGGCTGAACGCCGACAGGTGCCTCGTCGGCACGCGCGACGGCCGAGTCCTCTTCCTAGAGAATGGCGAGCTGAAGAACGTCTTCAAGATGCCCGACACCAGCCTCGTCAACCTGAAACTGCGCGAGGAGAACGTCGCGCAACACCCGGCCTCGCAGACCGACCTGCACGAGGACGACCGCCGCGAGATCCTGTGCCTGGCGCCGTTCAGCCGTGGCTTCGCCTTCGCGCTGGGCTACGGCACCGTGCTGCTATTCGAGAAGGACGGCCAGCATAGGTACGTCAAGAGGAACGTCTACGTGATCCCGCCGCAGACGAGCAGCCGCGAGAGCGACCAGCTGTACCGCGTGAACAGCATCAGCGTGAACCCCAGCAACGACAAGATGCTCGTCACCGCGGCTTGGTCGCAGCTGTTCTGCGTCAGTCTGTGGGGCCCAGACCTCAAGGCCCAGCCCGAGCCGCAGCTGGTTGACATCATGGGCCACGACCTGCACCACGGACCCATCGGTGGCATGTCCGTCTGCACCTGGAAGTCCCAAGTCGTCACCTTCGGGGCCCTGGACCGTAGCGTGCGCGTCTGGGACTACGACAGCGAGAGTCTCGTGATGATGAAGCAGTACTTGGAGGACATCGCCTGCATCGTTCTGCACCCCTCGGGTCTGTTCTGCCTCATCGGTTTCACCGACAAGCTCCGCTTTAACAGCATCCTCATCGACGACTTCGTCACCATCAAGGAATTCTCCATTCGAAGCTGCAAAATCGCTTCTTTCAGCAATGGCGGACACTTGTTCGCGGCCGTTAATGCCAACATCATTCAAGTCATCTCCGTCGTCGACTTCAACATACGCTTTCTGCTCAAAGGTACGTTAGCTGTGCATCTCGACAGCGGTGCATTTTATCATTCGAGTGGTTGCGCGCACTCAGGTCACACTGAGATCATCGGAGGAATAGCTTGGTCCGAAGACGACACGAAACTACTGAGCATCGGGTCCGAGGGCGCTATCTACGAATGGAATATGTTCAGCGGCAAGAGATCTACGGAAATCGTTTTGAAGGACGTCACTCTAAACGGGATCGCACTCTCGAGCGACGGAGGGACGTACTACGTCACGTCGAGCGACGGTCGTATTCACGAGATCAAAGACTCTCTGGTAAGCATCGGTGACGCGCTCCTCGTGACGCTAGCCTTTCGATCGACTACTTGCGATCACGTCATTTGGTTTACAGCTGGTTCGAGCGTACAACATACCAAGTGCGCAATTAAGCAAAGTAGTAATGGGCAAGGACGACAATTTGATGTTCGTCGCGTATCCTGGAGGATTCGTCGGTTCTGTGAAATATCCAATGACAGATCCCGTCGAGCTGAACGAGTATCACTATCACTGCACCGACATCAGTCGAGTGAGTGTTTCGATAGTCGAGCAAATCGTCACAAATTTTCACGAGCCCATTCTCGTTTCAGATGGTCTTGACTTACGACGAACAAGTGCTGATAACCGCGGGAACGGACGGGACTCTGTGCTTCTGGAAAATAACGTACGCCGACGGCAAGGCTGCGGCAATGAGTCGGGAGCTGCTGCACCTCGATCAAATTCTCATAGGCAAAGAGGATCTGAGCGACAAAGTGCAGACAATAAATGATCTAAATTCGCGCGTAAAGGAGTTGGAAACGGAGCACGCTTACAAGACGCGTCAGATGACTCTACAGCACAACGACAAGATGCAAGAGGTGCACCAAAGCTATTGCGAGGCAATCGAGGAGCTGCGAGACAAGATCGACAAGCTCGAGGAGGATCATGCCAACGAGATCAGCAGCATCAACGTCGAGATCGCGCGAACGAAAGCGGCCCACGAGGAGGCGATGCGCCAAATGGAAATCAGCTACGACGCCAAGCTGATCGTCGAGTACGACAAGTACAGCGAGTTCGAGCTGCGTTACGGAGACATGCGCGAGGATTACGAGCGTCAACTCGCTGAGCTGGCCAACAAGAGCAAAGCGGTATTGGGTAAGAGTAATTAGCTCGATCGAGTCTATTTAACTTTCGATTTTCAAACGTAATTCACCTCTGTCCTTTCGTCGCGCTCAGACGAGACTGTCGCTAGATACGAGGAGCGGTTGCACGAGAAGGAACTGCAGCTGAAGGAAGCGCACGAGGAAATGGCCGAGGAGATTCGCACTCACGAGATAATCAAGGAGCAAATCGAGGACGACGCGGATCGCGAGATCATCAACCTGCGCACGAGTTACGAAGGCGCTCTTTACGAAGAGCGTCAGCTCGTGTTGAAATTGAAGGGCGAGGCTGGAGTACTGAGGAACAAGCACGCCATGAGTCAGAAGGACCTCGAAGAGGTCAAGTATCAATTGAGCAGTCTGAAAGATGAACTTAATCAGCTGAAGGGCAGAAAGGACGCGTTAGAAAAAGACGTGGCCGATCTGAAGAGTGAAGTACAGGAAAGAGATGCGACGATTCAAGACAGAGACAAGAAGATCAACGATCTCAATCTGGCCAACCAAGAATTGGAGAAGATCAGATTTGTCCTGAATCATCGTATCAGTGAATTAATGGGTCAGATCGAGCCGCGTGACAAAGAGATTGCTGAACTAAAAGAGAAGATCACGGACATGGAGAATGAGTTATTAGGCTTGAACAAGACAAATCAAAATCAGCAGTTAAGGCTCTGTGAGAGGGAAGAAAAATTGAGAGCAGCGAAACGAGAGATTGAGCTTGAATCGCAACGACGTAAGGGGTGTCAACAAATGCTGCGCAAAATACGCATCGAGCTGCTCAACACTGCTGGTCTTATTCAAGAGCCGAACGCTCTGAAGAGTGCAGTTATCCGACTGTACCATCGGTACAGCGACCGCGACGAATTTCGGCGTATTCGTCAAGCAGATCTTGACGCCCAATGCGAGTTCATGAAGCAAAGGGACCACTTGGAGAAAACGATAGCTATATTGAAGAAACAGCTGGCTCAGAGTACCGCCGGCGGTGATGTACAGTTTGACCGAATACTCGAAGAGAATATATTGTTGCTAACCGAGCTGAACGGTTTGAGAGAAGAATTAAAAGCGGCACAGAGACATATAGCAGATATGGAGAGTTTGCTAGGTTTAAAAGGTAGAGATACTGGACCTTTGGAGGCTAAAGCTAAATTAGAGAAGGCTTGCCACGAGAACGAAGAACTGGATCAAAATTACAAAATGCTAATTCAAGAATGTCAAAAAATAATTAGCGTTTTAAAAGATGATATCGAACGCTTGATCAACAAATTCCCAGAGAGAAGAGACTCCATGAAGACTAATGAATAAATTGCGTTGAAATCCTGCTTTCTTTTTACCTCAAAAAACATTTTATTCATACAGTATAAATGCTAACAAAAAACAAAAATGCACGTCACCAGGTCTTCATACCAATTTTTTAAACAAGTCTTTTCACTTGGAAAAATTTATCACTAGGAATGTACAATTTGTTCACAGAACGAATGGAATAATGGCTTTGCGGCCCTTTGGATAGTCGGTGAACTCCTTTTTGTAGAGTCTGTGCTTTCCCAATGCCCACACAGTCATCTGATAGGCACCAGCTAACATAAACAAACCAGCTGGGAAAGAAGAAAAACGAGTCATGTATTCATTGTAAAAATAAATTTTTCTTTGCGTTAATGTAAGTCATATCATTTTTAATATTTAGAATTTTACCTGGGATGCACTGAGTCATGATAGTAAATCCAATCCAACTACCAACTTCGTAAGTATAATTTGGGCAAGAAACAAAGTTGAATAGTATGGTCAATGGGTTTCCAGTCGGCTTTGGGATTTTTCTGACAGTTGTGCCTGGTGGTCTCAAGTTTCTGAGAGCCAAGTGGATACTGAGGTTGCCCAGCTCGCACAGCAGGAATATTGCTAGTCCAACAAGGAATCTCACATTCGATGGTGGCGTGTATAATGGATGATTGACGTGATAGGCCACATACATCGCAAACAACCAATAATACGAACAGTTTTTGAAGAGATTTCTCATTGGCATTGTGGCATGACTGAATCGATGTACAAATAAGGTCTCTAGTAGCCGCTTAATGTAATGGAGGGACCAGCAGGCTGCTGCCCAGCTAGGAATTGCATTATGTAAAATTAGTATGTGCATAATTATGCAAATAAGGCAATATAAATGAATGAAATTCAGTCTTACTGTACAACTGCGTCTATTTTAGCATCAGGTACATCTTGGTAAAAAATCCATGGCCTCTGGTAGAGCCAAAGGTACACGGCAAGGGGTCCTGCATATTCAGCAAGAAATACAGTTTTCCAACCTATTTGAGGTCCTAGGTCCTTATAATACAATCTTGATCCATATTTTAATTGTAGACTTTTGACTGTGTCTGTGTCGGAGAGAGTTTTTCCTTTTGGTTCCAAGCGTAAACACTGTCTTCCAGGATAAGGCGCCTTTTTCTGCTGGTGCATCTGCTTCTTGATCTCGCCGATGGTCGTGGTCGGGTGTCCCTGCAAGTGCCAAACTTTACGTTAATTTGCGTACTTTGTGAGTATCTTGCAGAAAAGAATTTCATAACAGAAAATGATGCCCCTGCACCAAGGCCAAAATAAGAGGGGAGAGCGAGTGCTCAGAAATTGGCAATATCCGACTCGCACCAGAAACTCAACAAACAATAAACCGGTAACAAGTTGTTAAAATAGTCCTGCACGTTGGCACACACAATTTTCGCTTACTCACCGTCACCGAGAATATTTTCTCCGTGTTGTTCCCCTTCACCTTGATGATTTCAATCTGTAAACGTAAAATTAGATGGTTGGTTAACGACAAATTCGATAGTGCAGTGGAGAATAAGAAGAAAAGCTCCGAGTTACCTCCATGTTGGCGAGATTTTCGGCGTGAAAAGCTCGCGGGAAAAACGGAGAATTTGTCCGTTCGACGCGGCGTTCGAGCACCGTCTGTGCGCGTGTTTATCGCGTTGCTCGACTGACGGCGCCACCGCGCCCGCTGGCCCGCTCGGCCGCCGCGCAGCAGACCAACAGCCGTCACGTGTAATGGGCCGAGGCGGAAAAAACAAAGTGCCATAAAAATACATCGATCGGCGATTCACCGGAGATCATTAGCAATGACATCAGCGTCGCGGAAAAGTAGAGTCCGGTCGCGAGCTCACGCTTAGCGCATATGCAACTGGTACGGAAATGATTTACCGAGCAGAGTGGTGTCGGTGCAGATGCCGCGCGGTACCGTTAATCGCCGACACGTAAAACCGAACGGCCGTCGCGGAGGAGCAGGATGTCGGCGACGCCGTACATTCTTGAGGAACTGGTTTGCCCTGCGCGCGTACACAGCCGTCCGCTTGCTCGTTCGTCCGACTTGGCAGAGTTTTCCTCGAGGCGCTGATACGCCGCGCGCCTCGCTATCGTCCTCCGCTCGGCAGCTAAACGCGGCCGATGCCTTAATTTATGCGACCGGGAAACGCCGATCTTTGACCCGCGCGCACGTCGCACAAAAATGCGAGTTCAGAAACAAAGCCCGCGACGTCGTACTCAAGGCCGACGGATCTTTCGTCTTTTATTTCGTGCGCTGCGCTTCGCCAACGAAAAAGTGTCGCCGCTCGCGTGCACGGCGCTTCCGTCCGCGCGGAGAGCATCGTACGCACTGACCGTGGCTAGTGGGCATTTAATTGGCGACCCGCGAAGTTCGAAATCCGAAATCGTGAAATTATCTTCGACATGATTAGGTGAAAGGCCCGCGACACGTGAGAATCAATCCAATTGATCGATCGTCGAAAGCAAGTCGGATTGTCAAACTTTGCCGGGTAGAGTGCGTCGGGCTGTCGTGGAATTGCGCTAGAACGGTTCTAAAAGAACCTGCTGGACGTCGTATCTCTCGCTTGCTCGTAGCTCGCCGAACTGCCGAGATGTACCCACTCATCGTCGCGACTATAAATATTGACGAGGTTGCACGTAATTCGATGCGAATGTGCGTAGCGACCGAGCGAAAAAGAACAGCTCGCCCGGTTTTTTGGAAAAATTCGAGCTCGAGTTGGTTACTCTGTATTCGGTCGCGAGCGCGCGCTTTCTCCACTTGACGGTCCTATGTGTGTATGTGTGCGTGTGCGTGCGTCGACGAGCGAACGGATGCAAACGACGGAGTTGGAAAAAAAAAAACGAGCGTCAGCGTCGGCAATTAACGCAATAATTATCGATAAGTTAATCGAGCGTTTACGAGTAGGCTTGGTAGTTGGCTGCACAACTGGTTTGCCGAGTATATGCAACGGGACGAGCAGAGTTCGGCTGAGCGGATAAATAAGACTTGCGGGAGGAGTTGGGTGAAGTCGCCGGGAGATGGAGCGTGAATGTCGTGGGTGTAGCAATCAATAATGCGGCCTGCACTTTTTTTATCATCGTGAAATTTTATTATCGCAAGCAATATCTCGCGCAGCTTGCAGCGCTGCGTGCGATCGATTACGCGTGACTATGAAAAGAAATAGCGTTTTTTCTAGTGTCCCTGGATATCTCGCACATCACAATTGTTCATATGTACAAAAACGAAAAAACTTGATCGAATACAGAAGCACGTGCGTTCATCGACGAAGTCCATGCTGGTGGTTCAGATGACCGTGGTGGCCTTCCTGTACTGGCCGAAGTGATCCAAATATTGGTGAATCGTGTCCATCGGTTGATAAATATCGTTCACCCGGTTCTGAAAAATAGGCGGCAAACGTGGTTGATTAGCGCATCGCACGATAGTCCGCCGGGCCGCGTACGTACCTGCAGATATTGGGGAACCTGGTTGGAGGCCACGTTGCCGAGGAAGCCGTGCACGAACTCTCGGATGAGCTCCAGGCAGCCGGACGCCACCACGCACGGCCTGTACTCCACCTGCAAGCGAGGACAGGGTGAGACGAGACGAGGCGAGGCGACCGCGAGGCGACCGCGAGGATCGATCGGCGGGCGCAAATGAAGTCGCGCGACGCGGGGAGAGATTCACAGAGTCATTAATCCTCGGCGCCGGCTCCCGTTAATTTCGTCGGCCCGCGGCGAGCGCCCCGGCGCGCTTTCATTATGCGCCGCTCTTTCGCCGCCGGCCAAGACGCCGCGTGCACTCGGCTGCCGTTGCGGGTGTTGGTGCTCGCTCTCCCGCGTAATTTCGCGCAATTTCCGCCACGGCAATGAAACATATTGCGGCACGCGCTCATCCAGCGCCAGGCTGCCGGAGATACGCGCCGGATTAAAGTTTATTTTATGGCGTGCACAAGCCCAGCCTCCCTTTTTACGCCGGCTTTTACATTTTATTAGCTCTCCGAACGTTCGACAACGGAATGTCCCGCGTCCCTCAATGCCATCTCTCTCGGTCTCTCTTCCAGGGCCACGCTGCGCTAGCGTTGCGCGAGATTAACGATAACGTCGGTGTGCTTCCACCGATATTGTTTTCCGTTGCGCGGGGATATTGTCTTTTCTGGGCACGAGCGCGCCACTCGAGTTTTCCCACGCCGTGGCCGTAGACCTTGCGAATTATGTTAATTTCGCAGGTGGCCAAACGACCTCGGCGTGATTTATCGAGCCGCGCCGCGCCGCGCCGCGCCGCGATCGCGAAGGAGTTTCGCTCCCCTTCACGGCGGAAGCGGGAGCAGGCGAACTCAATCGGGGCTCGAGCCCCGAGCGCGGCGGCGATCGTTGCCGCCGCGCGCCTCCTTCCCGAAACGGCCGGCCGCGGGCAAGCTCGCGAGGAGAAAGCCGGAGGAGCGAGCCGTGGCGCGCCGCGGAGAGCTTTTTACGAGCGCGCGCGCATGTGCCACCTATAAAAATGCAAGCGTGCGCCTAACGAGTGCCAGTCGTTGTCCCCGCTCCGCGCTCGCACGCACGGGTCGGGGGAGGCTGGCAACTCGGTCACGAGCCGGGGCGACACGTCGTCGTCGCTGACAATGGCTTCGCCCGGCGAGAGATAGGTGCACGCCAAGCTGTTTTGCCGGGGCGGTCACGTACGCCGCCGATTACGGCTTGGCTTTGGGGAGGGCCGAGTCGGGCCGAGGAGCGCGAGCCGCCGAAAGCGACGCGGGAGCCGATCGATTGGCGAGCGGCCGGCGCTCGGTGCCCCGGAAAATCGCGCTGCACTGCCCCCGGCCGCCGCGTCGCTCTGCCGCATCGTCGAGCTACGCGCGCGCGGACTCGCCGCTTGGACCGCGTCCAAGCGGGCCGAGCGTCGGCTGACCGTCGGCCGCCGCGACGTACCTCGACCAGGACACCCTTGAAGTTCTGCGTCATGGTGACACTGCCGAGCTTGACGAGGAAGTCGCCGAGCTCGAAGCGCGGACCCTTGCACTCCATCTTCTGCTTCCTGTTCTGGTAGATGGTGTTGAGCTTGATCATCAGCAGGTCGAACAGGCCATCGGCGATCAGCGGCACCACCTTGTTGCCGGACTCCAGCACCGCGAACACCGAGGCCGGCTGCTCCGAGTTGTGCAGGATGTGCACCGTGCGCGGATGTCCTGCTAAACCAAAATCGCAATTACAGACTGGCGCGCCGTCTCCGCTCTCCACCCGCGAGCTCCGGCGCTGCCGAGGGATGCGCCGGCCGCTGCGTGCGTTATTCGACCGAGCGCGTGCAACTTTCGGCAAGAGGACTCCGGCTTTCTCTAGGAGGGGGCGCTCGAGGCCCCTCGACCGTTGAATCACTGATTCCTCCGCCGTTTTCGGCAGCGACCGAGCAGCGTCAACCCGGCCCCTCGGCTGATCCATAATTCACGAGCGATTTTTCAATCGGGAACGCCCGCCGAGCTTCTGGTAATTCGGCACGCCTCCGTGCTCGCGACTGATCACGGCGGGGCAGCGCTGCAGCCGCCAGAGCGGAGCCTCCACTCGCGGCCCGACTCGCTCGCGACGAGCGCGGACCGGCTAAGTGTTCGCGCTGCTCTGGAGGCCGCCGCTGCGGCATCAGGACCTTACGGCTGATTTCGCGCGCCGCCTGTTCCTTCGAACTCGATGTTTACGCCCGGAATTTTCAGCTTCTAAGCAGTTGCCTCGATCGCTCGTAAATCCGGTGGCGAGCGCTTCCGTAGGAGGATGCTTTCCCCCGACGTTTCCCGACCACTCGCCGACTGAGTCATCGCTTGGACGTCTTTTACAAATCGCAGCGACGCGTCTCGTTGATCGCGGCCTAGAAGAGCGTACGTTTTCGAAAAGGCTTTCGCGAAATTGACCCATTGACTCTTTCTCTCCCGCCCGTATTTTCGTCGACCCCACTCGGTTTGCAGATTTCGCTGCTGCTGCTGCTGGCCGGAAGATTTACGGTCAGCGCGAGCGTGACAGTGGCGAGCTTGACGTCCTCATTTCTGTGCGACTGATTTCAATGGATTTTTTTGTTCTCCCCTGCCTTTTAGCCTATTTCCTCGCTTATTCTCCGACTCGCTGACTGGCGCCGAGACGACTATTTCATGCACTCCGGGCTTTTTAATTTCCAACGGTTGTTAACTCGGTTATTCTCCTCCGTGGCGCACGCGAGAAGTGAGTTCGACCGATACGTAGCGCGCCTGGCAAAAGCGAAATGCCGGAGTGAAAGAGCACTTTCGATGTTTTGCAGATATTTCGTAAGTGCGTCGCAAGCCGACGCTCGATGGAAAAGCAGCATCGATCGCGTAATCAGATTGCGTATCGCGACTGATTACGATGTTAATCAGCTTTGTGGCAGAGCAAAAAGCTTTTACGCTTTTTTTTCCTCTTTCGAGAGCCATCAAAGCCATACAAGCTGTCTCTCTCTCTCTTTCATAGCGCCGGGCAAGAACAAAGCAGCTACACTCCGCGCAAAAGGGTTATGCGAGAGCTAATGAAAAAAGCTGTTAGCGGCCTGAAAAATTAATCGGATGCAGTCGGGTTCAATGGGCGCGGGGCTTAAAAAGCGAAACGAGAAAGGGACGTGGCGCGTCAATAAAGTCTGAGGATCAATTATTGACAATGAGCGCCGGGCGCGCGATCCGCGCATTCTCTCTCGTCCTAACGAAGACTTATTCTCCGTTGATTTTGCGCGCCTCGGCCGTGCGCCCGCGAATAGAGTTATTCTCGCTGATCCGCCCCGACGTTGATAAAGCACCCCGGCTCGTTAAACTTCGGAGACGCGAATCGATGATTTAACGAAGCCCCGGCCCTCGCTCTTTCTCTCGAGGACTCTCGAAACTCTCGGCCAGCGCGAACTTGGCTCGCGACCCGCGCGAATACAATCGCGACGAACGGTTTTTGTTTCCTTTTTTTTCAAATTCTCCCAGCGCTCCCGCCGCGGACAATAAACAGCAGCCAGCCAACCAGCAAACTCGTTAGCTGCACAGCATCCTTTCGATTCGACTTTATTAAAAAGAAGAGAGAGAGAGAGAGAGAGAGAGAGAGAGAGAGAGAGAGAGAGAGAGGGAGAGAGAGGAAAAAAGTAAAAGCGACGGTCTTGCTCGTCAGAGTTTCGACAAAAGCGCGCACATGTGTTTTCGGTCGCGAGAGATCCCCGGGATTTTCTTCACGAGAGTCTGCGATTGAATCACGCGCGCGCGCGCGGAAACTCATTGCGCGCGGATGGGAAATCCCATTTGCAGGGTACAGGCAAAAGTAAGCGCGGGCTTCGCTCCGACGAATCCCCTCTCTCTCTCTCTCTCTCTCTCTCTCTCAACATATCTGCCCCTACAGGAAGCGTTTGGCCTGGCTACGCTCTGACTCGCGCAAAAGCTATTTCACAACCCGGCTAATGTACAAAATTGTGAGACTGCACCAGCGCGCGCGCGCGCGCACACATACACACGCTTGGCAGAGTTCTTTACTGCACGTAGGTCCAGACGCACAGCGAGATAGGGCTGAGTAGCCGGAGCTTAGCTATCCCATGGTGAACACAGTTACTGGATCAAGATCTTTTCAGCTTGCATTTTCTTTTACAATGTAACTCGGTTGTTATGTAACTGCATTCTTATTCGGTGTTTGCTTCATTTCAATTGAGCTAGCACGTGCAACTGCCAACTAGTATTGGATAAATTAACTTCCGTTGCCCGACAGTTGGTTTCATCAAGCTTGTTGTTCTTCATGCGTACACGTCAAACCTACGCGTATTATTGTTATCTTTATCGTTGATAACAAATCACTACAATCAATCAAACGAGCTTTTTCTCTCTCTCTCTGTCTCTCGCGCGCGCGAGCGTATTAATATCCCGATACTTCGCGATAGGTGCTGGTTCTCGTGAAAGGCCGACGCCGGCTGGCTGTTCTCGCTCCCGGCGTATTCGGCTGATGACTGTTGTCGCGCGACCAAATCGGATCGGACGGAGAGAGGGTGGCCGGAAACGGGAGCGTGCGCGAGTACCGATATACAAGGGAATCTCGTTAGCGAGTCAATCGGCTGCGCGCAGAACGGAGGGGAGTTCCTCGCTTGGCGCCCGCTCGACGAGGGTCGGCCGCTGATTTTTCGGCAAGCGGAGCCGACGGGAAGGAAAAACCCGACGTCGCGGCCCCGTAACGAGCGTCATTCGGAGCGAGCGCGTCGATAATCGCGCGCCGCTTCGTGCAGCCCGGAGCCGATCGCCGCGCGGCCAGCGCGACGATAAGTGCAAGCCGCCGGGGAATCGCGCGCGCGAAGGCGGCAATTAGCGGCGCGAGCAGCCTGCCTCTCCGGTGTCGCGTGGGCGCGCAGCGCTGCTGCACGGTCGGCGCGCAGAAGCGGGCCGCGAGGGGGAGGGGGCGGCGCGCGTGCACGCGAGGCCAGTGGGCTTTTGCGCAGGCTGCAACAACCGACCAGCGGCGGTGCGCGCGCTCGCACCCCCTCAGTTGGCCGCGACTCGGTGCCTCGGCTGCATTCGCCCAGCCTCGGCCCGGCAGCTGAACCCTTCTCTCTCTCTCTCTCTCTCTCTCTCTCTCTCTCTCTCGCCACCACCGCCGTATGTACCACAATCCCGTCCCTTCGCCCCGTCTTATTCATCTTCATCTTCTTCTCGTCGTGTTCTCTCCTTGGTGCTCACCGTTGTGCGCGAGCTGGCGAGTCTTCGCAGTGGCAGGCGGGCGAGCGTCGGTCTAACCCCGTGGCGGACGACTCGCGAAGAAAACGCAAAGTTGGCCGGTGATACAGGCTGCGAGGATATTTGCGCGCGCGTCGAGCCGAGAAACTCATATTCGCAAGCGAAATTGGGACTCGAGCCGCTGCAGCTGGTTAAAGAGTTTTCGCTGTCGAAACAGCACGAGAAATAGTCAAGTGAAGAGGGGCAAAATAAGCGAAAGGTTATCGTTGCATAATTCAATCGCAAAGGGAAAAAGAGAGGGAGAGAGAGAGTGAGAGGGAGGGAGGAAACAAGCTTGCAAGTCCCTAAAGCTCTAAGCAATTCAAAGTGCTCTTAAAATACACGAGCAGCTGTCTCTTTCTTCTGGTGGTAGTGGTGGTGGTAGTGGTGGTGGTGGTGGTGGTGGTGGTGGTGGTGGTGGTGGTGGTGGTGGTGCTGCTGCTGCTGCTGCTGCGAGGCAAAAGTGAATTCCCGCTTTAAGGACTCTCGGCCGTCTCTGAGGGCTATTGCTCGTGCCACGATTACGCCCAAGTTGAAAGTCTTGCGGTGAGCGAGGAGCGCGCGCGTTAATTTGCGGCGACCGAGAGACAAGGCGAAGGTGGCCAGGCGGAGTGCGAGAGGCGTCGGCCGTTTGGAAAAATCCATAATTTTCATCGGTCGTGCCACCGAGACGACGGCTGACCTGGTAATGCGCGAGCTATTAGCCCGCGCGACGAGCAGGCGGAGATGGCAATCGATTCTCTGGCTCGCGGCGCGCGAACGGCGATCCGCTATTGTCGCGCGCGGCCGCATTGTGTTGCGCGGCGAGGGGCTGCTGCCCGACGCGGAGCGTCCCTTGTTCGGGCGGCTTTGTTCGGCGACTCGGACGCCGCGGCGCGAGCTCGCGGCGACCGCTTTATTGGAAGCTAATTGTCCCTGTCGCCTCGCGCCCGGCGACATTCACGGCCGACTGTCGATAGTCGGCAAAGGCGCGACCAATTGCCCGGCGCTCGCCTTGCGCGACGACGCGCGAGCGCCGCTCGGCCGTGCGCCACGGCCGAAACGAGGCCCGTCGGAGCCGACCACCTCTCGGCTGGAGAACGCAGACGGAGCGCGCCAGCGGGAGGCAAGCTCGTTACGCTGAAAAATGCGCAGCGGCGCACGGCCGATCTCGCCAAATCGTTTTCGAGCTCGGCGGAACGAGTAGTTTAATTGAACGTCGGAAAAGTGACTTGGCGTTGTTGTCGAAGAAGAAAAACAGGAGGCGAGAAAGAAAGCTGGAGCGAGTTACGGGCGAGCGATAGATTTACGGCTGGCAGCTTGGTTATTCGCTGTCGAGATTTAATAACGCGCGCGGCGCGCTTTCTCGCGCTCGCGAGCGCGTGATTTACGTCGGCTCGTCGCATCGCGCGGCTTGTTTTTCGCGCGCGGGTGTCGCGGCGAGCGAGCGCGCAAGTTCAATTACGCGGCGACGAGCAAATTCTATTCCCTCGCCG